GGCTCATGAGTGCTAATTGAGGAGCGGGGGCTCGATATGGTTCCTGCATGGATGGTCTTGATTTTTCCAGAGATTATGAAGTTGTAATTCATTTTTAATTACCAAAAGCATGTTTTTTTTTTGTTGTTGTTGGTTTTTTGGCTTTCTTTGTTGGAAGATGATGATGGATTTTAAGGACATATAAATGGAGAAAACCTGTATATCTATCTCGGCTGAGATAGAAGTACACATATGCAATGCTATGTTCCTATGAAATACTGGATGTTTTCGTTGTGGATGCTCATAATATTGAGAATGCTCATTGCAATTCAATAGGGGACGTTTTGATTAATCAATTTAAAAAACAAGACAATTTGATCAAACGTTTTATTTACAAAACAAGTCATTTAATTAAAACGAGCCAATTCGAATTGTCTGTCCTCACTCCAGACAATTGTAATGCCTCAAAAAGACTCAATTTGAAATTCCCCAGACAAAATTGCTTCATTTAAATTTTATGTTGTCAAACGGATCAGTTTGACTAGGTTGTCTCAAAACTAAACAATTGGGTCAAATTAATCGGTTAGAATTTTTCATCCAAACGAGCCCTTAAGAGACCTCACATCGAATCGAAATATAGAATTAGAATAAGTTCGGCGGCAGACCACAAAGTCTTGGTGATCTTCTCTATCTAATGAATGAGGAGGAGTCCACTTTGAAAACATCTAATCTTTTTTTTTCTCTTTTCATATATATTTGGCAAAAAAAAAACTAAACATAAACGAAATTGAATTCATATAAACGTTGGTGATCATTGCTCAAATAAGGTGAAGATTAAATTAAACGACAATTAAATTAGAATTTATTGCAACAAATGGACAAAAAAATTGTTTCAGTTTGTTTGGATTTATTCAAATGGCATTCGTCTCCTTCCAAGACGGAAATTTGTATAATAATTTCGTAATGATTTTCTGTATAATCATTACGCAATGATTTTTGCCCCCTGGATTTCGTTTTGTTTTTTCAATGGAAATTAAATGCATACATGTGAGTATGTATCCTGAAGCTGGACCGATCAATTTTACCAGCCGAGACGACAGTCAGTCGGTCAGTCTGCTAGCGACTGAATTTCAGGCGGGCTCCCGGTGCCGTCGTTTTCACCTCTGCTGGCCGGCTTTTTACATGAATACGGTGGACATCTAAACCTTCTCTTCTCTTGGCCAATTTTTGTTAGCTAGCTACAACCAGAATCCAAAATTTCATGTTCTCGATTTTGGATTAGAGACATTGAAAATACGTGGACCATAATCATGATTCAAAAAACGCGCGTTTAATCCTATGATTAGTCACGTTTAGACGCTAGGAAATGCCAAAACGTTTCACTTAGGGATAACCGAACTCGTTTTCATGCAAAACATTTCGCTTACTGAAATGATAATGTGTTTGCATTTCGTTTATGGTTAGGAATAGACATAGCTAGAACATGTTAGTGTGTGTATATATATGTATATCCTTATTTGATACGCTTCATGTTTCCTTCTTTTTAATGGATATTTTGAAGCTTTGACTCGGATAACGGCCGGGTAGCTTAAGTACGTACTACACAATGTAAATCATCATGTCGCGTATCTTATTTGTTTCTTTATTGCATACCCGCATTTGTAAATGATTTGAATATAAAACTCTCACGATGAAAAGATGTTACAAGAAGCTAAGGATCCGTATTATCTTTTACGATATAGAGATGATTCGCACATCGTCGAGATTATTGCAGTGTGAAATCCGACGCTCCTAAAACTTATGACCTCTTATTTATTATGAAATTTGGGTATGATCATGAGCCAAATAAGGCGCTCGCCCGCTTGGCATTTGGCAATGCCATAATTTCTAGGGCACTCGATTTTTTATTTTATTTTTTGTCATGGGGAGATCAAGGATCATGAGTATCTAGACATATTTAAGATTACAAATTGGACCACAAGATACATAATGACAACATTAATTATGAAGATAATACAAGAAGCTAATTTCCACGTATATAAATATGAATGTGTGTATGTGGATGTGACATGGTCCCAACTATAGTTGGTCATCTAGGGATTGCACATTTCACAAGAACCACATAATCCAAATTGAACACATTTAATATGAATCGACATACATGTGTGTCATTTGCAATGTCTACGAGGGACAAAGAAAGTGATTGGTTGCTAAATTGTCTTATTAATGTTAGCCACGATATAGCATATTCCAACTAGTTATACTCATCAAAATTTGAGATTTTTTCCCCGTCATCTTGATTCCGGGTACCTTGAATCTTACGAGACAAGTCTAAAACGACACAATATACAATGCTTTATAGGAGATACGTCATACGACATACGGAGTTTCCAGTCGTGTTTGACATGGTCAGACATCTTTCCAGTTTGCTTTATCCTTTCGTGATATATCGAATGTAATCGGTGGTTATTTGTATACGATGATAACAAAAGGTGGTAGCCATATATATATCTACCAAAAAGTTAAAGACTTAGCCTGTCTACCACTCACTTCCTGCTCAATCTCTTTGGCCTCCTGCCAAATGGGGTAGCCATATATATACACATATCATCATGATCACTAGATTAAAGAAGGGCATTATGGTTTGAGATAGGGCACTAGCTTAGCTAGTTGGTTGGTAACTGACTAACTGGTTAAGTCTCAATGCTAACAAGTAGTATTGCTATGATGATGATGGAGGTCTCCAGTTATATGTGTTCTGGTCAACAATGTGAAACTGGTCTTTCTCGTACGTGATTGGACTATACGTATTGTATTAGTGAATCGTGCAAATATGTGACTTCTTTTTTCCCCCTTACTTTATTGATGATTAGGGTCATCCTGCCAAAGCTCTCTAACAAGCTAGAAGTATTTTAAGGATAGGGTTTGCTGTTCCAATTGCCTTGGTCAAAATCTACCATGGTTTCACTTATGAACTTTTCTCTTTTCATAGTGGGGGGTTTCATTTGTATATGCCTATAAAAGAAAGAGAAAAAAAAGTGTAAAAGAGCAAAGGCTATAATTTGTTTCCTTGCTTTTATACGGATATAATGGCTTTTTTTCTGTAATCCTTTCACAAACAATATGGAAAGAAAGTTTAATAGTCTTGTTTGTGGATGAAAGAAAAGTTGGGTCTTATTCATCCCAAAAAAAATGTGTGCATGTTAGGGGCTGAGAATGTAAATTCAATGTAAAAAAAAGCTCTATAAATTAGGGCATGAATGTGTATTTGCTTGGGATGAATGTATATGATCTAAGTTGATTTTCTCGTTCGGTCTGATTAGTTGTTCTAACTTTCGATACAAAATTATATCCTACATCATCATGAACAGTAGACTAAAGGAGCGGATGATGATGACCCTAATCTCATATATATAGTAACTGACATCATCAATTCATCATTATTCTTGAAATTGTCTGTTCCATATCGTTTCATAAACAAGGTCCGATATGATGTGAATGAGGTTTGACATTAAGAAGAGTAACGATGAGATGCTCGCGAAACGGACCGAAGAGTAGTTTGTCGCGCAAAACTATTAGATTTCGGAGAATTATATATAGCGAAAACCATCCGAAATTTTTCGATCCTGGGTTGACGAACCGAGAAGAAACAAAGCATCTATGCTAGATCCCATCGAGCCAATAATCCCTGTAGCAAGATGCTGGTTAAGTTTCTACCACCAAAAGAAAGCATGAGGGCTTTTGATTTTAAAAGTTGAGAGAGGGGTGTAGACTGTAGAGTACATGTGTACTTTCTTACTATATAAAAAAAAATGCATGCTCCTCCAAATTTTGCTAGGGCTTGGTGGGCATGAATGAAGAGCAGACAGCAGCATCTAGCAAAAAAAGCTGCTGCTGCTGCGTTGGCTGGCTGATCGATCATATGCATGGACGGCCATGGCCAAGAAGAAAAATGTAGAAGAAAGGCGAGTTTCTGACAATCGGAATCTGAAACGTCAACTTCATGTCTGTCTGGAAAACGCATTCAATGGGGGTTTCTTTTCTTTTTTCTACTTAATTGGCGTTGTTTTGTTTATGGCTCTGTCATTTCATTCCAACTTTCTCCAAACCCGTACTGTTCCGACAAACCCATGGGTACTCATAAACCCGCGGATATCCGGCAAATTGGGTTAAGTTTGAGTTTTCTAAACCCAGTGAGTTTTATCTTGTTGTTTTTTTTTAGGAATAATCCCATGGATTTGGATTTGACAAAACCCGACTCAACCCGACTTATTGCCAACCTATTATTTATGTTCCCTCTCTCACCAATCCCTATCACACTCTCTACTCTTTTATAATGGCTCTTTCTCTTCGCCAACAACAATCCACCAAAACCAAAAAGGAGAGCCCACTGCAAAAAATTTCCACCCCTTCAAGCATATCTGAGATTGTCCATTTACATCCATTCAATGATCATTTCCTTTTGAAGTGGGATCCATAATGTAAAAAGCCTACCAAAGCTTGAAAAACACCATCTCCTGCAACCATATCAATCCTGTCCTTTCAAGTTGGCATCCAAAGCAGAGAGATAAAGAAAAGACCCATGTATGAAAGTTGGTTCTCCTCTCCCATAATGGGAATGGAAGCCACCAACCAAACCCTACTGCACATGATTCCAATATATGGCATCAATCAATCACATGCTTTTGCTTCCTGCAGAAATTGAATTTCCTTTCTCGTGGATATTGTTCGAGATAAATACAAGAAAAAGGAAACTAGCAAGCAACTCATTTCTTCCACCCAAGACAGCCTCTTACCCAAGATGGCCAAATTTGCATCCATCTTATTACTACCAGAGTTACACAGATGAGCCATTCAGAAAGACTTTTTCTCCCACCAAATCAGGATACGAATGAGCCATAAAGCATCAAGATACCACTTTCCAGTTTCTTCTCACAAAACTGGAAGAGTAACTGTGGGGGGAGAAAGGAAGTTGGAAAGAACACAAAAAGAAGGGTCCTAGGAACATCAAATTGAATTTCTCAGTAGCACACAGAGTCTTTCCCTATGGAGCTGAAAGAAACCCTACTGCTCTTGTCTGATCCAAACTTGAATTTCAGATCTGATGTCCCATCTGGTAAGGAGCTGCTGCTGCTGCTCGTTGAAGGGAAAGAGAAAACAAGGGCAGAATTAGGGCCCTTGTTTGAGCCAAAGCTGTAGGTAGGGGTTGACTGTTCATCAGCTTCCGGCTGATGCAGACCGTTTGCAGAGGAAGATGGCATGGAGGGAGTCGGAGGCTCGGAGAACACGCCCGTAGATGATGCTGGAACTTGGAAACTAAAACTCGCGTTGCCATCAGAAGACGCCCACTTCTGTTCACGCTTTCCAATGGCGATAGAGGACAGAACTGGTCTAGTCCCTGAAGAATGTGCTGGAGGCTTCTTTTGTAGACCTGAAACCTAATCATAATTTTAATATAAGATACATGGAGGACAAGTTACTCGAACAATGTCATTGAGATTTTAAATAAGGATAGTAGTCAAGAGATGATTGAATACCTCATTCGCTTTCACGATTTCTGAATCCACATTTTTCTTTAGAACTTGTGAAGGCCCGGGATCAACAGCATTACTGCCAATTGTTATGCCAGGGGCAGAAGATTTTCCATTCACATCATTAGTGGTCTCCTGAGGATCCTTGAAAAGGGACTTCCCTCTATCTTCACTCCAATGTAAAGACTTCTTTTTATTATCAGCCTGATAAGAATTTCCTGATGAATCCAGAATCCCAAATTGAGGCAATCTATTATGCTTGAGTGGCGTGAAAGCAGTTATGTCAGAAGAAGACTCAGGCTTCTTCCATGAAGTGGTGAGCCTTAATTCATCAGACTTTTGCTTTGGAGTAACTGGGTTTCTGTCCAGATGCTCCAAAATCTTGCGAGCTACCTGGCTAGAATGTGAAGGAATGGTAGGAGTACTGACTTCGGAATGAGGCTTTCTTCCTGTTTCTGAGTCTTTCTTCCAAGCGGAAAATATCCCCTCTGGCACATTGATGTTTTCAACTTTAGGAGTATCCACAGATGGCCTGACAAATGGAGATCCTCTAGCTGAAAGCTCTACAGCAGCACCCTGCCTTCTTGTTCTTCGGATAGGTCCTACAGATCCTTCACCAATATCCAACTTCCTCTCCCTTGAACTGAACTATAATTCAAACCAAACATTGCTAATAATTTAGGCAGTGACTTCGATGATCAAACTTCTCTACAAGGTTATAACATTTCAGCATAAGAAGCATATGGTAATATGAAAACTACCTGCCCAAAAGTTGATGATTGAGGCGGCTGAAATGGAGTTGACGGCATGTTCAGGGATCTTCTACTGCTCCCTTGCAATTGAATCAGCTGGTTGAATTGAAGGAAGCAATCATGGATGAGCAACAGAATCTTCAAAAACAGTAATGACTTTTACCAATCAGCTTCTAACCTTGGACTTTGATTTTGAGGCAATAGCTCTAGAATAAGGGGTCCTAGGAAAACTTTGGAGCCCGAATCTCCCGCTTTGGCTGAGGGGTGCAGCATACTCATTCTGATCTCGCACCCTGGCACCTGGCCAGCATGGTGACGGCCTGATAAAAGATGAAGGGGTAAATGGTTGTAGTGCCATCTCATCTCCACGAGAAGAAGGCCCTTCATCTTTTACAGCTGCATCCTCTAATCCTAATCCTGATGTCCGTTTTTGCATGTACGCTTTGGCAATTTGGATTGGTGAAGCACCAACTTCATCTTCAACCTGCATAAGTGCACAGAACTATGAGATGATCTTGCAAGCAAAAAAATTTGGACAGCATTTTTTCTTTAACAAGCTAAGAGCAGAATATAATCACAAGCACCAAAAAGGAGCAAAATTCAGATTCATGATTTGTCATGCTATACAAAACATGTGGATAACCCAAAGTAAGATTATACCCTAAAAACTATCTTTAGATAATTCCCACTTCCACATACTACTCTCACCAATGTTGTGATAATCGATTAGCTGATGCATAAGCATAACAAAAAGCAAGCTCTGCGAAGGATAGGAATACACTCTCATTACATAAAGTGGCAGATGGAATGTTCTATAATATAATCCACTCACAGTCGACTGGATAAGAGGAGTTGAGCCTCCCCAAGTTGTTCTGTTCGTATCTTCATGTTGTACTTCAGTAGACTTTCTTGAAGTTTCAGCCCAAGCTGCAGGCTGGAAAATGCCTTGTGTAATTGAACTCGTGTGCTTCTTCTCAGCTTCTCTGCACCTTTGTGAATCTTCAAGGAAAGCCGAAGGTCCAGCATCCCGCCCAAACATACCAGAATGCTGCTTCTCTTCCTCCTTGTTGGGAGAATTAGCAGCCCTTGAGTGAATTATCTCAATCAACCGATTGACTTCATCCCTGCACAGCAAGTGGGACCTTACGTTAAACTTCACTAACCAGACCACAAGACAGTTTTACACCATATCAGACTACAGGAAGATCTCAAAGAGCTGAGAATGAATGCACAAAAGAGCTTCACCTAGAAAACTTTTTGTTCATCAGTAACTGCTCGATTGCCGAAACCCCATCAAGATCAGAAGTGTTCACTGTATGCTGTTCTTCAACTCTTTCAATCTCTGGACGAGAATTTAATTCATTGGTGACTTCATTAGTGCCACCAAGTTCAGTTGATCCCGAACCCAGATGCTGCAATAACACCCCAAACCGAGTTCGTTCAAAACCCCTCGGTTCACTACTAAGAAAACAGGAACAAAGCATAAACAGAGTAAAGGGCAAAGGCCTCACATTGAATGACAAACTGATTTCATCCCTTCCGACATTTTCTTCAACCTGATTGCCAGACTCACCTGTTAAGATGAGTAAAACAGCAATTAATTAAAACAAATTACTCGAAAACACCCCAAGATCGAAGCTTTAGCTAGTTATACAGTCAACGACGCCACGATACCCTAATCAATTAAACCGACGATTGAATCACGAAAGAACAAGTGAGCAATTCAAAATAACACTTAGGGTTCAGCTACGAAAAATAAAATGGAAAATTTAAAAAGTCAACCGTGATCCTCTTCTTCTTCTTCATCTCCAACTCCTCGTTCAGCAGCAGGAGGAGCTGGGAGGGCATTGCCCGATTGAGAGAAGTAGCTGGGCAAAACTAGGTTAGCGAGCTTCGAGAGCCACGGCCGCGTGCGCTGTGCTAAGCTCTGCTGCGGCCGAGCATAAGGCGTAGCAGCTCTTCTCGCGGGACGCTTCCTGAGCTTGCCGCCGGCGCCTCTGCCTTCTTCTCCGGCGGGATACGGCTGGCGGGGCTCGCTGCTCCTCTCCATCGGGCCACCGTCGAGGGGAAGAGGAAAAAAGGAGGGCAGTTGAGACTCGAGAAAGGCGATTCGGAAAGCTAGCTAGCGTTTAGTGAGGGCGCGGGTTTTCGACATCTACTGCCTTTTTTCCCCGGTTTTGTGGGGACGGGAATTTGGGGGTCTTGTTTTCGCTCTTTCAGGGTGACCGCCGGCGACCGGAGACGCGAAGGGAAGGGGCCGTGACCCGTGAGGTGATTTTATTAAACTTTGTGCCGATTTAGGGTTTGGTTAAGTAATTTGGGAAATTGGCTGACGTGCTCGTGGAGGAAAGTAGGGGAAGGACGGCGCCGTTTTATTACGGGAGGTGTGAGATGAGTCACATGACACGTGGCTATCGCGGCTCACGTGGTGTTCGCTGAGGTCAGCGGAAACTGAAAGAGACAAAGTGGGAGGAGGGAAAGAAAACTAAATGCATTTTTGGGCTCCGGCCCAACTAAGGCAGGTATTAGGCCGAAGAAAAATTATCCTGCTAGCTCCAGTCTGTAAAAGCCCATGAGCTTGGAGGCACAAATCCAATCGGATCAGGGGTCAGAAGTCAGAACCAAGGATTTAGCACATTAATTCATGGGCTTGATAGTCGGTGATCGGTTTAACTGGTTGATCGTCTACCACTTCAATAAATATGGTTACTTGTTTAACTGAAGGAGCAGATCCGATCAGTAACCTTAGAGTCAATAATTATGAGTAACACGTTCACATCAGCGTGATATCAACATCTTCTTTCTTTTATGGTAAGTTAAAATCTTTTTCCCTTTAATCTTTAATGGAAGATTTCTCTCGTTTTAAGTGAGAATTTAAATTTTGTTGCACAGATAAATTAGATTATTTGTGCACCTCAAAATGATATGAATTTTGATATGTTTTGTGAACAAAAAAATTGAGTCATTTTTACCAATTTATACCATATATGGTATTGACTAGTATTAAACAAGAGCATACCATATGGTATGAAAGCGTACCATTGTGGTACGAACATACCAAGAGTGTAGGATGGTTGAATACATGATAGTAGAAGTATACTAACTGTCATTTACGACTTTCATTATTGTGTACCAAGAGTTACCACCCTCATACCGGGTGGTATAGTATGTTATTTTTTTATCCTGTATTTTTGTAGCCAAAAATTTGTAGGTCCAATAGATCATGACGAACTCGTTCCTTCTGTGCAAATATTTTAAAAAATGACTTAAAAACGAAGAAGATACTATATGGTATGGAATTGGTAACGAGAGATATGGAAAAAAAAATTCTCTAAAAATATTGAAAATTGATCTCATTTTGTAGAGCACAACGATTTTGTTCAATCTGTGCATAAAAATAATTAAATTCCGAGTTTGAACGAAGAAGATAATAGTTAATTAAAAACTAGGAAAAATAAAATATTTTTAATTTACAACCTTTAGATCTGCATTTTATGAACCCACTTAATCCAAATGTCCAGATTTAGTTACTCATACGTGAGTAACATACTAACAGGCCCCAAAGTGTTAACTGAAAGCCAACAATAATATACATAACTCAGACTGAGCGAAGAATATAATACAAATGCCATCCTAATGAATACAAATACATCTAAAAATAATTTGTTTCCACTTAGCACTTATGGAGATGAGTACTCGGGGAGGAGTTAGAGTGTTTACATTTTTTTGTTAGTCTGATGTTAACACTAACACCAGTCAATCAGTACATTTCGTTTGGATTGACTTTTCTTTTTAAATGAGTTGACCACAATTAATGAGGGAGAATAGGAAAGAGGGATACACTTGGTTTTATGAATAATTGGGGAAGGGATGAATGAAGGCAGGGGGATCACGGAGCATGTCACAAGTATGCCAGAACCATAAAGCATGCCACAAATTTATAAAACATGCCATAAGTAGTGGACTTGTTTGTAAATTTTAAAAAGTTGAGGACGAAAATGTTAGGGGGAAAATTTCAGGTACTAAAATATAATTTTCCATCGATATTTTTAGTACTCAAATGTAAGGGGGAGGAGAAGGGGAAGAGGAAGGAAGAAAAAAAAAAGGAAAAATACTATAATACCATTAATAAATGTGTTAGTATGGTGATAACACTTAGTGGTCGTTTGGATGAAATATTTTCAAAATGAGTCAATTAGGCTCAAATATTTTATTTTAGAAAATGAGATAATTGTATAAGAAATTTTTACACAATTATCTTGTTCTTTGACATAAGACAATTGTCATGAGATATTTTCTGAAAATATAAATTTGCCTCATTATTTTACACCCTTCTCCACTTTCCTCTTTAAGGGTTGAGGCAAGTAGGATCAAGTACCTTAACCTACAAACCGTCAACCATCGCTATGGGTTAAGAATCTCTAATCAAAGTCAGTTTATCTTCGAAGACATACCTCTGACATATGTACTTAGATTAAAGTTAGATATCATCAATACCGATAACTATCGTGAACAAGAAATCTCTAACTTATCTAAATTCTATTGTATTTAATGTACTTACAAATTATCCCCTAAATATAATCCTGTTCGAGCTAATTCAAATACAGATTCCATTCCAAATGAACAGAAATTACAAAGACATGAAGCATCCCATCACCCTGTAGCAGAATGAATGTGTTCACTGTTGGAAAACGAGTTTGAACTAATGACGATGGAGATGGAGCAAAAGCCAGAGAAGCACTAGTGACGATCCCCACACCCTCCACATCTCCGTGTCTTCTGGCTCCCATGATTGAGTCTTCAACCTCTGAAAGAACCCTAAAGCAAAACAATTCCACTCCATTATGCAACAGTAAAACACAGCATGACTCTTCAACAGTTACAAGTCCGCCATAGCTAACCCACCACTAGCATGTTGTTGACAAGAAAGAAGCATCACCTTTTCTCCCATGATTTCAATATTCCATCAAGCCCATCTCAAGCTCTGCCTTTCTGGCACATCACAACGATGGGTTGCCAGTAGTTCAGTATATAAGTCACAGCAAACAACTCACTGTAAAAGTGAAAGAAGAATTACCAGTAGAGTGAACAAGAACAATGGCCATCCAAGTGACACCATTACATGTCAAACAAAATACAGCACAGAGAAGAGAACCAAGTTCCTTCCGCACTGCTTTTGCCTTCTGATTCCAACATCTGCAGAAGAGAAAACTATCAGAAAGCCTCTGCCTTTATTTCCAGGGGCTCTCATCAGGTTTCGATTTGTTTTGGATTCTGACACTATCCAATCCTGGCAACGTTTAAGAATGACTCATTCCAATAATTACACAGAGAAAAAAACCATGTTCAAGCGATTTTAAGGGGTGGTAAAGATTCTCCCTGCTGCTTTTCTGAGTGGTGTGTAGCACCGCCCATCCACTGCTGTCCGTCCCTACAAAAGCACCAGTCTTTCGTTTCCATAAACTTCCCCATCAATCAAAATCCATAGCTATGAACCAGTGGTGTTTCTTCAACTAGACTCACGAGGGATGAGAGGAAGTTTTGAACTTCAGTTTATGCTGTCAACTCAGTTTCTAATCAACAACAAGAGAGCCATCACTGCCCCTTTCGATAGGGGCAGCAACTCGGCACACTATATATGATGCTGGTAAGCGTTGGTTGGAGAGATGCGAAAAATGGAATTCGAGAAAGGACCTGTTGTTCGACCAGAGAGGAGAGATGCTTATAGAGTTGCTTACATAATCCACTTCTTGCTTGGTGCAGGCAACTTGCTTCCATGGAACGCATTCATCACTGCCATCGACTACTTCGGCTCCCTATACCCGAACAAACACATCGAAAAGGTCTTCTCCGTGGCTTACATGAGCTCTTCGGTGCTGGTTCTGGTGGTGATCATGAGCCAAGGTGGCTGGAGCAGCAGGATGAGTTGCAGGCTGAGGATGAACTTAGGGTTCTCCCTCTTTGTTCTCTCCATGATGGTTGCTCCAACTCTGGACTGGAGCAGCAGAAATGGCTCGATGCCCACGGGAGCCTATAGCATGACAGTTGCATCGGTTGTGGTTTGTGGATTTGCAGATGGATTGATTGCTGGTAGCTTGATAGGTTCGGCTGGGAAGCTTCCAAAGCAATACATGCAGGCAGTTTTCGCTGGGACAGCCTCTTCAGGTAAACCACTTTTATACATCACAGTAAAAAAGTTAAAGTTCTTTTGCTTATACCTAAATCACCATTGCATTGCCACAGGGGTTCTTGTGTCCATCCTGAGGATCATCACAAAGGCAATGCTCCCCCAGACGCCTCAGGGTCTCCGAACGAGCGCACACTTCTACTTCATTGTCAGCACTGTGATCCTCCTCTGCTGCATCTTCTTCTGTAACTTGCTGTACAAGTTACCGGTTATGCAGCAGAACCACAACAAGCTTGATGTTGTCGCTGATGGTGATGATTCAAAGGCGAGATTCTGGTCCGTCGCTAGGAAAATCCAGTGGCCAGCTGTTGCAGTTCTGACAATCTACCTCGTCACTCTCTCGATCTTCCCAGGATTCCTAGCAGAAGATGTCAAGTCAAACCTGTTGAGTGACTGGTATCCTGTTCTGCTGATAACAGTATACAATGTGTCGGATTTCATAGGCAAGTCCGTGACAGCAATATATGTTATGAAGAGCATCAAGAAGGCCACCTGGGGTTGTTTCCTGAGGCTGCTGTTCTATCCACTCTTTGCAGCCTGCCTCCATGGACCAACCAAGTGGCTGAGATCAGAAGTTCCAGTTGTGGTCCTGACATTCATGCTCGGCGTGACAAATGGGTATCTGACAAGTGTCCTAATGATCCTCGCCCCGAAATCGGTTCCAGGTTCCGAGGCTGAGCTGGCTGCAATTGTGATGATTGTGTTTCTAGGGATTGGATTGGTCTCTGGATCTGGTCTGGGATGGTTCTGGATCATATAAAAATAGCTCCATTTCCTAGAAGAAGTTCACATGTACTGCTGCTTTGATCTGTAGAAAAAAGTTAGAGAACCTAGACAGCAGCACATTGTTTGTAATCCTTTCTTAATCAGCAGCAATTATGATGATCATAACATTAACGGTGCATATCAACAGCTACTAATTATCTTTCATCATCCAACTTTACTTAATTAGCCAGCAAACAAATGGGTTTTGCCCATCCTGTGAAAAAAAGTGAGCCTAACTTCCTATTCGGAGGCATTCACGGTAAAGCCATGTGCCACCAGAACAGAGGTGCAACATGGAGCTCCATATTAATCAACTTACCTGAACAAAGGACACATCAAATAATTGAACCCTATTTCCCTGTATAGGCCAAAGGTAAAAGGGTACGAAGAAAATTCCAAAAGAAGCAGCAGCCTGTGGAAGTGGGATGGGTACACTGAACATTAGGAGGTTTTGTCAACAGCAATCACATGTATATGTATGGACCATAAGAACCTGCTTTAAAAGCACTCCAAGATAAGAAAAAGGAATGGGCAATCAATACCAATGTGTGAAATCATAGAGGAGATTCAACCGGCTTAACAGCGAAACCATAGAAAAGTTGCAGCAAGAGTATCGTAATTCGGATAAAATGTATCAATTTGATCTGCGGTACCTGATCTAACTAGCATGAATACGCTATACAATACAGTATGACAGACACTGAACAAAGCCTTCATTAAGCTTCCATGGAAGATGATGAAAAGCCTTCATTAAGCTGCGTGGAAAAGAGGCTGCTTGAGCAAACAAAGGATCTATGCCTTTTGGCATCCGCAAGGGATGGCCTTTACCTTTTGCAGCAGGGAGAGATAATTTTTGTCCCCTTGTCGATGGAATATTCACATATACACACAGAGAAAGAGAGATTGAGAAAAAGAGAGACCGAGTAAGCCAAATAGACTCATTCCATATCTTATTACGATTCTACAAGAGAGGTACTAGCAGGGATTGAAATAAGAAAAGCCAAAACTGGTAACAAAAAGGGAACGGGGCTATAAACAAAAGGGTGGTGGGTTAGAACTTAGATGCTATAAAATCTGAAGCGCTATGTTACAAGATTTTCTGGCCAAAGATTCAAGCTTTTTTCAAGAAGCAGCAGCTATTGGAGGAGGGAGAGGTGGAATTCCATGGAAATAATTTGGTGGTGACAATTTGTTCATCTCTGGAATCAAATCCAATCCCCTTTGTTCTTCTTCCTCTTCTTCTTCTTCGGAATCCCAAAGGAAATGAGCATATGAAGCAAGAACATAGCTGCCAATTACCGAAACAAAAACCAGAAACATCATTACTACAGTATTCCAACAATCTTTAGGATTATATTACAACACAAATGTTAACAAACAGAATCAAGAAAAGGCTCAATCCTTCTTACCAATCTTCAGGAGCAGCTTTGACAGCTCGATCGAAGTAACTTTCAGCTCGAGAAGAGTCCTTATGGCTCTGCCATATCAAATCCGCGTACATCGAAAGAACATCGCCGTCGTTCGGATTAGCCAAGATTGCTCTCCCGCAGTACTCTTCCGCTTTCACGAAATCCTGACGAACCTGCAAAACATTCAGCAACGCATCCATTTTTTAGCACAGAAAACTTCTATCTTTCCTTTCATGGATCCCCAATTTTAAAAAATTCAATCAACTCATTACCTCTTTCAGAAACTTGGCATAATTGCCAAGAAGAAGCGAATTCCCGGGATTCGCATCGATCATCGCCTCGTAATACACCTCCGTCTTGTAATTCGAATCCCAGAACTCCGAATTCCCATCTCTCCCGCCACCGTTGGAGCTTCCACCGCCGCCTCCTCCGCCAATCCTCCCGCCGCCGCCGACCAAAAGCGTGGCCAACCCACCATCCGCAGCACAATCATCTCCCAACCCATTTGATCCCAGGAAGAACCCACCGCCCAATTCTTCCGTCTCCTCCTCTTCCTCGACAAAGACCGTGTTCACCGGCTTCCTCCTCGGCACCGCCGGCGAAAGCTTCCTCAGATCCGTCTCCGAGAGCGCTCTCGTCATCTTCCTGACGGAATCCTCGTGGGGAGACGAGGAAGAAGGCGAAGGGATGAGACTCGGAGGGGAGGCGGTGAGCGAGACGGGTCTGGTTTTCGCGAGTGAATGCCGGGGGAAGAACTCGGGCTCCGCCGGCGGTGGTTGCGGTTCTTTGGAGTGTGGGATCCAGGAGTTCAGTATCGGAGTAGAAGCGCTACGAAGAAGCATTTTCTGAATGTTTTTTTGTTTTTTTTAATATGAATTTCTCTCAATGGAAAGCTTGAGTTTTTACTTCGCTCTGTTTTGCTGCAAACTTTTTGCTGGTGCAGGGGAAATGGAGAAGAAAGGAAGGTTTGATATTTATAGCCCGGAGGAGGAGGGAGCGGAAGGAATAAATCGGGGCCGTTGATTCGTCTCTGTTCATCGATCTGGACGGATGAGAAATAGTCCGTGTGATTCACGTGCGTACATTTCGCCTCCGTTTTCAGCCTGTCAGTGCCGCGTTTGGGACACCAAAACCGGGTTTTTTTCGTTCTATAATTAGAGAAAATCTATTTAATGTTGTTATACCATTTGTCCATTTCTGAGTTCTTAATTCTGTTGCTTAATATTTTTCTCACTAACATAGTAACCATGCGAAGTGATTATTTTTTCCCATTGAACCAAAGTGAAATTTTTGCCAATTGTGTATATCAGATATTCAATAATACATCAAGGGTTAAACAATTGATCTGGCATTAGAAACACAACGAGACTAATAATTTAAGAAATAGATTGAAAATATCGTCGACGTGTCGTCATAAAATTAGTGATGAAATCATTATTTGTAGAGAAGGGAGTAAAACTAAATAATTTGTAGTAAGTTTCGTGAAAATGAATTTAGATTCTCCATAGTTTTCTCTATGAATCTACGCTTTATAACCTCATACTTTTTTTTATTTGCATAATAACCTCATACTAAATATTGAGAGGAGGGTTATAACTCCATCTTTAAGTATGCATACCTCCAATCCCCCATCACTAGACTAAAAATCCAGCTTCAACACTTGTAGATGGTATAATCGGTATATGGTACAACATCGTAAGCATCATAATCGAGTCTTTAATCTTTATATGCAAACGTGGTCCGTTTCCTTTTAACAAAAGCAAAATCATATACTTTGAATGGTTAATTTTCATCTCTCTCGGTTGTCACGCCTAATTGTTTAGTCATCGACATGCATTTATAACAACTTCGTTCGAATCAATGTACATTTTCAGTCATTCATTATAATTTGATTAGTGAATTCGCGTTATAAATCAAATAATTTTATCAATTAGTTTGATTCGACGTAGCATAATATGATTCGGGGAGATTTTACATTACACCAACCATATTAAAGACCACCAAACGCGACCTTACATTATGGAATTGGCCTCTTCCACGTGTAATACTAATAGTAAAAACAATAATCAGAGCGCTTGGTCACGTGACCTCGGAGAGGAACGTTTCCCCCGGCCGGCCGGCAGTCAGATCCTAACGCTCCGCCTCAACTGACGGCGCGTACGCCGTGAATCTTGTATTGTCGTTTTCAGTGATTACAAAACCACAGGCGTTTTTTTTTTTTTCTTTCCTGGCGGCTGGGTCGTCGGTAAGTTTCTCCCGTAGTGTGTAAACGTCGGATCGCAACACGATTTATTAGTTGCAAATTGCGAGATTTGTTGTGGACGGTTCACGGCTGGGCTCGGGGCCTGGTTGGCCTCATCTCCACTGGGCCCACAGGAGACGATACGTGGAGCCCATCAGCTCGATTTTTTTATTAACGGTGAGCTATGGGCTCTCGGGTCGCGATCCATCGCCATCTCCTCCGTCCAGACTTTTGTGGAGCCCAGCTGGAGTTTGCCCATTCTGTCTTTTTTTTTTTTTTTTTTGCTCTGGAGAGGAAGAGGGGGGTAGGATCGTAAATTTCCGACGACGATCGAGATATTCTTGTTTATTCCCACCCAGGCCCTCTAATATCCAGTGTTCGTTTCTGCATGGGTCAAGTTTCGTCTTTGATTTTTAGGGTTTATAATGACGTGTGAGCCATGCAACACCTTTGAATTGATTGGTACGTAAATTGTGTGACCATAGTAACGAATTGTGGAATGGTAAGACTAAATTCCGTGACGATTGTTAAGGTGACAAGATTGAACAAATACATCAATACATGAGACGAGAAACACCATTGAGGCGATTTGAACACATAACCTTTCATAACGCTGAGAGAGGTTACACGAATCCGATTGGAAACCAAACTACTGTGTATACAATGGAGTAAGGTAAATCACGATTAACGATAGATACGTGTATCTATAATTTAAATAGGGTGTTTTGAGTACAAATTAACATGTCGAAATAAGACCGAACGAGATGATACAAACATAATAAAAATCTAAATATCAAGTGGTTTCTTGTTGCTTACAAATCGAAATAATACCCATCCAAAACATTTCGAGACAAACAGAGGAAAAGTATAGTTTCTACTCTGTTAACACCTGATTCATTCAAGATTACATACTGTGCATTACAAATTTACATGTTTTTTTTTTCTTTCTAATTTAATGACTTTGTCAACAAATAAACAACATTGATATGTTGGTATTTGCTAGGAAATACACAATTGGATTCCCATTGGCTGTAGTGGAATCAATCGAGGAACTTGCCAAAACAGAATAAATTGACAGAACAGAAAGAAGATGACACTTGAAGAAGGTTTATTAGCAGAGCAAGAATCCTATTCAATGCCATTGCCATCAAGCCCTGAAGTTAATTAAATAAAGCTTGCGACAGCTGCATTTCGTTTTTCGTAGGAGAGAAAGGGATGGTGCGAAAGTTGAAGACCAAGTTGTGTCGTAGCTGGCCAGATTATATGAGATGGCCGGTTACGTTGTCTTGTTGTGAGATAGCCAAATATGAGACTCAAACATGATTCTGATACCACTGATCTTCAGTGAAAGGCTGCAAAGAACGATGCTTCCCATTAACGTTTACTGTTAAGGGTGGCCATCGGTCGATTTGGCCTAGAATAATCAGATTGAATCGAGATAAGATCGGACCAAAAATCAGAGAAAATTGATGACGGAAGTCGGGATAAAGCATATTTGGTCCATTTAGGTCAGAGTCAATTGGGTACAAATTCATTTTCGGTTCGCTTTTTTCATAATTGAGATAGCTTGTAGGATCAAAATATAGACCTCAAATGAAAGTCAACTCATGGGCTTGAAGTTTGCACAGGCTTATCATACCTTGTGCTTTAATCAACTGTTAATATTGGGAATGGTGGAGATTCGAACACACAACCACTTGATCAAATCAGCTCTGATACCATGTCATAAACCAGTTGGTACCAATAACTCAAGTTGTTGAGAGAAAATTATGATGGATCGTATACCACACTTTTACAGTTCAATCTCCAGTATTCTATTTCTACCTTGTACGGCCTTCCAATGAGAGGAAACTCTGGACTCGAAACAAAGCACCCTATACGCACACGACGCCCGTCTCTCAAGTCTCATCCAAAGCTTTGTGATGGTTTTTTCAGCTGTCTTCTTCTTCTTCTTCTTCTTCTTCACTTTGATGGTGTTTAGCTCTGAGTGGTTGGTCCTTCTTATCTAGTCGATTTCTCTTTTGTTCTTTCTTCGTACTGCCTTCACTATCGATTGTGCAAATCATGGGAGTTTAAGTCACTTACTTATCATAAACATCAGTACACATGGCAACAGTGAATATAAAAGTTTCCACTTAAAAGTACTCTTATCGTGTTCCCTTGATCAACTCATTCGATTATGGGTAGGCTACGAGTGAATTTATATATGAGGTGGGTAATCGTCGGACAGATAAGAGTGTATATGAGATTTGCTTCCATATTTAATCTGGGTATAGGTCGATTCATTTCTTGTGCATTGTATTAATCACCGAAAATCTTCAAGACTAGACTATATGTCGATAACAGGAACTCTAAGTGATGGGTGAGTGTATCGTATTTAACTTTTTTTATAGGGATAATATATTTAGTCATTGTGTTATTTAAAGGATTCGAACGTAGAAACTACAGGTTTAAATCCGGTGATAATACCACTAGACAGAGACCTTATCCGTCGTATTCATAAACAACATACACCTGATGAACCGCAATTGAAGCTAACATAGAGAAGAATATACCGCCTTGACTTGAACCCAACATTCTTAGCAGCATCCCCATTGGTATTTGCTAATTGCAAATCCTCCATAGCACACTCAAAATGCAATTGCAAAGGTGATTGCACCATTGTAGTGGGCGCTTGCTAAGGTGCAAACTTGCATTAAATAAAATTGAAGATGCAAGCTACACCTACATATATGAAAAGAAAAATTGATAATTTATTTTATACTCCTTCCTTCATTAATTTTTATTTATTATAAAGTCACTTAAACACATATATATACAATTGCAAATTAATTATATTGATGTAAGATTGTATGTGCAATTAAATAAAATTGAGTTAAATTGCATAAAGTTTGAAATGACAAGCTCACTATGGAAGCTCTTTGTCTTGACTCTTGTCTATTTATAGTAATCGAGAAAGGGCAGAGAATTGGGTTTCATGTTCATTCTGGTCCAGTGAGTCTTGCAAAAGCCCATTTTCAATTACAGAAATAAGGCCCATTTTCTTAGCACAGGCTTCAGACCAAGGCTTCGAAAAGCCCATCTGCCCCAAAATATCGAATTTGAGACAGAATGTATTGGACTAATTATTGGATGTCTCCGCAATCTGCATGATGAGTAGGAATAACAATTTCGACTTATATTTTTTAAAATTACATCTAATTTTACTTAAAATTGTAAAACAAAAATATCTAATTATGACATGTCCTAGCTAGTTAGTCTCATGGATTTTATCCTTGGTATTTGGTTTTTTTGATTAACCAAACCGAAACGGTTAAGAATCTTATCATGTTTTGGCTAGCCCGAACCAATAAAATCCATAATGGTTGTGGTTTTCACTTTTGAGAATTTCTCTTATTTGATTTTTCATGCTTAATGATCTGGTTAACCAACCCAAATGAAGAGCCATAATCACAACCATTATATTATACTAATTGCAAGATTATCTCAAGCTACAAGTTTCCCCAACACACAGGGTTTTTATTTTTTATTTTATATTCACACGTGGCTCCCATTTCATTAATTTGTTTTAATTGTTGCTTCCCCTCTACGTACTGATGATTTGTCGTATCCTCTTTTTTTATTAATAATTATTACCTCAAACCTAGAGCAAAGCTCGTCATGAACTCATGAAAGAACACAAGGCGTACACAGTTCAGTTTGATTGAGCTATATATGAATTAAGAAAGGGTTTTAGTTGCAATCGTTAATTAATTAATAACTAGCTCGACAATTTAGTTATAATCACTAGCTTAATCAAGCCGTTTAGCTTGAGCCGCCTAACTTGGCCACCTCGACTTCTCTTTAGTTCAGGTCATCATTCCTTTGGATTCGGTCTCGCTATACTACTTCGGCTATGAGTCATTTAACAATTACATTTTAGCATCTAATTTATTTACTCATGATCAACGGTACCCTAGTATCTACATCAAATCAAGAAACATGACATCGCCGGTCTTTTATCACCCATCTCGCGATCCCTAGTACAAGCTCGTCCCCAAATTATCCAACCCATTGTCTTCTGATCTAATCGGACCATGATTACGGAATTCCCCCAAAATCATAACCTAAATCCAATAACTATGCCGACTGTCGAATGCTCGGTTTGCCCGCTTATTATAACTCGTCACTCGCCGTTCACATAGACGACCTATACCATCACTGAACTCATCTTAGCGAAATTCATGACTACGCCACTGCGCCAAATGAGAGTGCTAATGGACTTGTTAGATAGTAGTACTGTAATCCCAAGTTGATGGGATCTTGTACATATATGAAAGCTAGCTGCGAAATACCAAACTCTCTTCTGTGCATGTTGCGTCAACTAGCACATATGTTACATGATGATGTAAAGTGTAAAACCCAAAAAGGCGAAAAAAAGGCCAAAGGAGAAAAAGAAAGAGAGAAGAAGGGTTCGTCGGCAGCAAAATAACATGGTTGGATGGTAGTGCTCTTATTTAGAGTTTATTTGGATGGAGAATTTTAGCGGATTAAATTTGATTGAGGCAAAATTCATCATTTTTACAATATAACATTTGGATGCAGCGATTTCTCTTTAGAAATTTTGAATTGACTCGTTTTGAGTAAATTTTAATTGCTCGAGGTGGAACAGATAATTGAAAATGACTCATTTTAATTATTTCGTACTAGTCTACCTCGTGTATATATATAGTCACTAGTTAGACAGTCCACTCAAAGGTCCTCACCCCTTTTTTTTTTTTTTACGAAGATTGACATAGGTTTTTTCACATTCAAATATGAGACATTCACGTTGAACTAGAGATTATACCACATGATCAAACTCTCATTCTAACGTTTTTCATACTCATTGTAAGTCGTAGTTAATATAATTTTATGTAGGAGTCCTAATCACATAGACATATGTTAATAATTAAACATCGAAGAGGATTGGTGTTTTAGAAGTAGTAGAACAAGTAAAAAAAAAAACACATACATGACATAATAGAGAGGGAAGGTAAAACCTACTCAATTGTCAATACCATTTACATAAAAAAAAAAAAAATCAAATTACAATCCCTACAATTGTCAACTGGTCCAGGTCTCTGTTCTAATCCGAGAATTGTTGCTTGCTCACCATCTTCCCCTCTTCATCCTTTCTTCCGAAAAAATTATTCTTTAACATCGGTGACACCTTGGAGCGCTCCAAGGGCGAAGACATCGTCGATATTCCATTTTTTTTTCCCCAACAGACTTTGTGTTCGTGACCATTACCACCAACCAATATCCTTCCGTCGCAATTCTCCTCTGTTATCCCCGGCCATTCAACGACTGCTTCTCCGGTAATCGGAGATTCCCTATTGTTCACTGCCTCACCGTTTCAAATTTCCGACGAATTGAGGATCTCGTCGGGGTATTCTCCATCATTGGTAAAGCATCCTTACCTTTTTCATTTTTTCCCCCTTTTGGCTGCGCGTGTTCGGATTCCGGTGCTTAGATTCTGGAAATTAAGAATAGGGTATTGGCTTCCTTTTGTCGAAGGAATCGAAAGTTGATCGCTTTTTTTGTTTTCTCTGCGGGTGCTGATTTGGGTTGGCGTTTGATCGGAATAGTGAGGAGAAGTTTTTTGAATGCTGCCCTGAGAAGCTCCGGGATTGTGAAATGAGCTGCCGTGCGTGATGACGAAGGTAACGCGGAAAGTCGGGAAGTATGAGGTCGGCCGGACAATCGGCGAAGGGAATTTCGCCAAGGTCAAGTTTGCTCGGAACCAGGAGACTGGTGAAAGCGTCGCCATTAAAGTGATGGCCAAATCCACCATTCTCAAAAACAAAATGGCTGATCAGGTGCTCTATCATTCTCCCTCAGCTTGTGCATATGGTATTGAGTATTGACAATTCTTTTGCTGAGTGAATGGGAGGGGAGGAATGGGATGGAAAGATAACTCCTTTTGTAGCTTTACTATGTGTTTCTACTTGATGAAGAAGTGTTCTAGCTAGAGCAGGATAGACTTCATTCCTGTACTCTCTTTTTGAATTTTCAATGAGAATGGCTGGTTTTGGGTTTTCACTTTTCAGATTAAAAGAGAGATATCGATCATGAAGATTGTCAGACATCCTAATATTGTTAGGTTGCATGAGGTATTCTCTTCCACACAGCCCATTTGGTGATGAGTTCATTTTAGCAATGGAACCTTTAAGCAGTCGTGCTACTTCCCTGTGTCCCCTTCTGGTAAAGTAAGTAACTTTTTGTTATATGCAATACTGTTCTTCTGTTTGTAATTAGGTTTTGGCAGGTCGGACGAAGATATATATCATTCTTGAGTTCGTTACTGGAGGAGAACTGTTTGATAGAATTGTAAGCATCTTTTCTACCTGCTTCTTTGCTCTTTCTTCTTTGCCTTATCATTGTCAGTGCAGCCCTATGAACAAACCCCTGTTAGCTTGGTGTTGTTTTCCAAGAAGTTTGAAATGTGGTTGTTGCTCCAATAGCTAATCATAACATGTAAAGAGGCTAATTGGCACTTTGTCCTTGGATGGACTTTCAGGTCCACCAAGGAAGGCTTAAAGAGCACGAGGCAAGACGATACTTTCAACAACTTATAGATGCAGTGGACCACTGTCATAGTAAGGGTGTGTACCACAGAGATCTTAAGGTGAACAACTGTATGTAAAAATTAACTTCCTCTTTTCGCCAGTTTGAGTTGGATGTTCTGAGACTAATCAGGAAATTTTCACTCTTGTGTAGCCTGAAAACCTTCTTCTTGATGCTGCCGGGAATTTGAAGGTCTCTGACTTTGGATTGAGTGCGTTGCCTCAGGATGTAAGTAGCCAGTTACTAGCTTAATCTGTCAGTGGGTTTTGTCTAGTTAATTCACCGCAACCAATCCGTTAGAACCTTCATCTGTGATGCAGGGTGTTGATATTCTCCATACTACCTGTGGTACACCGAATTATGTTGCCCCGGAGGTACTCTTCTAACCAAACATGAAATATATGTTTTAACTCACCACTTGATGTTTTTCCTTTTCATTCTAGTCAAGGACTAAGTGTTGTCTCCACGGTTGTGTGGTTTGTCGCTTATGCAAAGCTCTTTGGGAGTTATTCCACTATTAATATCATTTCCAAAAGTTGGTCGGTTGTTTCAGGAGTCACTTAGATTTCTGACATTGACGAACTGTATTTCAGGTGCTCAGCCACCAAGGTTATGATGGGGCAGCTGCCGACATATGGTCATGTGGAGTAATCCTCTATGTTCTGATGGCTGGATATCTTCCATTTGATGAGACAGACCTTCCAACTTTGTTCAAGAAGGTTAGGTTCTACTTTCATTTTCTTGGTAGAGCTGAGTGGGTTTCCGGATTTATTAGGTACTTTGTGTTTGAGATTGATTGTTCTCGAAGAAACAGGATACACACATTCGTCTTTTGGCTAGTTATAAAGTTCAGCACTGCATATTTTGATGCCAAACATATACTATGGGTGTAAATTAACTGCTGCATACATTTTGGGCGATTACGTAATTTCCTTGTGAAGTTGTACCTATATCTCGATCTAGTAGGGGGCATGACTTATCAACCAAGCGTTTCAGGATTGGCGTTTCGTATATAAAGATAAAATTGCTCATCTTTTTGTTCATTTGCAGATAAATGCTGCAGAATTCACTTGTCCTTTTTGGTTTTCTCCAGATGCAAAGGCCCTGATAGATAAGATACTTACTCCCAATCCGAAAAAAGTGAGTACTGTTTCTTTTAGTCAAATAATTGTTTCTTCATGTGCATAGCCAGTTCTTAAATTGCTGCTCTCCTCAAGCTGCATGGTTAAAGCACACTTTAATCATTGTTGTTAAGATTGTCTCTGTATCAGTTTTCATGTTATCACAAGAGGTCAACCTTCCAGGTTCATGTTCATGACTGTAGTCGTAATTTACCATCTTTTGCGTATGTAGGTAGTCATAATAGCCCATTTGTAAGAGCATGTTTTTTTCTCTCTCTCTAAGCAATGACTCTAACACGCGCCAAAAAGTCTAGCTATGGTTACATCCTGATAAAGCATTTGCTAATTAGTTTTGACTTTCAAATATCAATGCTGTGATGTGATTTAACGTTATGTACCTATACGTCCTGCAGCGCATAAGGATAAAGGGAATTAGAAGAGATCCATGGTTTCGGAGGAACTACGTGCCTGTGAAACACACTGAAGAAGTGGAAGTGAATCTGGATGATATTCGTGCAGTCTTCGATGACATCGAGGTAGGTCAAACATGCTCACACCAGAATACTTGTGCAAGCCTTCATAACTCTGTTTTGCATCTTTCTCTAATTGTAGTGTTCTTCATATTACAGGACCAATATGTAGCAGAGAAATCAGAATGCAGTGACACTGGACCATTAATAATGAATGCCTTTGAAATGATTACCCTTTCCCAGGGGCTAAATCTATCAGCACTGTTTGACAGACACCAGGTATATATTTCACCACCACAGATATGTTGTTAGCATTCATTCTAATGAAAGAGGTTTCACTCTGTTGAAAACTTCTTCAAAAATCGAATTCATGGAGTGCAGAAGTTTGAAAGCCTTGTTATCTCCACAAATAGGCCAATTTTTGTTTTATTTTTTGCTGCTGATACTGAATCCATTACCTGAATCCATCATATTTGTATTGCCGTGGACAGGACTATATAAAGAGGCAAACTCGTTTTGTATCCCGTAGACCAGCAAAGGATATAATCTCAACAGTCGAAGCAGTTGCTGTCTCATTCGGCCTCAAGGTTCATACGCGTGGTTACAAGGTCCAAGCCTTTCTAAACACTACCTCTACTTTCCATAAGCGTGATAGCATTGCTGGTACAGTATAGCGTTTTGCTGTCCTAGGTCGTGTTCACTTCCTGCCAAATCTGTATAATGGACTTCATATGATTAACAGGAGCTAGAAACTAAATTGCATAAAACAAAGAAAGGAAATGCAGCCAAAATAGTGTATCAGTTCTACATAAGCATCTGAAATAAGCCGATGTACTAAATAAAACTCCCTTGCAGATGAGGCTTGAAGGAATGTCAGCGAATAAGACTGGTCATTTAGCAGTGGTGTTGGAGGTACTTTTCTTTACAGCTTGCTCTCTCCTCCCTCCATCCTGTAACCGATCTTAACCAGATTCATCCATTGTTTTATGCTCCATAGGTTTACGAAGTCGCACCTTCACTGTTCATGGTAGACGTAAGGAAGGCATCAGGGGAGACTCTCGAGTATCACAAGGTAGGTAGCTCTCCAAGTATAATAATATCACCATCTAGTTAGTCTGCCTCTCTAATTGGACATTCTAGAGGGGATTAGAGTCAAATTCGATTTGTGATGGCGTTTGTGGTGTGCAGTTCTACAAGAACTTCTGTGCAAAGCTCGACGATATCATATGGAAGCCAGCAGAAGGAGCAAACTCAGGCCTGCTTCGAACGATGACTTGCTGATCCATGGTGGCCAGACTGGGGTTTTCTTGGGCGTGAAGCAACTAAACTATATATATGTAAATAGTCTCTCTACTTGCTCTGTTCGATCCTGAATTTTTGACAATCATGTTTCATCCTCTGCATACATCACCATGTCTTGTCTTCTGGAAAAAGATGAACTCCCAAAACGTAGAACTACCACTCTGCCAGGAATGAGTATATTGAGCTCTGGGTTTCTAGTGAATCTGCAAATCCAATGCAATCGAACAACTGACGAAAGAGTCTGTTTTGTTACCAAGTACCAAATATGCACTCTGGATGAATGTAGAAGCATATCAGACTGAATTGGTACTCCTATCACTTTTGCAAGGAATGCATAAGCAAGCACACTACAAATTGGTCTCTGTCAACAAGTACAAATAAGATTGAGCTCAGACAACGAAAACACGACCACTTCAACCGAATCTAATTCCATGTCAACACGAGTATAATCTGTTTTGCTTCAGCAATGGTTTTACATGTATCTGTTGAAACGTCCATCACTCTGTCTTCATCCTCTACTCCTATACTCCCGATTGTATCCCGTTTTATAATCTTCATATCTTTGAGTTGATGGCGCCAACACTTACGTCCGGTTTCGCAATGACTATCATAAGAATTTCTCATCATAAACTGGCGGCATATATACTGTCAACAAATCAAAAAACCCAACTCCATTATGAAGAAGAAATGTATTGGTCAAAAAAAGACGGCTAAAGAGCTGGGAACAAAACTATGTAGAGGAAGGAGCAATGCCAAAGGACAAAACTAGGGGGAAACAATAGCTGAAATTGTCTTGATAAACTGTAAAACATCGTACCACGGGAGCCTTTGAGGGAGAGTGACTCCAAAGATGGAGCCTTTGAAATTAGTTCATCAACCTTCCACCTTGCCCATTTGCATGCTTGATATACTAGGACAGAGTAAAAAAAAAACTTCTTTACAAAAGGAAGATTGGAACTAATGAAACTAGCGGTTTAAAGTGAGTATGATTTGACAGCAAAAAGTATGATTTGACAGCAAAAAGAATGAATTCCTTACCGTTAGCGACAGCTAGTTTTTTCGGATTTGGCATCAACGACACCACAAAATCACCTCCCATCGGCGTATCACAGATGAACAGCTCTTCCAGGGAGTCGACCGCTGTAATCACCAGATCCTCCACCGGGGATTGGTCAAACAACAAGAATTTCAGGCTCGGAAGATTCCCAACCTGAACCCTACGAATCCCCACAATTGACGACAGAAACAGCCTCTGTAACAGAGAGGCGCCGGCGATGATGCTGTTCAGAATTCGGCCGCCGTCGCCGTCGTCGTGAGGGAAGGTGACTCGGGAGAGAGAGAGCTCCCTGAGGGAGCTGCCGAGGTCCGCGAATTGGGTATCTTTGAACTGATCGAAATTGCAGTTGACCAGCTTGAGAACTTGGAGGCGGAATCGGTGGCCGGAATTGGAATTGGGCACCAATAACCCCCGCGGGATGGTACACGTCATCGACCCATCAAAGCGGTGAGCTCTGTCAATGTAGCCGGGAAAGCAGGCTTGAATGTCGAGCTCTCGGAGTCGGGGAGATATCTTTGCAGCCAATTCCAACAATTCGTCGAGGAAATCGGAGCAGAATTCTGCGGCCCACTCCTTTTGACGACGGAAACTGATTCAGACAGCTTGTATGGCGGTGGTGATCAGGGTATCGTCGCTGCTACTGCAGCCGAACTTTTTTTTGGCGGCGGCGGCGAATCTCTTCGCCGATTTCTTCGTTGCGAACTGGGTATCGTGGAATTCCAGGACCGGGTAAGATCGCCAGAGATTGGCCCATCTTTGAGACAGGACGCTGGTTTTCGCTGCTTTTTTAGAGGGTTCTACGCGAGTGAGGATCTTATGGATGACGTCGTCGGGTAACTCCGATATCCGGTCGACCTCTTCTTCGCCGGTCGGGATTTGGTTAGTTTCTCCATAGCCATTGGTCTCCAGGCGGCGGCGTTTCCCCATAGTTTAGGAACGGGTGGAAGAAAGCTTTAAGAAGAAAAACAGGGGATGGTTCCTAATTCAACCCTATTATTAGGTTTTTGGGTTCTGGAGTTGGTAGCCCAAAGTTCCGATTAGTCAGAACTAATGCTGCCTAGGTCGGCCAATTGATCCTTCTACTTATTGAAAAAGGATTCTGTTAGTCAGACCCAATGCTCCATTGTCTCCGAGACTACTCGCGAGTCGCAATACACGATCAACGGTTATACTTGAGATGATCATTTCGTGTGGCATGCCTTCTTCGGAACACCTGAATCGAGCAATGACATGAACTTTTCGGAACCATGTTTAAGGACTAGAAAACAATACGCACCATGTTTTATTGAAGAGAGGGGCACGGTACAAACCATGAACATAACATGGAAACTGTTCAAAGCAAACCCCCCATAAGAAAGACAAACATCAAAACATAAAGGCTTAAACTTCAACATCAAGCAAGACACCACACGATGATTTGATCTTACAATGGAGCAGACAGACCGAATTTATTCTTTATTCATAAACATAGCAACACAAAAGAGACTTCATAACCTTAAACCAACAAAGTAAATTGAGAAAAGCTGTAGTCGATCTGAGTGACAGAAGCTTAAAAACATCTGATGAAAGAGATTGCAGTCCAGCAGAAACCCAGAACAAAGAAACGATCGTCTAAACATGGCGATATTTAGATAGAGAGAGTCCCACTAGTTGAGACTCACAAACTAAGAACTGTCTTTTTTTACTTTTGGATGAGGGGAAACTGTGTGGCTTTCTGGTGACTGTAAAGGGGAAACAATGGCTATGATCTATGGAAGGAGTAGGGGTGCCATAAACAGACTTGGTATAAGCCTGCAAAAAAGAGGGCAGATGATGATGGGTGTGAGGAAAAAAGGAGTGATGATCTTAGCCACAGCTTCCCCTGGGAAACAACCAAAATGCCTGTGTTTTGTTTTTCTTTTTCGGGTTTGGCTTGGTTTAGTAGCTAGGCCTATTCTGCTCTGGGTTAGCAGATTAGGCCAAAAACACGACCAAAAACTTTGCTGGATTCTGCTGCTGCTGCTGGCTGCTGTGCTGACTGTGATCTACGAATCTATGACGAAACTGAAACGCGAACATACTGCGCTTCTCTCGATCTAGGACAGGATATCACATCTCCACAAGCTCTCCACTAAAACCTCGACTGTCTTGCTGCTGATGCCATTGCAGTGCTGTAGGTTCAACCCAACAAGAGTCCTCCCAATTCTCTTCAAACAAGTCAGTACCCTGCTTGACAAGTAACAGCAGCCGGACAACGAAAGCACCTGAATGTTGAGCTGAGTGGCATTTGATAGGTACCCAATCCCTGCATCTGTAATCGCACACCTGGACACGTCGAGATCGCTGAGGAACATGCAGTGCTCCGCGATTGCAGCCAAGCTGGCGTCGGTGATCCTCCTGCAGCCGTCGAGGTTCAACACCTCGAGTGATCCACCGTGTAGCCTGGCCAACGTCGAGACCACTTCGTCGGACAAGCTCGAGCAGTCGCTGAGGTTGACCTTCTCTAGACCGGCATTGCAGCTCCTCATCAGTGGGAGAAGCCCCGCGTCGGTAACTCCATGAAGCCCGGACAGTTCGAGATGCTGGAGTCGAGGGCAGAGGTTGCCTACGAGAGCTAGTCCGAGACTGCCGAACCCTGGGCAGTTCTTGATGGATAGAGAGCGGAGAGAGCTGCATTGAGACAATGATGACAGTGAGAGCCCTGCTGTAGTATCCTTGATTCCCATGCACCTCACTAGGCTGAGTGATTTCAGCTTGGCTCCACAGTTTGAGATTGCGCCGATGATTCCTGATTCTGTAACTCGATTGCACTCTTCCAGCTGCAAGCTCTCGAGACAGCCTGCTGATCTGGTGAAACTCATCAACCCATTATCAGACACGAACGAACACTTGCGGAGGCAAATTTGTTTCAGGTTCAGGCAGCCCTTTGAGATGGCTTCCAGGCCGAGATCTGTTGTTCCCCTGCAAGAAGTGATCACCAAAGAAGCCAACTTTTCCAGTCCTTTAGCTCTGCCCATGACCCAAAACCCCTTCTCGCTGACAAATTGGAGGCCAGTGAGGACCAGACTGGTGATAGACTTGCCGTAGTATCCAACTACTGCGAGAGAGAGATCTGTGATGTTTAAAGACTGAAGCTTGACCTTTGATATTGCTGTAGACGACGAGAATAGAGCTGATAGACCCTGGTCGCCAATGAGAGGGCAGTCCTTGATGGATAAAGATTGGAGCTTGGGACAGAACTTCGCAACAGCTTGTACCCCGGCATTGCCAATCCTCGAGCAAGATTCGATGCTCAAAGATGACAAATTGGGGCAGCTTCCAGCGATTGCAGCCAAACCCTCGTCGGTAATTGAAGGACAATGGCAAAGGTCGAGCTTTTCAATTGAATGGCACTCCTTTGCTATAGCAGACAACCCTTTGTCACTAACCCGAGGCACATTCCATAGAGAGAGTGTTCTGAGAGAAGGGCAGCCGCGAGCTATTGCTGATAGACCAAGATCAGTGACTCCATGACCAGAGGAGCTGCTGTTTCCACGAATGCAAAGCTTGCCAAGACCTCCCCGGCTGCTTGTCCCCACAGCAATAGCAGCAAGCCTCAAGTCGGTTGCTTTCTTCCCTTCCAATGACCTTGTGAGACACCCATCGAGCTCCTCCACGCTTTCACCGCTCGCCATCTCCACATCGCCGCAACCCGAGACCGGCTTGCAGATTTCGGATCTCCTGATGCTGCTCAACACCATGAGCCACTTCTTAGACACTGAAGCGCACGCGCCCCTCTCTTTGCCTCCGGAGATTCGCCTGAGGATCTCGAAGAGACACTCTTCTGGTAGGACTTCGATTGACGGCTGCCTATTGCTTTCCTCGGAATTGAAGGCAAATGAGGAGCTAATCCGAGCTCTCTTGCAGGCAGGGCTGTACACATCTCTAGCAATTGAACACAACTGTGCCAATTCCATGGGGTTTGAACGAAGTGAATATATCTCCCCGTCGCCTGTTAAAAAAAACCCCAAACAAACAACAACCCAGAACAAAATCAGCTCAAACCTCTCATTGGGGCAATTCTACAAACAGCTTAAATCCCCAATTTTTCTCAATACCCATAAAAGCTATCATCAATCAGATTCAGAAAATCAAAACAAATGATCAAGCAATCAAAAAACCCAATTAGAGAAAAGAGCCCAGAAAGAAATAACTCACCATTACTGTAGTTAACAAGAGCAGGCATGATTGAACAATCCCAGAAAACCGGAAGAAGAAGAAGATTCCTTGAAGAAGAACGAAACCACCGCAGAAACTTGAGAAAATCAACACCAGGAAGAGAACATACGCCAGGATCAAAGAACCCAGAAAGCCTGAATGCATTCGAAAAATGAAAAGCAGACAACTTGAAACCCCCTCTTCAAGAAGGGGGCAAAAAAAGGAAGAATAGAAAGAACGAACACAGAGAGAAAGGGAGAGGTAGAAGAGGAAGAAGAAGGAGAATGAAGCTTTGGTTTCGAAAGAAGAATTTTTTTTCCGCAACTTTTTAAAGCAAACGGAATCATCGAAATGTATTTATATATCACAAAGGGAAATTAAACAAAAAGGAAAGAAAGAGAAAAATTCTGTGTGTGCTTACAGAGACAGCGATTGATGCAATGGCTCTACTTAGCTCGGCTTTCATGCATTGAATCCTTCCATGAACCTGAATATTTTATTCATCCGGTCCAACCGTCCTCCATATCCCGACCCAATTTGCTCTATGGCTAGCCAACTCCTTTTACTAATTCTTTTCTTTGTAGTACATTATAAATTTCATATGCATATTGTGATTATATATAAGAGGTGATTAGAGATTAGTGATTGAGTTTCAAAGGTAATAGATTGATTGGATTCTTGTATAATGGGCAATACTGATTTTAGGTAATATATATTTTTTTATTTTATTTTAATTAGTGTTTTGCTTAAATGCGATAAAACCGGTTGGATAAACCTTGTGTACAATTGAATTGAGATTTACTTGGCATAAATACGAATCGAGAATTGAATTAAGAAGATATGGATTACTATGGCTTAGTGAATACCTGTGAGATAGCATTCACATGAAGTAAGTTTTGATATTCTGGATAAACCTTGTGACTTGTTGATACTAAAAGTACGTAGATTTTCTTGCTATAAGTACCAATGAGAAATTAAATAAAAATTATAACAAAATTAATATGGTTTAGGGAATATATAAAATATCATTCTCGAGTAATGCATTAATTTTTATTACAATTTGTAATTTGTCAATTTCTTTATACACATTGTGACCTTCATGACAATGCCTGGTCAGATGAACCTTGTGATGACCAGTTGATACCAAGAGTGCGTCGATCTTGCTATAAATAAAAATCAAGAATTGAATTCAAAAGATATGGTTTAGATAATACTAGGAGATAGCATTAGCACTATACTAGTTTTGATATTCTAGACAAGTCTTGTTACCTGTTGATACTAAAAGTGCGTCGATGTTCTTGCTATAAGTATTATTCAATAGTTAGTTAAAAATGATAGTGAATGAGTATGGTTATGTGGAATATTGGAAAATATTATTCCAGAGTAATACATTATTTTTAATTAAAATATTTACATTAGTTCTCGATAGATATCGTGACCCGTCAATATCTTAAAATGTTGAAATTTTATTCACGTATGATTGGTTTAAAACATATAATAGGAACTAAATTCAAAAGATAATATATCTCGATATGGTTTATCAAATATTGAGCGTATGGTTTACTAGTAATACGTTAATTTTGTACAGTTGATACTTTTTGAACTCATATAGACCTTGTAACCTGTCAATACTTAAAGTGCACAAATTTCCTGAATACATCATGTCATAACTTTCTCATTCTAATTTTAACTCCATAATCTGAATTGACAAGATAATAAGCACATTAATACGACATTTCTAATACCAAACTGTATATCCCTCCCGACATTTTCGGAAAATGTATTAAATCGGTAGAAACACGTGTATTCGATTACAACAGATAGTTCACCAATCCTACCGATGAAAGAGAGTGTGACTTGTCAATAACATTAAATTAGAACCTTCCCATCTTAAAACATAAAAGTATTTACATTTTTCTAAGTAAATCAAACCACAACTTTCTGAAAAATAGCTAGCCAATGGAATTTTGGTTCCTAGTGTGCACAATGAATCAAACAATTCAATTGACATGGTATTGGTGGTGGGGGGTTGAATTTGAAAGTCTGACAAATAAGAACTTTTGCAAGTTGATTGAGCAAGTAGTGTGGTGCATGGATGGACCAGAGCAGCAGAAGAAATTGGTTGGCTGCTGGCTAGTGGGTTAAGCCAGGTGCATGAATGAATCAATGAATGTGCATTATATTTGGTTGGCTCTGGGTTGGGTGGACCTGGCTAATTTTGGTTCGATTGAGTTGTTTCCATAAGTTAATATTTGATTATGGTAATGGCAATTGGGGCAATTGGGAAGAGGGCCTTAGGGATTTGGGGGGGCAGAATTAGTACTAATTAATCCATAATTTTTGGATGAACTTGTGCCAGCTGCTCTTCGTGTTCTGTTTTTATAATTTGCTAATCCAAGTAATTAAACCAATTTACCTACCCCTTTTGGGGTCTGGATTTGGTTTAGACTCTGTGCCACTCTGTTTTTTAAAACAACAGATTTGTGGCAATTTGATTGGTTTGTATTAATTATTGTATTTATTTGATTAAGTGTCCACTGATTGCGATCATGATGTAATTAGGGTTGATGTTTTCATGAGGAGCAGGAATGTTTATAATGGAGTTTGGGTAGGAATAGAAGTTTATATATTTTTTTTCTAGATGACTTAATTGTCTCACCTATCTATGACAAGTTGTTAGTTATAAAATTTTATTATCGATGGTGATGAATAATCGAAGATTTCAATTAGAGGAGACTAATTTTGAATTCGACATCTTGCTTTGTTTTTTTTTTTTTTTGGTGCCGGATTATGCATTTTCTATTAGATCGAACTATGCATTTGAGTACTTGTAAATCACATAATTAATCTCAATTACATCAAAACATACAATCGCACATACATAGGATGGCAAGTGTTTGAAAATTCCCTCAAATTAAATGGGCGCTAGTGGGTATGTCATAATTGCTAATAAGTGCATGAAACAACTTCTAGATGGTCCTTCATGTTATTGTTGTCTTTACGGGGTCGTTTGGATGCAGTATTTTGATGAGGTAATTTGGTCGAAATAACTCAGAATGAGGTATTTCAACCAAAATAACTCGTTTGGCAAAAACAAAGTAGAATGTGGTATTTTGTCCATGAGTCAATTGAAATAACTCATTGTGAGTTATTTGAAATACCTACCCACCCCCTAGTTATTTCAAATACCTCATCTCCCAACTTATTTTTCCACTTCATCCATTCTTTAAGTGGTGAAATACCACAATATTTGAATGTTTTATCCAAACAAGACAATTACACTAATTACCACATTTCAAAATGAAATACCACATGAAATACCACATAGCAAAATAATGCATCATTTGGATTCGAAATACCATAGAACCAAAATGATGCATCCAAACGACCCGTTAGTGTTAGTCAATGAAGTAATTAACATGATCCTTAGAGTTATCTACACTAATTAAACACAAATTAAGTTACATCTGTAAAGAGGAATTTCCAATCGTTCATTGATTAGCACGATTAAATAATATATAGGGCCGATTAATCGTACGAGACAGTTGAATATCACCCACTCACTCCATCCACCTGGTAAACGGGATTGTCATAATGAAGTATTACGTCACACCGATTGGTCATAGGATGGATAAGAAGAATTTTATCAAGCTAATTCATCCGTATGGTAGTGGATTGTAGTGGAAGTGAAACATTACCCATCTATATACCAAGATTGCAAGTGTCACTTACAGACTCGTGCACGACTCATCTAATCTTCCAGTTGGTTAACTAATCTAATTGAGGACTCCGAACCCATCTACTAGAGTCACCACCCATCATTTTCACGAGTCGTCTCCAAGTAACTCGATTAAACCCACAAATCACCCGCTCTACTGACCAATCCTGCAATATCATGAATTTCAAGTTGTAATTAGGAAAAGCTTCCCCAAGCACATAACTAACTTATTATAGTTTAGGTTAAAGGAATTCTCTGTGAATGAACCAATGAAGAAGTCAAACCAATACCTTCTTCAGGGTTTCCATTAGTAGTCCTTCTTTCACCAATCTCCATTAGGTCAAATTTTTTGGTTCCTTCCCCACACAACATTGCATAAAGGTTCCACCTTTGATCTTCCTACCAAGAGACAGCGAAATTTCTCTGCGGTTTTCATTTCTTTAATGCTTTGTTGGGAAATTTTTGGATCAATCTTGGTTTGCAATTTACGACATTGACTACATCTTTAGGAAAGGAAAAATGGGTCCTTGAAAGATGTAGAGAGAGAGAGAGAGTGGTAGAGAGAGAGATTCATTGTTTGCCACTTTGGTTCACTTGTCTTGGACAAATTGGGGATGTGATGTAAAATATGTACACTGCATTGAGCAATTTTGTTTGTTTTACTTTGTAGGGTCACATAATATTCCTTCTTCATTCCTATCACTCCATTTTTGTTTCTTCTTCAACTTGTTGCCTTGGCCCTTAAGGGCCCATACCCTCTCAAAAGGGTTGAAAAAATGGGATGACAATTTCGTTTTCATCATAAAAAATGGATTTGATGTGGGTTTGGGTTAGGATCAATGCATCTTAATGTTCATGTTGAATTCTATCTCCAGATGGGATTAGGAAAATTGATAGATAGAGTCGTTGGGATGTAAGATTTGACTGGTAAAATTTGATGTCGTATCTTTTAAATTGAAAAAACTGACATTTTTTTGTTTGTTTCATTCAGAGAATCCGACCGTTCTTTTAATTGAAGAATCATTTCGTGAATTGAAAAAATTTACAAATCAATTCGTAAACTAGTTGACTCGATATATCTGAGATTTATTTAAACTGAATTAACCTGTGTGTTCTTATTCTTTCTTAGATAACATAAATTATCCTTAACAAATACGATAACCTTTTTTGATCTGTAAACATGGTAATCTTTTGGGGCGAAAAATTAAAAAGATTGAGAATTCATTATTTGTTAAAGAAAAAAAGTGTTTGTTTGTAGCTAGTCATTATTTGATGAAGATGAGAACACAACAAAAAATTTGGGACAAAGAAGAGGTTGAAAAATTCGAGGAGTAAAAGAAAATGTACGAGGATAGTTTGGAGAATACAAAACAAAAAGGAAAATAACATGTACATCAACCTCCAAGTTAAAAAGAAGTGAGCATATACTAATACATTTCTCGATCAAACAAACTCTCGAGAAAAGTTCATTCACTTCAAATCAAACAAACAAAAGATAACATCTCTAAATCTCTCGCACGCCACAAATTTCACCCAATTATATCTCCATATTATCGAAATTCACATATTTACAAGTCGTGCCTCCAAACAACCGACCTCTTATTTGCATCTCATTTGAAAAAAAAAAACATGATCTCAAAACTTCCATCACAGGACAGACAATCCAACTTATGTGTTTGAAACTGATTCGACTTTTCATATGAAAGGTGGTTGTTTTGTTCTTGAACTTCATCTAAGAAGTGTTAAAATTCCTCCTCAGAAAATAAACACCCTTGATTCCTTACCAGGCTAAGTAACCTATATTCTTTAGTAGTAAGTTAGGCCGTCTTCTAGATTAAAAAAAAATATATAATTACTTTACTTTTGGTTGTGGTGATAACTACCAAAAATTATAATTACTTTACTTTCATGATTGTTGTCGTTTTAATCAAGTGGACATGAAGCTATCAAATGAAACACGATTACGTGGTCGACATTTGGGACGAAATAATTAAAAGGGAATCGGTTGGTTAATTAGGTGAATGAATTTGTGAACGAGAATGTGAAAAAAAGGGATCATGTTCATGGAATCCTAATTAAACGCTTTGGTCCCCCATTGATCACCTTTTTCTTTTTCAGGTAGGTTAGTGTTGTATGGACTACGGATGTCGACTTAATTATAATAATCTGTTATTAGCAGAGACTAATCTTACGTAAGAAATGCTTCTATTCTCCTCCTTTCTTGCACTATATAGTGCTTTAAGTACTTAATTAAGTTACGTTACCTAAGCCAAAAGTACATGGTCTGATGATAATGAGGTTTAGTGTTCAATTCCTTACGACCTGATCCAATATTAATAGCTGATTAAATCTCATGGTATGATTGACCTCTGTAAACTTTAAGATGAAGAGTCGGCTTTCGCGAGACTACTTGGTTTATGATAAATTGAGTTCTTGGGGGAACTAATGCATACTTTATTATATGGTATTAGAGTTTTTGATAGAAAGTTTTTCAGTGTCTAAACTATATATCATTGCTCTCAATACTGATTGTTGATTTAATCATAACGTATTGATAACTTTACGAAAATTTCAAGCCTATCTGTCACAAGATAGCTCTCTACATGATACAACAAACATTCGAAAAGCATATAACAATTAGCAAAGGCACTAACCCCCTACACCGACCGCTTCAGAATCCAAAATAGATATCGAGTTTCATATCTCTGACCTTGCCTCGCTCACAGTTCTGACTCCGCCACTGTAACCAGAGCCGAGAGCCCTACTTGTTACTTCCTCCACATTACATATTGAACTCACGACAATTTGCTAAGTCACATCAAACGGATGCAATGAACATGTAATCGATGATCAAGATCGACTATGGCGGCCCATCCCTGCAAACAGATTACACAAGAGTATGGGGCTCCATTAAAGATTAAAACTTGTTAATACTGCAATTGTATCTGGAAATAAAAATGATCCATCTTTTCAAATAACGTTGTTCAATTTTTCTTGTGAGTTGGTTATCACTTTTGGTAACGAGTTTTCGTGAGATACCTTGACACGTCACCATGTCACGACAACAATTCGTTACGTACCATAAAAAGATTTTTTTTTATAGTATGTTGGATGATAATCATGATGTTAGATAGTACCATTTATTTAACAAATTGGATGGTATACAAGATGTTAATTAGTATGTATCATTCACTTATGAATCGGATGCATGCTATAATAATAAAAGATGACACTATCTATTTAAGAGTTGGATAGTATTCATGATATTGGATGACACTCGGTACACTAAATGGTCATCTCACATTCAGTTATCATCCACACAACAAAAAAACATGATCCAATCCGTCAATTAAGACAAATCGTTATAAATAATCGAGTTGTTTATTACCTATAAATAACCCATGCCATAGTTAATTTTTTGTTTGTTTGTTTGTGTAAACATGCATACATGTATGGCAAGGACTAAAGTATATGATATACATCTGCGTGTCCGCTTTGGGCCAAAACCGCACGGATTTACTCTTGGGTGTCCTCCCCAAAATACCTCGTACAAATTGGGCTAGGTGGCCGGATACTAATCTACAAGGATCATTTCCTTTGTATTTTCGATGTGTTATTTGGATTGTCCCATAACAACTTGGTCGATATTGTCATAAACCAGTTACTATCAATAACTCGAGTTGTTGAGAGAAGATTATGATGAATCTTATACACGAGTACATCTGCTCGAGCAATGAATCAAGAGATTGATAAAGCAAATCAAGAGAGCACGTATCCTTATTAATAACATGCCATGCATGATAACAACAAGCCAAAGAACAGAAACCAAGGAAGATTTTGTGGGTGGGTGGATATTTGGGAATGGGAAAAGATCAAAGAGATACGATCGAACCGAAACAAATCACGGCACCTGCCCGTGTAAAAATTAGGATTATCGGGATTCTTCTTCAACCAAATCCCCACAAGCAAAAACTATATATATTCGATTTGGTTGGGCCAACCAAGATTGATTTTGGTTTCTGGTCGTGTTGTAGGATTTGATCAGTTGACGTGAATTTGTTGGGGTCTGCCCAGATCTCTAATTTTAAATATTTAATCTCAATTAGTTAATTATGGTTAATTCTACTACATTATTATATATAAAAAATGTCTTCTCTGTGACATCATAAAATGCCTTTAATTAATTTACCGACTAGTCTACGAACAAAGAATGCAATGGTGCTGGTCAAAATTTGCAACACGCACTCCCTGAAAACCCCGCCGGCCGGAGCTCTACACATGTCTTCACTGTCTGTATTTCGACTGACGGTAATCGTTATTTATGTGATTATACAATGACAAGATCGAACATATATACAATATTAATGTACGTAGTATATACTTATCGAACCCAACATTTTTCATTCACCATGATGTTTTTTTTAGTTTCGATTGACTCGTATCATATCTATCCAAAATTTTGCAAACAGTATTGCCCATTAGGGAAGTCACTTCAGATCTTGACATTAGAAAATGGAGTTTTGCATTCCGGGGAACGAACAATACTTGCTCATAAATTGGCTCATTTTTGTAATGGATAGTGAAGAAATTGTAGTTTGGGAACATTGTTTTACCACGGAGTGGTAAGCTGATGTTGTAGCCCATGAGGCATTCTCTACTTGATTTCAATGAAATTACATTGGTTTACCCTAAAGAAGGGGGAAAAAACGTCTTCCTCTTACAACAATGTCACAATTCTCGAGAGTAAACAATTAGTTAAATACCATGTTGACTTGAACATCATCCCTTTTTATCCCATTAGTTTGTGTAATTCAAACTCGCGTCACTACTATTATTAATAAATATAATTTTTCATTAGGCTACAACTTTTTTGTTGTTCTATTCTAAACACTATGTAATAGAAAACCCCCAAAAAAATTTTATCTTTAATTATTTTCAAAACCTAACAGTTAAATACCATGTTGACTTGAACACCATCCCTTTTTATCCCATTAGTTTGTGTAATTCAAACTCGCGTCACTACTATTATTAATAAATATAATTTTTCATTAGGCTACAACTTTTTTGTTGTTCTATTCTAAACACTATGTAATAGAAAACCCCAAAAAATTTTTATCTTTAATTATTTTCAAAACCTAACAATTAATCTAATTACAAGCTACCCTTAATTTGTATTAATTTTATGGTTGTACGAAAAATGTTGAAAGTGTTTTTTCCAGGTTGAGTTACATCAATAACAAATTTATAAGTCCAATATGCCTCAATTCGTGAATGATTGCATTGTAGAAAATACCAAGACAAATTTGTTGAGTAGTGTAAACACCAAATGTATTTTACAATTTTTTTCAGAATATGAATGGAACTTATACGAGTTGAGTATGATCTGCAGTCCCTCCGACGCCCAGTCAGCGTAATTCTGCCGGTTCAGCAATCAAAACATAAGCGAGATGGGAGATAGGATTATAAACCAGACCACAAACAGAAATGGAGCGAATATATAGTTGTACAGTGTCTGCATCTCAGCTTCTTCTTCTTCCCGGTTAAGTTCAGCTCAAAAGAGCAAAGGCTGCAAACATAACAAAAGACGAGAGACATGTACCAGCTTTCCTAGCTTACTCATTTTCATCAAAAAGTAGATTGAGCAGAGGTAAGTAGCAGTTATTGAGGGAGTCACTGGTCCAAGTACTGAAGGAGTTTTCGATGCAGCTCCCGACGAACCCAAAAGCTTCATATTCCTCCTCCGAATACAACTCGAGCAATTCCTCGTACCTTGGAATTACAGTAGGCCAGCAAGGGGCCTTCAACACGAAGACCGCCCAACGAGGAGCATGCACTCTTAGTTCAGAGTAAAACTCTAGCTCACCACCCCTCCTCAAATCGCAGGACAAGATAGCGGCGGCTTCCCCAGAATCACAAGGAAAATGATGAAAGAAGACGATCTCTGGCTTCTCTGGATGCAGATAAGAGTAACGGATGCTCTCGAGTTCATAGTTACACCTCGATGTCTCGAGCAACCCTGGTCTTTCCAATGCATCTAGGAATGGAGCATCATTAACACCAAGGTCATAGTTACGAAACCTTGATATGTTCAACATCCAATCTTTACCGTCTTCTTCGTCCCCCCGTGTCCAAACATGTTGACGATGATCGCAACTTGATGTCTTCAACACCCCTTCACATACTTTCCTCCAAGAACACCGGTCTCGTTCCAATCTCCACACGCTCGAGGCGATCCCCCTCGAACAACCAGGTTCGGGTGCTTACTCGAGTACAAATACGTGCAAGGCACCATTCGAGACGGAAATATCCCACCACGGATTCGCAAAGAGAGGCGAGGCATCGATATAAGTGGGAGGCACGTCCAGGCGGAAAGGATCGAACACAGCAAGCCTTGGATTATACAAGCCAGCTTCTTCCTCTTGGGTGTCAAGGTAGCACCAAAACAACTCCCCATTGCAACACACTGCATTTCTCAAATGGAACTTGAGATGGGCATCAACAGAGACAGCCTCCTTCATCCATTCTCTACGCTCGGAACAGAACACGTCCATCTTCAGAGCATTCAGATGGTTGTACATACACACCACCCGGAATCGATACTCGTAATACACAGACACCTGCCCATCCCCAAGATCTAGACAATTCGAAATACGGGGTTCGCAAACTAACCTCGCAACCAATCCCGAGCTCCCGGTCGGCCACAGAGGCTGCAGAGGAAGCGGGAGCCATTGCTTCGTGAACGGATTGCAGACAATGTACGATCTGTACAATCTAATGGCGTGTTCACGAGCATCCCCAGGAAAGCCGCACAAGAGCAGGTCACCGCAGGAATCCAAAACTACCAGACGCACTCCAGGAGGCGCGGGGACGAAGCTCTGGATGATGGATTCCGGGTCGTCTGAGGGAAGAAGCAGAGGCGGCCGCAGCTCGCTGATGCTCTGGTGGTGAGAAACGAAACGGCGATTGAAGCTAGGGTTGGAGATCAGAGACCTCCAGCGCTTGCAGACGGCTTTGCTCAGGCAGGCGTATCTAGGGTTAGGGAGGCGAATCAAAATTTCTAAGAGGAGATCTTCCCCAAGTTGATTGATCATGGGAGAACGGACCCGCTGTTTCTTACTACTGGGTCGTGGCTCATAATCGGAATTGCAGATCTCGGTCGCCATGGCAGCACTGCCGGAGGAGAGAAGATACGGTGGTTGTAGGTTTGTCGCCGACGACGAGAATTGGGGAAGAACATCTTATAAAGCCACTGACTAAACCTTCTTCTGTTCGGCTTAATTAATCTTACCACCAAAATATTAAATTTTTTTTTTTTTCACTTCATCCGAAGAGCCCAGATGGGCTACATGGATTGGGCCAGTGTTTGATGAAAGATGGGCTACATTAATAGGGCCCAGTGTTTATGAGAGAATGCTCTGTTTCAAAAATATTAAAATATCATCATTGGCCGGCCCATTACTGAAACTGGCGGATTAGAAATATCCAATCCTTATAGGATACGGATTCCGAATCCGAGCCGGAAACCGAAATTCCCCAAGACCAATCGCCGTGATTCTTCTCTATAAATACAGCACCTTCGAAGTTTCACCAATCCATTCCCAGCCTTCACACAAATCAATTCCAATTGCAGAAGCTGAAGCCATGGCGATCATCTCCGACATCGAAGAAACTACGAATTCTACTCCTCCAAGTGAGCAGGAGAAGAAGGGGAACTCCACTATGCTTCCAAACTCTGCCAATGGGCTCGACATGGACAAGTACTCCTGGGGGCAGAGCCTCCAGGAAGTAAGTATCACCGCTCCGGTCCCCACCGGAACCAAATCGAGGCAGATCACGTGCGAGATCAAGAAGAAGTCTCTGAAGCTCGGGCTCAAGGGTGAGCCAGCTATGATCATCATCGAAGGAGAGCTGTTCGGTCCGGTGAAAGTTGACGAATCATTCTGGCATTTGGAGGATCAGAAGACGGTGTCCGTTCTGCTGACGAAATCCGACGAGAGGAACTGGTGGAAGTCGCTGGTGAAGGGAGGGCCGGAGATTGATACCCAGAAGGTGGAGCCAGAGCCCAGCAGGCTGGGTGATTTGGATCCGGAGTTGAGGTCGACGGTGGAGAAGATGATGTTCGACCAGCGACAGAAGGAGATGGGCCGCCCTACGAGCGACGAGATTCAGCAGCAGGAGCTGCTGAAGAAGTTTGATTTCTCCAAGATGAAGAGGGTCGACAAGTTCAGCAATATGGCTTAAGAGCAGTTACTTACTGTGTTTTCTTGTGTTCTTCATTCTCCTTTTGATGTTTGTTTTCAACTGTTGTTGTGTTTTGCTCTTATCCTTCAATGAAGAATACATGCATCCATCAGATGACATTAAGATCGATGAATTATAAAAGAAGAGTAATGCAGTTGTTTCCATGGCCACATTTACAAGATTTGTAAGGGAGAAAGAGAAGTTCTTGGTGGGAGTAGATTACCAAGTACCAAACACAACGACGTGAATATCAACTAGCAAGATCAAACATTACAGAAACAATATTAAAGTGGGAAAAGGCTTGTTGCTTGCTAAGCCCTTTCCTTTTTCTCAATAGCTCTCTTTTTTACCTCTCAACTGTTTCTTATCAGAAACTATTTACACAAGTCTACTAGAGAAATGGGGACTGTTTAAGGGGGGAAATACATGTACAATTCTGAAGCATCTCTAAACTTGAGCAGTTTTGTTTGTTCTTCATTCAGTCATACAAACCTTCTTGCTCCCATACATCGACTAGAAAATCTACCATTTCCTGAAACAGAAAAACAGAAGCGGAAAATGATTCTCGTTACAAGGAGAGATGCAGAAAAAAACTACTCAGGAGGTCAAGGACTTACAGAGAGCGGGACAGGCCGGGGGAAAGGGTTCCTGCTTCCAAGCAAGCTTTCATAAGTTGCATTCCAACTGGATATTAAATCAAGTATTAAGAACAGACAATGGAACGTGAATTTGAGAAGGTGGGGGTGGATTTCTTTGATTTGCTGTGAATACAAAAAGGGTAATTGCTAGCTACAAATGGAAGGAAACACATCATCTGTTGTAACACAGTCAATCCGAAAGCATCAAATCGTTCGGTACAATGATTTGAACAATGATGTTAGAAGACGGTTGGATGTGCAGGAAAAATAATGCATCAGCTTCTTCATAAAAAAAAAATAAAATAATAATAATAATAATAATGCATCAGCTTGGCCCTATTTTGCAGAAGCATCTAAATGATGTAGAGTACAATGATCACACAGCACATCACAGAGATGAAGACATTTGACGAATGATTCCAACGAAAGATGAACAACCACCGGTCCACCAGTACCAACACGAGAATGGCAGCAATCAATAAAGCTTTAATAGAGTAGAAATAAGCAACTGTTTACAAAGTGGCATCTCATTCAACATAAAGTTTCAGCTCCTAACATTTCCAAAAAAGCACAGACAAACTCTGATCAGCAACAAGGGAAAGGTTACCTCAACTGTGGTCCACTTGTTTGACGAGTTTGATTGCTGGTAGACTCACCACTCCCAGTCCATTGAAGCCTGCCCTGCTGCCACAGAAGCAGACCTGCACGCACGCATTCAATGAGCCGTAGTTAAGAGGTCTAGGATTCAGAATTTTGACCAACACAGAAGAGTAATGGAAGTAAACTTGGAAGAGTGAAGTAAAACAGATTTGTAGTTAGTTACCATGATTCACAAAGTCTGTTGTACTGCCACTCATGGTGCCACCACTGCTAGTGTTGGGGTTTGAAGCACTAATTGAAGATACACTTTTTTGAGATTGCATAGCACTATTATCGAGCTCACAGGTGCTGCTGCTCCAGAAATCCTCAGATATACTAGGCTTCTTCACTGCCCGGCCTTGTATCCTCAATCCTTTGGCTGGCTCGTCCACAGCGATTATCGGTGTGGGCTTCCCGCAGCATCCAAAACAACCACTGTTCTGTTCCAAACCAGGTTAGAAACCGAAACCAGTAACGGAAACCGTGTGGGAAGCAACTAGACCACTTGTAGAGGATTGAAATGTATAGAAGACAGAAAATTTCACATTCATTGAACTGGCTTCCTTTTGTTCCCAAACAAGCTTGGTGGAGTGGCAAATAGTCAAATACCATATAATTAGAAGATAAGAAAAGGAAATGGACAGATTGGTGTTTGTTCAACTTCCATGTCATAGACAAAAAGAAAAACAGATTTAAGGACACAATCAAAAGACCTAAATCAGATTGACCTCAAATAAACAAAACAGGTAAAGCATTCAATCTTCCCATCCAAAAATCAAGCCATCCCATTGACTTACATACACTCTAATGGAAAGTTGATGTCCCCTAGACATGACTTGAAGGCATTAATTACACTATAGAGCCAACAATTCTCTACCTGTTTTCTTATGTACTGGTTGTGTTAGGAATTCCATCTCTATCAGGTGAGGAAATTTTCCAGTCCTTGGAGGCCATTATTATATTTGCTTTACAACCACTACTACTTTAACCAATCCACCTATAAAGGCTATAAACACTTCAATGGCCAAGCAAATGACATGATCATTAAACAATTTATAATCTTTCATAAATTAGGGGGCAAGGAAAACAATAAAAATGAAAGAAAAATAATCTCTATCAGATTGAAATCAGCAATTTCAGCCTTTCTCCCGCAAAGATTGTCTCCCCTCTTGAAGCCAACTTTCCTAAACTAGAAAAACAAGTAAACAACAATTCTATTCAATCCCAACTCATGCTCCCAATACACAAACAAGGACCAAAAATCTCACCTGGATTCCAGAAATCCAAAACCCAGGAAACAAGGACCAAATACTATATTTTTACTCAGCCAAAAGAAAACTCAGAACAAACAGAAGAAGGAGAAAAGAAGAACATGAAATCACTTACCCCATACAATCGAGAAAGTGACGGATCCAAGAGCAAGCAGAGGCGTTACTAAGTGTCACCATTTGATCAAGAAATCAACAGCACGAGACAACCCAATCATCGAATCGGAACCGGGTACGAATTCGGGAGAAGGAAAAGCTGCAAAAAAGGAATCGACTTTATGCTGAAATTGGAAATGGGTAGCGTTGATTTGTTGTTCTGTTCTCCACCATGGCAACCTGCTACTACTGGGTTCTTTCTGTCTGCAACTTTTGGGGAAGGCGCTGAGAGGGCGTGTGGGGAATAGAATGGTGGTGGTGGCTGCTCTGGCTAGAGATGAATGGGGAGTGGGTTTTGGAGCGAGTGATTAAAGTGAATCAAAAATCGCGAGGAAGAAGAAGAGGAAAAAGAGAGAAATGGGGGAAGTTAAGCAATTGATTAGTGAGGTGTCTGTAATGTGGGGATGCGCTTCGTGGGATTGGATTATTTGCCCTTTGCCAACCTATCCTACGCTCTTCACGCGCTTTCTACTCTCGCGTGCACTTTGCTTGCTAAGGTGAGAAAATGGGTGGGTTGGATGAGTTTTAGGTAAAAATTTGCTTATCTTGATGGTTCGTAGAGAGCGGAATGGATCATACTCATCGATATGTGATATTATCGAGTAGTTGGTAGCAGATGATGGTTTGTTCAACTAGTTGCGATGGTGTGTGCATGAACGCCTCGGAGCTAGCTTTCAATGATGACATAGTATATAACGTTGTATTTTATTTCGAATCATGTATCGAAAAGTGAATTTGAGACCGTAAGGTTGATTCTGCACATCATATGGGGTATAGAGATGAGTAATAGACTTGATGTTTCGTCATCTGAAAGAATGATGGTGGTAGGTAAGATCATTGTATTTGTCGGATACCAACCTACCCCCAACATTATCCAGACGTCATTTACTCGTTGGTTAGTTGTAACCAATAACCGGTATCTAGCACACGTATATCCACGAGCACATGAATAATGAGTATATAGTGATAGGTGATTCGTACGTTATTTATAGAGACTTCTTTACCAGTATCCAACACCTACAAACAGTGGCAATGCCATTGCCAACATTTTTTTTTTGATAATGTTAGTATTGAAAAAAGTATATACTATTTAGCACCCAGATGTAACAGAGGCTATCACGTTCCAGGCAGGTCATGCCATGGGATAATTTGCCATTGCCAACATTTGAAACGAGATAATAGCCCACCATCTCGCGCTACTTTGTATTGCTTATTGAACACATGCATGCACATTTACAACTTATAACGAAATATTTAATGAAAATTGTAATCTGCTATTGAGTTACACATAGCTCCGCCACAACTTGCAAAAGAGCTTACTAACCCATAGGAGTTGTGACGAATTGAGTTGTTTATGAACAAGGGAAGGCCCGTTCTTTAAAGTATAATGCATAGTTTAGCTTTGATTCTGTCCAAAAGAGAATATGCACACTTTCCTTTCTATCAAGAGAATCCAACAAAGAAATATTGTATAAACTCAAACCAAAGTGAAAAAGGAAGGGAAAAAAAAGAAGGGAGGCCATGGCCATGAAAATAAGGCAAAAGGAAATTAAAGCAAAGAGACATCAAAGGTGGTGTAGTGATTAATGATTATCATTATATCCTTTGTGAGAGAGACCTTCTTTTTCATTATCTCTTATCATCTTCTCATTTTTCTTTCACGAGGATGATGATTTTGACTCTATAATGATAATTTGATGCTGAGGAAAATTTTCTATTGGCAATTGGTCAATAATGCATTGGTGGTAATAATTTGAGTTGTTGATGAACAAGTAAAATCAAATCTTTATATTATTTGCTTATATATCATCAAATAAGAGAGTCTAGTGAGCTTGAAGATTGTGTATGACTTATCGTACATTGTACATCAGTCAAGCGCGAATATTGTGAGCTACTAGGTATGGTAACCAACTCATGTAACCAACTAATGACCTTCTGACCAAACACTTTGAAATACCACATACCAGGTCGACAACCTATTGATACTCGAGGCGATTGAAGTTACTCGGAGAATGGATCTAGGTGGCCTCTAGAACCCAACCACCACATCAGTCAATCATCGACCATACCAAATACCAGGGATTGTAGGAAGAAATGTTTATAGATATATACGACAATTTCGATCTGGCACGTTTAACCAAACTTGTTTGACCTGTTTTGGAGCGAGTAATACCCACCCCGTAGGCAGGGTAGGGCGGACATGAGTGCTCTCCTTATCTGACCTGCCCATTCTACACCTTTTTTTTACAAAAATTACATGTAGTTTTACTCAAATTATCTCATGTTTTAGCTATAATAAAATTGTAATATGTGAGTGTCTATATTTCTTGAATAATTTAACTACTTTGATCATATTATAGTTTGTTTCTTGAAAATCAATATTTCTAATGTGCATACTCATATTATATGGGACGACCTGTCTCGACCCCACGTTCCTTAATAAATTATTCGAACTGAACCCAGTCCTATCATACTATACCCGCTACGATCTGCCCCATAATCATTCATACATGGAGTCGAGAAAAAAAATGGATGATAACAGAGCAGAACCACTATGCCAAATTCATGAATAAGCATTAGGTTTTGGGGCCTCAATTATGCATGACAATTAATTTCGGCTGTGAATTGAGGGACCCTCCTCACCTCACCTTATCTTCTTTGCTGTGTTCTCAATACTAATTCAACCAATCATTCAAATTTCGCATTCCACACAGTTACAACTTACTTTCGATTTCAGAAGCCATGGCGTGGCAAATTTCTAAAGGATCAAAATCCTTTCCATTGATTCCACCTGTTGACCAATGATTCAAACACGGTTCAAACTAGCCGAGCCCACATCAGTTATCGCCAAGCCTGCAGCAGTCAGCCGTCGTTCAGATCATGTGCAACTAGGATTCTGCAGATTCAATTCCAGCTAAAACTGATCATATAACAATCTTATCATTTCACCTGCTTCATTGCTTGAATATGATAACGAATCCATTATGCAGGATGACTGTGAAAGTATGGCTACATGTCTAACATCATCACATTCTCTTGATTCACACAACACCTCAGCCATTGACTAAATCTCATAAGCATGAGCATACGAAGTAGAAAGTAGAGTTTCACTTCTCCGTCTTTCTTATCTCCCTCTCATAAGACTGTTGCACAGAAGAAAGGGCTGTGGCAGGATAAACAGCATAAAGAACTCCCCAGATTTCAGACTGAATCAATGTCTCAGCAGGGTGAAGAGGTAAAGGAGGCTTTTAAGTATTGACAGTAATAGTGGGCAATGCGCTTCCATTAGAACGACTGTTTCGGTATCTTATTTCGCTTGCCTGAAGAGGAGAGATGCAAGGCTCCCACTCCATCCAAATGCAACGGACTTCATTGTTGGCTCGTGCTTTTTAGATATGAGAGACGGCAGGCCAAGATTAGAGGGGATCTCTTTCGTTGCACTAGACCCTGCAGACCTGGCAAGAAGGTGGTCAAAGATGGTGTTAATGAGAATCACTTGGTAGATGATGTCTATGTATGTGATTAACATCAAGTGCCGTTGTGTTGTGTCAAACACTTCAGATAGTGCCCAAAAGGACAGGGCAAGGCATTCAGAGCATGGAATTATTCATTTCGGTATGTTTCTCTGTGAGGGCTGCGATCCATATCAGTTTAAGTACCACCTAATCCCTTACATTTGAAAACTTTGATCCAAGTCAAAGTCGCTTGATAGTGCATTACTAAAGTCCAGCAGAGTTTTGGTAAAACAAAAACCCGACATCAAGAGAAGTGCCCATAAGCTGGAGGATCAACATCATCTGCCTGCAACTTTGCATTGCTTGGTCCGGAAGCTACGCTAACGACTCCATTGTTCAGAAATGAAAGACATGAAGAACATAGTAACAACAGTTCTACATCGTCCTAGTTCCTTATCAGCAACATAACTGCTTATATTTCCATATAGCATCTACTCTCCTACTCCTATGCAAGAAAGAGCTATGCAATCAGTGTTGCTATTTCCAGCATCAAAACAATCGTATGCATTGAAATGAAACGACTGCTCGTGAATTCGACAGGGCAAATTCAATCTTTAAAAAGAGCGAGGGAAAGACGATAATACGCACAAGGGGCCTTCATGGGCAAACGTCGCCATGCCTTGCCGCTGCTTGTGCTTAGGATTGGAGCTGCAAAGCACATAGACTCTCCCGCGCCGCTTAATTACTTTGCAGAACTCGCACATCTTCTTCACAGAAGATCTCACCTTCATGGCTGCTGAAAAACACCAGAGCAAAGCAAATTACAATTTCCCCCCCGAACAGAAATAGACCCATACTTGCAACTAACAAATTCAGCAAACCCATAAACTCAAAACGTGAAAAGGCGGCATCTTGCGATATGAATCGAATTGAAACGAGCTACTAAGGGCGAAATTTGCAGTGACAGAAGCGACGCGATAGCGGAAGGGAACGAGAACTTACCTGTTTTGGACTTGAGAAGCTGGACGGCGATGAGAGACGATCCGGATAGGAGAATTGAATCCGCAGGCGCAGGGGAAGAACTGTGATTGGGTTACCGACGAGACTAGGTCGATCGAGCTCAGCTGATGGGGGAGATTGTAGGTTTTTCAGTGCGACCGAGAGCTGAAAACTCTCACTGTCACTAGCTGGGACGATGACCAAATGTTTAGCCCAATATCTAGTTTTGTCAGTTTCCTAACAAAAACTGTACTACGAAATGAGTTTGTGAGGCCCAATGTTAACAAGGCCCAACATAATGGGCTTGGAAATCCCACTCGGATCGGAAAAAACCTCTACCCAACATATGTTCTCTCTCATTTAACAAGGCCCAACATAAGTAGCGAGCTGCTCACACTTTACTAGTTCAATCGGCATTAAACCATTAACGAACAGGTACATCATCAACCAGAATATTATAAGTAGAATACACATAATAAGTAATAACTCACTGAACCGTATATAAATTCAAAATAAAATACATTAATCATAACACAAAGATGAGTACTGAAATTTCTCAAGTCTAAACGTTAACATTCTCCAAAATAAAATTAACGATTTATTGTTAGTGTATTCCTACAAAACTTTTAAGTCTAATCATGTTTTTTTAACCATAAATTCAACTTTTAAGCATCTTAAACTAAATATATTATCATCTTCTCAATAATAATAAATTTCGTTTGCATATCGACACAAAACGAACCCAATTGGGAAACAACTTGTGTTTTTAGTAGGAGGACCTGGATTCGAATCCTATATCCACTAGTTTTCAAATGGCAGTCGGAAACTTAAAATCGACTGTCCGGTTCATATCGTCGGCGTGATTAACCGCTCGAACCGATTTTCAATCGATCGAGTACTCAAAAAGGGTATGAATACTTAACTGATCTGAACCGGTTTGATATCTCATTCCTAATTTTACTGGTCCGGTCGGTTCGACTCGATGTTAACCACCGTGGTAAGGCGTGTACTTCCAATGGATATATGGTTTGCATTTGCAGTCGTAATTAAGCAACGGGGGGCAAGTAGCTGACGACTGCTGGTTTTAAGAACCTTATTATTGAGTAAATGAAACTTGCCGGCGAATTAGAAACCAAAGCGTGCAACTTTGGTTAGTTAAATATTTAACTAATTGGCTGATTAATAACGTGAAGATGTAGCTACACATAGTTGACACTTCTAACCAAAGGATTCACTTAAGCAAACCCCCACAAATCAACAAGTAGTGGGTAGGTAATGGACAAAATAAACACAACTTGCTTAACCATATTATTGGAGTTGTTAATTAGTTTCAAAGTTAATAGTTTGGCACGAACAATAAGATCGTTTTGGATTGATTATGATACGAAAAATTATTGCAAATATGCGAAGACTTTTCAATGAGTCATCCAGAATAATTTGCACCTAAGCAATCCCCACAAATCAACGAGTAATAGGTTATTATATAGTGTTGTTGAACTTAATACTTTGGTTGAGAGTTAGTGAAAGGTTGTTCCTAAAGGAAAGGGGAAACCAAGGGGTTAGTGAAAAGCATAAAGCTTTTGCTCTTTTTATTGAAAACCCTAGATAGATGAAGAAGGGTCATCCTTTGCTGTTAGAGAGTGGTATAAGATCCAGCATAACCTTCTCCCAACAACTCGAGTTATTGGGATCAACTGGTTCTTGACATGGTATCAGAGCTGGTTTGACCAAGTGGTCGTGTGTTCGAATCTCCACGACCTCCAATATTAACAGTTGTGTTCAAGCACATGGTATGGCGGGCCTGTGCAAACTTCAAGCCCATGAGTCGGCTTTCGTTTGAGGGGGCGTGTTAGAGAGTGGTATAAGATCCAGCATAACCTTCTCCCAACAACTCGAGTTATTGGGACCAACTGGTTTATGACATTGCCGCTTTGGAAACTCGTAGAAAGAACTTTTTAGAATGTGACATAAGATTAGTGTATCATTCACCACATACATCAATTCAGCCAACGATATATGATACAATTTTAGCTAATCAAATGTCAACTCGAATCATAGACTAGATTGATAGTTTTTCGCACAAACGATCTTTTATTGCCACCTAACCATCTTACTAGTTTTGATCACGAGACGAAAGAGATAACGACAATATCTAAACAGTGGAGGATAAAAGTTGTGCATGGTGGCAATCAAGGCCAAATACTATCAAGGCCAGAATGATCTAAGGCGAGGCAGACAGATTAACTAAGATTTGACTGATGGATCTAATAATCACGAAAACTAGCTGAGCGATCGATGGTGTGATTGCTCTTCTATCATGTACTCGTCCTTAGAACTTGAAAATGATCACCTCCATGCACCGCCTTTCAAGAATCATTCATGCAAAATTCACCACAATCTGAGAATCTCATTATAGAGATTGCTCAAAATATGACTCACTTAGTGAGAAAGATTGTGGTTACAAATTACAATGAGCATTTGGTAAAAATATGCAACCTTTTGCACAATTTTACAATTAGGTGCCTAGAAAAGCACAGCAACCTCATCTTGACCAAATAACGTTCAAACTTCATTGCTATCAAACACGACTTGACTTCTCTTCTCTTCTGCTCCCCGCAAGTTGTTTGTATTTAATTCCAATTCACTTAATTATTTATTTGGCATTTTATTGTTTTGGAATTGAACCTCAAACCCTTATTTTGTTTCCCAAACTTGAAAATAAATTATAAATATGTTGGTTCAAATTCTTTGCTGACATGGCTCACAATAATACCAACAACCCAACACTCAAAACCACACACAACCTTTTGAGCTACTTAAAAGCTAAATTGGACAACAAAATCATCTTCATTTGAAATTTCTTTACATGATTCTTCCAGTAGGCATGCTATTAATGATCCGCTCAATCTTGAACGGACCAGAGTTTATTTAGTCTGTCTGTAGCGTCACCAATATGACGTCCGCGCGGATATGAGTTCTTCTTCATAAAAAGAGGAGTAGTCTTTTATTTAACAATAATTGATCCACACACTCAAAATGGACTCACTTCCTAAATATGATCAAACATTCATGGGGAATTCTATGGTGCAGTCACTGCACTAGTACCGCCACTTTATTGTAACCGGTTGAGTTGGTGATTTATTGGTTGACTCCGGTTTAGTAATTTAATTAATAAAACATAAAAAAAACAAAAAGAAACAAAAGGCAAAAGGCAGGACAGTCGTTCCCTTCCATGTCTTTCCATTGTAAATCAAGGAAACCCTTTCGTCGCGGCACTCCACCACCACGTTGTTTTCGTCGATCGACCTCACCAGCAAAATCCCAACTTCGTCTGGCAAAATCAGCTGCGTCATCAGCCCCGTACTACCACCAAATGCAAGCTCTGGTCACATCCCTAGATATGGTCGCCGGCAACGGCGTAGCTAAATCGTACACAGCTCTCGCGTTGCAGACGATCTCTCGGCGGTTTCGCAGCCTCCGGGATGCAATCGGCAGCCAATTAGACGCAATCAGGAGGAAGCTAGGCGAGCCAGAAGCAGCATCCCGCTGCATCCAGCGTCTTCGGTATGTGGAGCAGCAGCTCAGGCAGCAGCGAGCGCTTCAGCAGCTCGGCGTCATGCGCCGCGCTTGGAGGCCTCAGAAGGGCCTTCCCGAAAACTCCGTCACAGTTCTCAGCATCGTTTCTGCCGCGTGAATCCATAATCACCATCGCCATTGCGGCCGATCGACCATAACCACCCACATCCCGAATCCCCGGCAATCAATGTCAACACCGTCGTCAACCCAGTTGCCGCAGCCAGGTCACGTCTCTGTTGTGCCAATAAACCACCATTGTCGCTGGTCGGCCATCACTACCCAAATCCCGACACCCTCGAAATCGTCATAGTCGTCAAGGCTCCTCCCCTCTCGTTTTAATCACCGCCGATTCAATTTCCCCATCCATGGTTACACAATTCCTGAACCACCTTCCGTCCGTCATCGAAATCGTCTGGCTGCCCTGTCAATCCCAACAACGTCCCTACCGATCAGTAAGAGACATATATTATTTATAAAAAAGATTTAATTATAAATAGGTTCAACCAAAGGTTCAACAAAATCTGGTTAAGTGATGGTTTGTAATTAATAGTCCTGATTTAATCCAGAAATTCCAACGGCTGACAAGGTGGCGGCACTCATGCCGGCACTGCACCACAGTAATGGCGAACATTCATATCTGTTTCCAACACTAACTTCCCTTCTACTCGGTAAAAAAAAATTACAGTAAAAACACCACTTCCCCTACAGTTTTACCAACGGGGAGGGAAAAAAAAGTTACAGTTACTAAAAGTTACCGTCTGTTGGGATGTGGGCCCCGCTCTTACTTCCTCCGGTACTGAAAAGAACCTGAGGAAGAATCGCCTCGATTTTTTTTTTTTGGGCAGAGGGAAAAAAAAAGGGATTGAATTATGCACAGAGGAATCGGAGGATCGGAATCAGCAAGAGTAAGTCAATCGTTGAACCCCTCGATCCCTCAGGATCGCGGAGTAGAGCGCCCGTCTGTTCTCCGGCATTCCCCTCTCCCGCGCCGGCGGCGACGACGAAGACGAAGATTCCGACGAGACGTTCATCTTGGCGGCGGCAATGGCCTCGCAGTGCTTCCTGAACTCATCTCCGTTCCCCCTCGGCTCCACCACGTCGTCCGCGAAGCGAACCTTCTTGTTCTTCTTCTTCTTACTCTTCTTCCCGTCTTCATTCAAAAAATTAAAAAAAAAAACAAATTCCAATCAGCTCAGAGGAAAGAAACAGAGAGAATTAAAGCGAGAAGAAGTTTTGGCGTACCGGAGGAGATGCAGGATCGCAGAGATCGCGACTGGTGGAGAACGATTGGCCGGCGATTTTGGTGTTGGACGGGGAATTGAGCGGCGGCGGGGATGGATTTCTGGAGGCGGAGGGCGAGGAGGATGAATGTGCCGGAGACGGCCATGGCGGTGGCGACGACGGCGCCCTGTGAGCAGAGCGTCGGGGACATGGTCGCGGCAGCGGATTTTTCTGATGAAATCGTTCAATTTTCAAACTTCAAACAGAGGAAGAAAGAAAGACGAAGCAGCGACTGAATAAAAAGTGTGGGCGAGGCGCGAGAGAGGGAATTTAAGTAAGGAATTAAGACAGATAATCCGACTTTAAGTAGTAGTTTAACTTTGTGACCTTTGGTTGACCAGACCTAATACTACAAGGAATTAGGGAATCTATTTATAAAATAAAATCGTGGGGAAGTGGAATTATTAATTAATTGTTTTCTTTATCTGGGGAGAGTACGAATTTGTGTTACCTAATCCGAACTCGAAGGACATTTAGTGGGTATGGGTAAAACCCGAACTCGAATATTGCGGGTAATGGGTGGACATGGGTTTCTCAGTATCCAACCCGAACCTGCCCGATTATACACATACATATATATTTTGTCTAGAAATAGTCATTATTTTTCTCTAACATATTTTATATTTAGCATATAAATATAATATTTTCATGAAATTGTGTTGTTTTAATTAATTTTCTTCATTCTAGTGAAGTATTGTCATTTTTTTCCTCTTGCGTAATGTGAGAATACGTGTGAATGTTAATATATTAGTTGGAGTTATGAAGAGAAATCATTACCCATGAATAACCGTGGATACCCGAAACCCGAACGGGTATGGGCATGGTTTTAGTTTTCTACCCGTTTCATATGTGGGTATGGGTATGGGTAAAACCCAAACTACTTTGGGTAGGGTAACGGATATGCACTATCTGTCCCCGACCCGACCCATTGCCATCCCTAAGCCCGAGGACTAACTAAAGTTTTGGTATTCAACGAGGAAATCTCGGTGCAACAAGTAAACAAGCAAATGGTAGGAGGCTGGATGCATGCACATGATGAATGTCTATTATCAAGTAATGGCTATTATGTTTTCTTTGTTTCTTTTGGGATGGTCTAAAACTGGGACTTGTCACTGTTAGCAATGGTAGCAAGCAACATCTATATAAAGAACATCATGCTCAGGATCAAATGAATGGGGAAGCCATTCAACTTCACCATGTCATTGATTGCTTTTGATGAACTTGGCAACAAAGCTAGGTGGTGCTTTTGGAATCCGCTGCTTTTTTCTGTAATGTAACTATCTCCCAAAATCACTACTCTATAAACGCAGGATTGTCTAAACTGTAGTGTCCAAGCCTACCTGTACGATACAGATTAAGTACTTTAGAAGCTACGACGACACTGCGACCTTCATCGCCTAATCCACCCGGGATGCGGAATGCTTCTTCCAGAGCAGTGAACTGCATCGCAACGAGCTCTGTCAATTCCTTCTCGTTCTGCAGGTCGCCATCGTAACTCGTTATCGCCTTGGAAAGACTCTGGCGCACATCATGCACTATGAAATCCTGCAAGAACACAGCACAGGAATGTCATTCTCAAAGTGAAGATAGGTTGTGCTGATATATAATATCCTTCTCCATGTATAGCACCAGCTATGGTTGGGTTCAAGGAAGCCAACACAAAAGAGTAGCAACACAAAAACTATTATATTCGGCCCTTTCCAGTAACAAATACTCTGAATAATTCACTTGCAGTTTACTGGTAAAGAACTCTTATGATTCCTGAACCCATTTATGAAGTAAATGATCATACCTGTGTGTGATCGGTCAAAGAATGCTTTCTTCCTTTCCCCGCAGACTCGAGACCACTTGAGTCGTCTGTTTTCTGATCACTATACAGGCATCCCTTTCCAGTAGTTGTCCACTTTTTGTATTCACTGCCTAAGGTTAGAATAGCGAGGAAATATTGAGCAAGCACCTCCTCCCCAACCAAACAGTCCTTGATAGCTCCTGAATTTGAAGAACAAAAGCATGTGTATTGGGAACATATGTGTGCCTTTTCATATCTTTTGCATACTTACATCAGCACCCAGAACCGAAGAAGGAAAAATCATAGAAATGAGTGCACCTGTTAAAGCCAGCTTGGAGCAAGTCCCCACATCGAGAATCTCAGGGGGCAATATACCAGGGGTATCGAGCACAAAAACATTCGGATGGCTAGCAATCTGGAAGTTTCCATTATAGAATGAGAACACATACCCAGTAAGCCATAAAGCCAGAATAGCTGGAAAGAGAAGACAATATAAGTGAAAGGGGAATGTAAAAGGGATGTTCCCATGCAGTTCCTGAAGAAGCCAAGATCGTGTTCTGATTTACATCCATGCTACGGTCAGTATCATCATAATTAGAGTTTTCAACAATACCAAATTTCGACACATGTGGTTCACCAAAATTATGAATATCACATATGAGATTAAAGCGAAAGTGTTGTGGCCTTCCCCTTGTTTCATCAACAAGATGTATCAGAGCAAAGATTACTTGCCTTCAAGCTAATGATATCAGTTGTTTCTCCAGGATGTGGACTCACCGTTGCATACCTGAACTTTCCTCTTTCTTGGAAAACGAATAAAGACAAAAACTTGATGTTCAAAATGTAAACTAGAGAGAAATGGCGCAGAGAGACAGGAAAAGAGAGCTACCTCGAGCACTTATTCTGCCAATCTGATGCAATGAATTGGCAAGAGCCGACTTCCCGACATTTGGAATCCCTACAATCATTAGTACCCTTGTCTGACCCGGATTGTCCTTGTTTAATGCTCGGACTTGTGATTGCAGGACGTTAAGGAACTGCAGAACAAAATAGCAATCGCCCAATTTTCAGAAATTCCATTCAATGAGAGAAGGAACAGATGCTTGCACATAAATTGAATGGAAATCAATAAGTAACGACTATATGTTGTCAAGCTACTGCGAGAGAAGATGGCATCTTTGAGCAAATGGAAAATTGACCTCCTTCACATTGTCTTTGTTATGGGAATTCACAGGATAAGAAATGCAATCACGCTGCTCAAAATACTTGCTCCACTCCTACAATAAGAGGCCAAAAACAATCCCACAGCTTGATTCAGTTCTTCAATTCCCAAAACAAAATCAAACAGGGAACAGAGAAGGAAATAGTTGATCTTGAGCTAAGTACATTAACTCGGGACCGATCAGCAAGATCCATCTTGTTCAAAGCAATGATCCAAGGTTTGGAAGGGCAGCGCTGGCGGTACAGTGGATACTCGGACGCCAAAGGGATCTGAAGCACACAAGATCCTTAATACACTTTCAGTTAGGCAAATCATCAAACAGGTTGTGGACATGCAATTTCAAAGCCAAAAAAAGGCTTCCAACTTACCCTAGCATCTCTAACTTCAATGACAGCATCAACAAGATCAATTCTTCCCGCGACAGCGGATGCTGCAGCAGCCATGTGAGGCGTGTACCATCCTTTCCCTCTGTTCCTCGCGGCTTTCTTCACTGCATTTCCTATCTCTCGCACTATCGAACTCGCCATCTCTTTTCCTTTACTCCATGCTTCGACCTTCTTTGATTTCCAATCGCAGAGTCTCGGTAGCCATCATCCCTAATATACCAGAAAGGCTGAATGCTCTGTGAATTGATTGCGACAAAACCCAGAACCTCACGTTCAAAACTGGCGCCAAAAGAAAAGAACCGATTAACACGTCACGGAGTTGGAAGGAGCGGAGCGGTAGGAAAAGAAAGAATAGCATGGATTACGAAACCGTACCGGACATCAAACCGGAATCGTTTTTGGCATGGTAAATCATGGTACAACCATGGTTCAACCGTTTCCTACCGGTAAATACCGTTTTTGGAATAAAAAAATTATTTTTCTGTTAAAAAACCGTACCGATAAAATTAGGGTACCATACCGGGAAAATACCGGAATAATACCGGATTATACCGCCTAAGAAACCGTAAAAGAGTAAATAAGCGGGAACATTCAACAAAGTGGCATGTAAAACCTAAACGAGTATTGGTTTTGGGCATTCATTATCAAATAATTCTAGCCAAGATGGTGAAGGAGATCCTCATATGGAAGTTCAACTCTTACATGAAAGCTCAACTACGGAACATGATTAAAACACCAATTTATGCTATAAGGCACCCAATTGCAACCAAGACTCCGCGATTTAAGATCAACTAATCTATTGAGCCAGTAAATCATGAATACTGGAAACAAACATCACAACAGAACATGGAATCAGAGCAAGGAAATGGACAAGGCAATCAAACTACCAGCAAGGAGAAGGGAATTCGAATTCTGAAAATCTTCCCAACGAATACCCAGCAATTGAAGCGATTTTAGTATGGTGCATGAGAGGAAAAGGAAAGGGGGAAGAGCAGAAGTAAACTCCACCTTAAGGCGATGGTGATCCCGCTGACAGGGTTGTCCCACTGGCGGCACAAGAACGCAGGGTAGGAAATCCTTATCTCTTCCCTTGGCACGACGTCGACGGCGGAGACAACGAAGCTGGTACAGCTACACCACCACCGCCACTAGGGATTTGGAGCCGCGGGAGACGGAAGGAGGAAGAAACCAGCCAGTGAACGACCAACGAAGCTCCTCTTTCTCCTCCGGCGCGGCGCGGCTGTGAACGACCAACGAAGCTCCTCTTTCTCGGTTTCTCCTCCGGCGCGGCGCGGCTGTGAACGACGATGCCTTCGATTGCTGGGGAGGACGAGTTGCCGATGGTGTTTGGTTGCTGGGGAGGACGCGGTCGCCGGTGGTGTTGATCGCCGGTTGCTGGGGAGGCAGAGCGGCGCGGCGCGGGGAGACTAGAGGCAGAGCGGCGCTGCTGGGAGAGGGAGACGAGAGGCAGAGAGGGCGTTAGCAGGGCCAGCCAAAGGAAGGTATGGTTTTTGCGTCTCTGCTTCCCTTGCCTTCCGTTTTTTTTTTTCATTAAAACGGCGCCGTTTGTGTAAAATGAAGGGACCGCTGGGTTTTTTTGAACCGGCCGAAATTTCGGCCCATTGCGGTCCAACCGCAAATACCGCCCGGCAGGTTATTGAAGGGTACAAAGCTCTATTGTGCCGGTTTACCTCCGGTTTCCGGTTTTTCCGGTTCGACCGGCCGGTCCGGTACGGTATCCTGGTCCTTGAAGAATAGTGGCAGGAATTTAAATAAGCAGAAGTAGAGGAAGCCATAAAAGCCTGAAACTAGGGTTGTGAAATCGTATAGGAAGCCATATCAAATTCATAGGATATTTTGTGGTATGATTGTTGTCAACCATTCTGTGACGGTAGAATACAGTTTTCGAAATAATTTTGTATGTTAAAATATCGTACAGATAAAAATATGCTATTGCATAAAAATAATGTTATACCAATATCATTAGCATGTTGGACGGTGACAATCATACGACCCTTACGACCTAATCTTGAAATAATTGTCCAACGAGATGATAGACAAATCAAATCATAAACAATCTCATCAAATTTTACATTTAGATCTCTAGAACAGTTGCTGTAGGAGTAGTACCAAAAACATTTTGCAAGTTCCTCTGTGTTTTGTAGTTGTTGTCACGGAGCTCTCGATGAAATATCATGGAAATGGAAGTACAAATTATATACATCAAACACCCACATTTGAATGTGTTTGAAGATGTATGAATCGAATAACATTGTTTACTAGTTTTCTTAAAAGTGATGATGCATTGATCACACGAAAATTCCACCAAAAACGTGTATTGTCTCCTATTGGAGAATTTATCCAACCTTGTCTGCAGAACAAAATGTGAAAAGCTAAATGGTGCAGACCCTGTCTTCATACAGTTCTTAGTGTTTGTGTCACTTGCTTTCTTCATCTGAAATTCCTTGGATACAGAACATCCAGGTTACATATCAAAATGCAGAGCTGAACCATCTGGACCGATATCGCGAGCTACTCGGAGGAGGTATTCTATGTCGATCTCATCAGGGAGATGCTGCAACAACTTCAGGTTGGCTGCAAAATCCCCACCCAGAAGCTTACTCCTCAGGCTAACTAACATTGCACAACAAATCCTCAGCAGCATATCCTGCTTCACAACCACAACACGCAACTGTTGAGAATATATCGAAAATCGATTTGGGGAGAGATCAAGATGAAGAGAGAGAGAGATAGAGAGAGACCTGGATCCCAAATGGACTACTCAGAAGAGAGTCCCAAATCCTCAATATGGACTGGAACTTGAATTCTTGAGTCAGTAGCAGAGTTATCCACCTGAATGCATAAAACTGAGGATTCACCTGTATCATTTCCATCAACATTTGCATCTTTAGTTCCTCAAGTTGGATTTTTATGGATCCAACTCTCTTAGGCTCATAGAGCTGACCTTGCTTGTGTATACAAGATGGCACCACAACTCCTCGTCGTTAGCTTTCAACAACTCCATTAACCTGGATAGTGTAGAGAGGATGCCAACAGGGCTATTGTCCATGTGTTTACAGAAGTGATCGATTGAATCACTCATCAACCTTACAAAGCAGTAAAAACTGTCTGCTTCTACATTTGCCTGGACAAAGCATAAACCCAGACAAAATGAATGAGAGACTATTTATTGCTTCAAACAAAGAAGAAGCCTTTATGCTTTAACTTTTACCAGATCTTGCTCATCATAGGTGGTACTAAAAACATAGAAAATGGGCGCCAAAACCTCGTTCATGCCTTGCACATAACCAATAGCTGGGTTCACTTTTGCGAACAGCAGAAGAATGTCCCTCATTGCTCCCTGCACAAAAGTAAGAGTTCTTAACTAATGGTAAAAAACCATAAAGCTGGACAACAGATAACCAAGTCAGGAGCAAGAAAACACACACACACACACCCTGTTCTTCCTACTGAATGATGAATCTCCTGAGAAGAAGTTCAAGTCAGGATGAGTTCTATCCACATCTCGATCGATCTGTTCAGCAATCTCTCCATGCTTCTGACGAACAGATTTTCAAACGATTGCCCCCCCGGAGAATTCTCCATTCCAAACAAACAGTGGAACAAATCAAGATCTAACCTGGAAGTATTGATGCCAAACACTAGCCTTGACATCATTAAGTGGGTGATCTTCAATTCTATGCCGCTGAAGCTGTCCAGCGACATCAGCTTCATCATTCAGAGTCTCGTCTTTCTCTCTCCAAAGCTCCGACTGTCTACATTCAACATCTCAAAATTAAGAAAGGGCTTCATAACAAGCATTTAAGTATATATCTAAATGGCCAAGCAACCACTTACAGGAGTCAGAAGCAACTCCTCTTTTAACTTGGCATACTTCTCTCTGTTCCCCGAAAGCTCTTTGTCCCACAAGTCTTGAGACCGAGGCAAGTAATCCAAGAGTAGCTGGCATCATTGAACACACACATGTGCCATGATTATGAATTGAAAGCTGGGTTTTCCTTCCCTCTTCAAAATCATAATGTCTCACAGATTTCACACAATTCAGACACTTACATCATTGCACCACACATGTGCCATGATTATGAATGAAAGTGACGGCCTTTTGGAACCTTCAAATGGGGCAACACAAAACCAACTACCAGTTTACAGACCAAAATGTTTAATAGCGAAAGGGACTTCGTTCTTGATAATGGCTGCCTGCTTGGTTGTTGCTAAAGTTGCAGTGTATTGTAGCTTTCCTTCAAAACCCTTTAAATCATTTGCTTATTTACGATGAGTGCAACTAATCGCACTCAAGTTCTTTCATCGATACAGTTACAACCATCTTACTATCACGAAATCGGTCGAAAATGGATCCCTCTATTCAGATTTGATACAGTTACCCTTCTTCGTAACATCATTAATGAAAAGATCGAACATTTAACCAACAAAAAGCAATGCCTTACCTTCCAAGCTGTAGCCCTAATTCCACCTCCATTAGGAAGCCCTGTGAAAGCAAACCTCCTCAATTTCTCCAAATTTATCTCCTCCTGGGAAAGCTGAGTAATTAGAAGTTTACATTAGAAAATAAACAAAATCAATCATAATCAGTTTTATAATTATTAGGGGAATTGTGGAAATTCTCACCTCGTGCTCAAGATCGGACCATTTCTCCGCCGCGGCAATCCTCTCGGCAGAATCATAACCGCCGCAACTTCCCTTCTCCCCCAAATCTAAAGACCCATTTGGCTCGATGAGTTCCAGCTCCTCTCCCGGCCGATGCACGACGACGCCGTTGGGCGAGCTTCCCGATTCTCCCCCTCCGGCGACCGATTTCTCCGTCAGATCTCGCGCGAACAACGTCCCGAGGTTAGGTTTCCGATCCGAGAGGTCATCGGTAAGCTTGTCCTTGAACATGGCGGGCGAATTGGGGATTGGCGAGGTCGAATTCGGGGAACCCGGAGAAGGAAATCGGTGAGTAGTTCGCAGTCATGATCGTGTTTGAGTCGGATGGAAATCTCGCGGGTTATGAATTTAGAATCGAGTTGAATGGCGGTTGCAGGTTTGAATTGCAGTTGCTTGTCAATTTAGTTTCGGGAAAAAGGCAAGAAGAACAATTCGATGCTTAAACTTTCTTGGTTTGGTCATCATGGTGCATAAACTTTATATTAGGTCAAATATTCGTGACGAAATTAAATTGTAAGTCTTTTTATCATTTTGGTACCTAAATTATGTATTGGCGCCTTCTAACTAATATAATATTTTTGTGATTGTGATGTGAGCTATTAGTACAACTCTCTAAGGCTCGAATTTAATCATAAAAATTTGTATAATTCTTTTTTTTATTTCTAGTTCATCCTCCTTGCAAATTTTGGTCTCGATTCATACAAGGCCACTGGATTGCTTTGGGATCTATTTACCCTCTATTCTAAGTCATAAGAAAAAACAATTCAACCTCTATGCAAATGCCTTTTATTAGGAAAAAAGATAATTTATTCACTTAAGTACCATAGTTCAATTTTTATTGAAAATTAATGATTACAAGAAAAGGACTACTTCTTCTTACCAAAAAGAAAAAGGACTACATAAAGATGCATGCTTCAAATGAAAAGAAGGGAAAAGGACCTTCTAACTAATATAATATTTTTGTGATTGTGATGTGGTTAGTTAGTTAGTTAGTTAGTTATGGTTAGTGTGTTTGGGTGGGAGGTTGTTTGGAAGCGATTGATACAAAAATGCAACACTTTATTTGGCAAATAATGTCGTTTTTTCATTGTTATTATATGTTCAAAGCTGATTGATATACTTTTCATGGGTTTTGAAGCATGATGCTAGAAAATCCTTACTTGATACGGACTGGATAAACTTATGTATTAGCATTGTTGTACGTGAAAATGATGCTAATCAAATATGTGACCTGAATCTAGCATGAATCACATGATTAAGGTAGTTCATCTCGTGGGCACCTTTCTACATCGATTAGCAGTCTGTCATAACATAAGAGCCGGAGGAAAAAATATGAACTTTATGCATGCACGCAGTCATGTTGCTCGATAGCGTGTCACACTGGGCGGGGTTTTGATTTTGTGTTATGGGTCTCACCATTGACAGACAATTGAATATTCTTCGAATCGACCCGCGCCTTTGCAGTATTTCCAAATAGCAACATATTGTAACCAGTCATCTGGGAGAGTCCATGCATATGACCGACCTGAGTATTCTTCGAAAACCGTATCGACTTATCGCTTACCACATTCCACACTCTTGGTGTGTGCTCAATGTAGTCCCAGACACCAACCGCATACCTCCACATATTCTACAACACACTTGTTGCTAGCTCTAGCTATGATCATATTCCATCTCATGTGCACACTACATAATACTACTATTGTAACCCTAACGTCTGTATTAACTACATAATACTACATTTCATGTACACATAACAGGTGCAGTATCTCCAACCTACAAAGTAAGTATGCACATATAGTACTCGGACAGAGAGAGAGCCACGTGAAGATCTCCTGTCAAGTCAAGAAAAGGAAATTGCAGAGCCCAGAGGACACGTATGTATCAACACTACCAAACACCAATGAGCTTAGGTAGAGGCTTTGACATGACAAGAAGAAACGTATTTAACAGCCTGCAGCCTTCACTTACCAACAATACCGTTCTCAAATATCTGAGCCGACACATATACGGTCAGGATGCCTGTATACAGTATGTATACTAACTCGTACTTCTTCACCGAACAACTCCTTGAACTCAATAGGAAAAGTCCACAGAAAAGTGGCCTATTCTGTCAGAGTCCCTCATGGCCCCTAGGATCGGCTAATCACACCTGCAGACCTGTTCATAGTTCATAGACAATCATAGTTCATACTCTAGCTAGCTCTTCAGTTTACTGCTCAATGATTTGACTCTACTTCTGGGATAGCTTCGACAGGTGGAAACAACAGTTGAACCTCCATGAAGCGCGGTTTCCTGCAAAGAGAAGTCTTTCATATATACATAACTCGAAGATCAAGTAATTGACGACGATGGAGTTACATGTAGCTCAGACGCGTATCATATCGACATATGGCATACAAATAAGCCAATGGAACAAAGGCTGTTTCGAGATTTTGCCTGTGAAGTTAACCATCCATGGGGAGAAAGGAAATGTAGTCGCCCACCACTACAGTAATTGGGCGTAGGCCACTCCCAATGTGCCCTACAATATTTCTCCATCACTCGGTATCTCATAATACACCCACACTAAGAGAGGCTCCCCTTTTCTCAATAGGACAAGATAACTAATTTTGATAGTACAATTAGTGAGAAATTTCCATCCCTGCGTTTATGTTGCTAGTTTGTCATGGTACATTCACAGTTAGCAAACTTTAAGAGACAAAGGAAGATACCCAAGAAAGGTCAAGCCTAAAGGTAAAAGTCTCAATTCCCTTTAACCCCTTTTTATAGTTTCCCTCTCTTAGCCTTCCATCCAATGAAAGTTCACGTTTTGCCCTTAAAGTTTGTAACTTTATGTACATCAACCATGTTGTTCATCTAAATTCAATAGGTTTTCCGTCCTTCATTACTTCTACACAATCTACATTAAAAGAAAATGAAAGAATTGCTACAAATTTACGGGATACGAGTTGATCACCTTAAAGTCATTGTCGTTTCTCAGACACCATTAAGTCAATAGTCTAATGACTAAAGTATCTGATTCAAATGTGCATTCTAGCAATCACAAAATTTCTACTCATCACCATTTTCTGAAATTTTGTAGAGAGAAGGAAGAGAGTGTGTACCGTGTAGGTGAAGGCTGTTAAATACCAGCTAACCTAGTACGAACTTTTTAGCTCGCCGACACCGTCCTCTTCTAACCTCTAACCTCTTTCTGCCATCTCTGCCGTCCCCTTTTTCTCCCTTCATTGATCATCATTCAACATCGTCATCATAATCCTAACCTCCCCAGCTTTGCCTTTCTATAATTACCTTCCCTTTGTCTACTCTCTCTTCCTGTGTATTACTGTACTTTGAACAGCCAGCCAGCCTTCCCCATTCTCTGTGAAACTCTGAACTTCCCTGTACTTTCCTGTCACAAAACTGAAACCTTCCATTCACCTGTTCTCTCCCCCTTAAACCCACCAACAAAATCACAGCCCAATGGTGCAATCAAGGAAGTTCAGAGGCGTCAGGCAGCGTCATTGGGGCTCTTGGGTCTCCGAAATTCGACACCCTTTACTGTAAGCGACATTTCGTCAAACACTATGCGTGCATTTGTTATCACGCTCCATTCACATTGCCCCTAAATTAACCAATTCTGGCAGGAAACGGAGGATCTGGCTGGGGACATTCGAGACAGCGGAGGAAGCTGCGAGAGCATACGACCAAGCCGCAATCCTGATGAGCGGCCGGAACGCCAAGACCAACTTCCCCGTCACCCAATCCACCACCGACGGCGAAACCAAACCCACCTCCTCCTCCTCCTCGTCTTCATCATCCCCATCAGCCCCAATAAAAAATGGGCTGTCGGAAATTCTACACGCCAAGCTCCGCAAGTGCAGCAAGACGCCGTCGCCGTCGATGACCTGCCTGAGGCTCGACACCGAGAATTCCCACATCGGGGTCTGGCAGAAACGCGCGGGGCAGCGGTCCGATTCCAATTGGGTCATGACCGTGCAGCTCGGCAACCGATCGTCAGCTTCAAACAATACCCACCCGGAAAAACAAGCTACTGACGATCCAATCGGCAACAACAACAATTCGGAAACAGCGGCGGCAGAGCCGGTGCCGGCAATCAGGAAGGAAATTGAGGAAGAGGAGAGAATCGCGCTGCAGATGATCGAGGAGCTGCTGAATCGTAATTGCCCCAGTCCAAGTGTGAATCCGAGTAATGGGTTTGGAATCGAAGGAGCGGCGGAAGCAGGGGAGGAGAGTGGCAGTGGGGAGCTGAGTGAGCTGCTTCAGGGGAGCTTTTTCATTTGAGGAAGAAGAAGAAGAAAAAAAAACAGAGTGGGTGTCTCTATCATGTGATATCTGTTGTCTTACTCTTTTCACTTTAAAAGTTTCTTTTTCTTCTTTATTTAATTTGTCAATTAATTATTAGATGTGATATTTCATATTTGTATAGGGATTGGAAATTTGCAAGTGAATTTCCTTTAATATGTTTCTTTTCATGATTATATGTTGCCAAATGTAAGGAGGAAATGCAAATTGGGGTATTATAGGGGAAAATATAGTATCCAAGATAGGGAAACAATAATACAAATGTAATTTTTAAAAAGAAGATAGTAATAATATCAATGGAGTATTTTTTTTTATAATGGTGAAATAGGATTAATAAACAGAATTAAAACACAATAAAAATACAACGGAAGAAAGAAACAGAAAAGGAGAGCGACGGGAAGGAACAAGAGCCACCGGCCAAAAGAGCACGGAGGAAACGTTCCGACCACAACAAAGCAGAAACAAATAAGCACGAACAGGGGTCAAACAGCGACCCGCAGAAAAAGGTTTAATTTGGAGGTGACGAGGTAGACTAATCCAGGCTGCGCGATGGAAAAATATATGATTTAAGCTGATGGAACCAAGCTTCCGCAACAGGCCTTTCCACTTTATTTTATCAATGGAGTATTTTCATTCCTACTAGTTTCATCATGAAGAGCTCCGTTTATGTATTTTTACATGTGATATGTCGATGTTTTTCTCGATTGACTTGTTTTGTGTTTGACACAAAGTATTGTTTTTAACGAGTTTTACATTAAGTATTGAAATTTTAACGAATATTATTTTATAAGGGCGAAATAGGTTTGTTTTTAATGTTACTATGACCAAGTCTTTGTTCGCAAAATTTTAATGGATATATCCTACAAATTTAGTTTCAAATGGAATTAATTAGTTTGGATGAAAATATCGTTTATTTAAGTATTTGATAAATTAGGATGTTTTTAGGTCTCTGAAATTCTTGTTGATATGAAAAAAGGTTAGGATGATGTATTTGGCATCTAGTTTCTGAAAAATATAGGGCCATATTTAGATAAATCAAGTTTGGCGGTGTATGGCAGAGAAGCTATAGTTCTTCCTCAACTCTCAAATCATGTAAAATTTTTAGTGTAGTTTTCAATCCCTTGGTTCAAATTTTCTAAACATAGATTTTTAGCCCCTGATTCAAATTTATGCTAACGATAAAGTTAACTATCTAGATAACGATAGTGAGGGAAAATGTGTATAAAAAGTGGGTGCATGTATACACATGGCTGACAACTAGGTTTGCAAATGAGCCGAGTCGATCTGAGTTTTGTCTGACTTGGACTCAGCTAATTAATAAACGAGTCGAATTCGAGCCTGACTCGTTTATTAGCAAGTCCAGTCGAGCTCGATTCTCGCTCATTCATATACTATGTTGATATCATATTAATTAGTTCAAAATTTTTTAACTAGTTCATGTTATTTCATAGTAATTAGTTTCTAAACGATATATGATATACAATTTCTTTATTTAAATTATAAATGATACATATGTGTTCATATACCAAAAGTCTTGATCATTTGTTTTGATATATATAACTTAACAAACCTATGAAATTATCAACAAACCAACTCATAATATATAGATCGGTTCGCTCATAATTCGGCACTCCATTATTGAGACATATCATAAGTTTAAAACGATTGATCAGTTCAACAAAGCCACTGAAACGAGCTAGCTCGCGACCTTGTCAAACTCAACAATGCTTACCTCAACCTCGACTCGTAGTAAACGAGTCGAGTATCGAACGAGATTTTCTCGAACCGAACATCGAGCCGCTCGTGAACAACTCAGCTCATTCGCAAATCGCGGCCCTACTGATGGCCCCTAGACATCTATAGTCTACTTATGATATATAATCAAATGACACATAATTGTAATTATAATTTAACGTGTGTGTTGTAGCTCTAGCTTAATTAGGACCACACATCGTGGAGATTATAATGATCTCTTAGCTAGGCTATCTAGGTCTGTTGTGTAGATAATGTATTAAATAACCATCTCGTTTCATTATTACTACGCACCTAGCTTATCATTATTACCATTTTGGTAGTACGTAATCAAAAACCATGATCAATGGTGAAGTCAAGACTTGAAGGGAGTGTTAGAAATCAGAAAAACCCTTTTGTCAGAGGATAAATCAGTAGGCTGTATTTAGCGGTATGAAGTGGTTGAACCATGGTTAAACCACGATTTTAGCATAAAATATCCTATCGCTAACTTTTTCTGGTACAACCTCCGATACGATATTTCAATCCTGCTTGGAACTGATACTTTATCGTTATGCCACTTTTCTTACCGTATGATCTATATTTACTAAGAAAGAACACTAGCTAGCTAGATTGTTTCATTGCTTCTAATTATTTGTCTACTCTCACTTAGCTGCGATAGCGATAAGTCGATCGACTGAAGCAAGAAAACCTTCGTCTCTTTCTGTGATGGGAAATCGCGCAAATATTGTAAAGGGGGAATGGTCCAAATTTCTAAAGGGTTAATATGTATATGTACGTAAACCACCAAGCATGCATGTGACGATGTTTATTATTACTACGCACACTGTCGAAATATGTAAATAATAATAAATTGGCTGTTTGGAAATGAAACCATTAATCGACTCTTTTCTCGGACCACACCCACATCACATTATTGTAGTACTCCTCGATCCTTATATTACTGTTTCTGTCTGTCAAGAACCAGTTGGTCCCAATAACTCGAGTTGTTGGGAGAATGTTATGCTCGATCTTATACCATTCTCTAACACGCCTCCTCAAACGAAACTCAACCCATTGCTTGAAGTTTGCACAGGCCCACAATACCATGTGCTTTAATCAACGGTTAATATCGGGGGTCGTGGAGATTCGAACACACGACCACTTGACCAAATCAGCTCTGATACAATATCATAAACCAGTTGCTCGATCTTATACCATTCTCTAACATCGTCGACAACCTACATAAGTCTTCTCTTATGCACCATCTCTTCGATTTGATGACTCTTAGTACGTACCAAGTTGTGTTATTATTTCCTAGCTTAGCTAGCTAGGTTTTTTGTGGTTGTCTTGCATTTATACATCTTACCTAAAAGTAGGCGACGAGTGATGGGGATTTTATGTAAGCTAGGTTGCTGGTGTTATTTGTTCTAAGTATCAATCATCATTAGTTGATGTTAATCATTCTTATTCCAAACGATCCATAATATAATGATAGTAGTGGCGTTGTTTTGCTCAGTGTGGTTAGCGGTTAGCCACTACTCGACGAATGATTGGTTATAGTGGTTAACTGATAATTATTAGCATAATTTTCATTCTGGACTATATATATGCTGTTAGTGGTACTGGTGACCAGTTAATTAGTTATCAAAATATTTATCGATCGTTAATTGATAAGTGTGATTAATTAGCTGTCTTAACTGGTCATATGGGCTGGAGCTTTTAATCGGTGAGATTGGAGTTCTTCAAATCACATTCGATACAGACAGCTAGTTAGGCTACACACATTTTGAGTCTTGAGTACTTGTTCTGTGTGTTCCACCACAATTTGGCTATGGTGCTAACAGTATGTTCAGTCGGTTCACATGTTCAAACGGGAAAAGATATTGATGGAACAAAGTGGACCACGATTTTTCTAACGGTCTGGTCTATTTTCTCAGCCCTACTAATACCGATACATCAATATAATTCTAGACAACCGAACTCGTGATCAATTGGTCATGAATTCTTGCACTGTTATTGTCACTTGTTCTTCTTATCCTTCGTCGTCATCTTCTTCATCATCTTTCAAATGCAGACATTCTAGTTAGTACGAAAATCATTGGAAAATCCGAAAGAAATGGTCTGTCCCGTGGGCAACAACGTCAACATGATCCTACAAATCGGCAACTAACTTAGACGCCAAAACATGTTGTGACGAGCCTCGTTTCCCCTAAGCTGGGAATCTACGCAGGCAATTACGAACTAATTAAGAAACAACATAACACCTCATTGTCCTATGATATCGAGCTAAGCTTTAAAGCCATCTAATTAATCTCGTTTTCTTCATGATTAACCACAAAACGAAAACTAACCGACTTGTTTGAGCTATATATATTTACTATATTTCGGCGAAGGAACCAAAACAAGAAAGTCGATCAATATATGATTTGTCACGAGTTTCTTTCAAGACAACTTCAATTGCGAAACTTACACGATATAAAACAAGAACACAATGTTAATCGCGGATGGAACAAAGGGACCTAGAGATAAGAATATGCTTTAGTTTGTGACTAGAACAAGAGGGCCGGGGGAAAATGGTAGCTAGCTTAGCTAGAAGGAACTAGGGTGTGTCATGGGTTGGTTTGTAACATAATCGATTCAAAGTTGATATTTGGATCTGTTCAAGTCGTATTGAATATAAAACAATCCGGGTTTTCATTCTTATGGATATTAATTATGAATAACTCAAAAGACAAATTATCTATATCATCGACTAAAAGTCATGGTGTACGGACTTATACACAGTGGGGCGGACCCAATAATTTTACATAGAGGTGTCATTTTAAAAAAAAAATTAAATAAAAAAAATCGTAAATAAGAATATATCTTACTCATACAGGTTACAAAAAGTTCATGATGTATTTTCATATTCAGAAATAATTGTAGAATACACTTGGTGTCTACAGTGTTAAAATCTTTTTGTCTCTATATGCCCTGCTAAACAATAATTCACGAACTGATCGCATATTCGATTTGTAAAGTCGTTTTTTATGTAACCCAAAGCTGAAAGACTCTTTCAACACTTGTCGTACAACCATAAAATCAATACAAATTAAGGGTAGCTTGAAATGAGTTTATTAATTGTTAGGATTGGAAAAATATTAGAGATAGGGAATGACATTCTACTATTACACAATGTTCAAAATTGAACAACAAATGAGTTGTAGGCTTGTAGCTTAATGGAAATTATGTTTTATTAATAATAGTAGTGTTCTAGATTTGATTACCCAACCTAGCACTTATATTCCCATACACAAATTTAAAAAATGATAGTAGGATAATCATTTTTTCAAATTTCAAGGGTGTCCCTCACTGTCAATTATAATTTTTTTGCCCGTCCGTAAATTACCACCGAATGTTTGATAATCGTTTTCCCAAAATTTGGGGGTGTCCCAGAAACCCCTAAACCCCCATTGGGTCCGCCCCTGCTTATACAAATATGCTATTATGTTATGGATATTTGTATCTTTTCCTTTCCGGGTTGGATTAGGATAAGACCATTTGGACAATGTGCTATGTATATCAATCTTCTCATCTCTCTCTGTAATATGTATCTTCTCAAAGTATAGTGAAACTGGTCTCTCCGACTAGCAAATCAGCTAACACGCATCGTATTAATGAACCACGTAAATTTGTGTCTTCCTTACTTTCTTGCATTGTCGATTTCTCATTCCGACATAACATTGAACACTAATAGAAATATGATCGATCGTATCATCGGTTCCAATCCTCAAATTTTATTTTACTTTCGGATCGTGCATTTCAGGTCCGGATTTGTACACCTACCAGTAACTTCTGAATACTATAGACACGAGAAGCAGGAAGAGAGGGGAGGAAACAAGGACTTTGTTAGCTATTGCCTGTTAGCCTGTTACTATGCCAAGAAAAAAGATGCCAAAGAGACAAGAGTAGATTCCTTCGCAAAGCGAAAGAATATCCCATTCCGAAGATGCGAATCTCCTTCCTTATCCACTCCTCCCTCCTCCAAAGCTCCCGGACAAAGCAAATCCAAAAAAAGCATCGACAGACAACTGTCTTACCTATATTGTTGGAAACCCACTGAAATCTGATTTATTGCATACTCTTTCCATCTATAGCTATTAAATGATTGATGTGGAGGACTAGGTTTGCATCGTATGTTTCGCCAAACATGGAGAATTGGAGATCATGGCCACCGTCGGATCGTGTGAGTGCAGTGATCTTGATCGTCGAATGAACACGAATCGGTTACGATCGACCAAAGTCTGTGTATATTCAATGACGAAGATCGTCACACTACCAACAATAGTAGTTAACTATAGTCGGTCAAACAATAGGTGCAGATAAGATGAGAATAAGTTAGAGGGGTCTGGAATCACAGGAATTGAATGAAACGTCCATTGAGAATTCTCCCACCCCGAACAAGGTGTGCGAGATTCATCATTTCGTTGAATCTCCTTACGTTTCATTATGAAAACTAATAAAACTCACATTTATTAGAAAGCGTATCCACTAAGCAAATATATAAGATGAATCACCTATCATCATGATTGAACATGTGGTTAATACTTTTAAGTCAAACCAACTTCTTCTTTGTCGATTCCTTCCTTTTTTAAGTTTGACGAATGACTAAAAAATCCAAACTCTCGAATTATCAAGAACAACTATACTCGTTAATCATCCTATCGTCATCAACCCCGATACAACAGTTGATGGCTTGGCTGGGCATGTGCTTCTTGCCGTGGGTGCGGCAACATTATGGTATCTCGGATCCTTATCTTGCAGAACTCCTTGCAGCTATGTATGCAATCTCTCTTACAACTTCTAGAAGTTTGTCTCCGGTTATCATCGAAGGCGATGCAGAAGTGGTCATCCGTCAGCTCAAGCTTCGATTGGTGGAGGATTCTATTGGTGGCCCCATTCTTCGAGATTGTTGTTATCTTCTTGAGTCTTGTTCTCTTTGTATAGAATTTAGGGATGTTCCGCGGACTGTCAACTGGGCTGCTCATAGAGTGGCACGTAAAGCCCTGCTGCTGTCCCGATTAGAGTTAGTTTCTTTTGACTTTGTTGGTTGGCTTGTAAGTGGGATGAGAAGGGATTGTGGGTAGAATCGGTCCAATTGAAACAAGTTGACCTGCCAACGGGGTTAGTAACGGAAATTGGAGAGGGAAACGAAGCAGGGAATATTCGTTGAAAGGCGGTTTGGAATTATGCCGAATCCGTCCGCCTCGAGATTCACCGCCGCCGCGTAAAAATCTGTTGGCTCCACCCCTTTCCATCTCCGCCGATCACCTCTCTCTCTCTGTCGTCACCACCGCCACCGCCACTGATTTATCTAAAATTAAAATAAAAAATAAGAATTACTTTTGTGGTGCGCAGTTGGGACCGTCTTTCCTCCTCAGAGCAGGGAATAAAACCAAAAGATATACCCTTTCACAAGATGAAAATTGGATATTACCTTGGAATATTCTCCCCCCTCTGCTCCTCCTCTGTTTCTTCTTCTTCCCACCAACAGCACTTATAACTATCCCCCTTCCTTCCTTTTCTTCCCCCCCATTTCTCCCCTCTTCTTTAATTGCCTTCCCATTCTCTCTCCGGCGAAACCGACTCTGTAACGATGAAGTTCGGCAAAAGCCTCAGCACCCAGATCGACGAGACTCTGCCCGAGTGGAGGGACAAGTTCCTCTCCTACAAGGAGCTAAAAAAGAAATTGAAGCTCATCGAGCCCAACAACAGGGCCGGCGACGGCCCAGGAGATAGGCCCGCCAAGCGGCCGAGACTGGACGGCGGCGTGACGGAGGAGGAGATCGATTTCATCAAGCTTTTGGAAGACGAGCTCGAGAAGTTCAATTCCTTCTTCGTCGAGAAAGAGGAAGAGTACATCATCAGATTGAAGGTAATAATAAGACCCAAAAAAAAAAGTTATCTTTGTTTTCTCCGGTGACGGTATCTCGATCTGTTTGGCTCCCGGCGAATACTCTGTTTTCGCCGGCGGCGAGCAGAGTCTTAGTCTGAAGGTTTGAAACGGTGTCGTATTGAGGTAGAGAGTGGACCGTGGGAGAGTTACTGTGACGGTCAGTTTAATCAGAACCCAATACTTAATTGCCACGTGGCGAGTTTTATTGTTTTTTTCATTTTTTGTTCTAACTTTTGGCTAACCAACTGGCTAGCACTCGCATTTATATATTCCTTTCGGATCAGTCCCGCGGCATATTTCCCTTTTGGCCCCCATAAGTAAAATGAGCTACATTTTCATACCTGTACTTTTCATTTTTTCCCCCCCTAGACTGTACTAGGATGAACTGAAATTGAGTACTTATAATCTGCTGTAGAAATTGACTGGTTGAAGCTTTTCTTTGTGAATCAGGAGCTGCAAGACTCCGTAGCAAGAGCGAAGGACTCGAACAACGACGAGATCATAAAGATTCGTAAAGAGATTGTCGATTTCCACGGAGAGATGGTTCTGCTAGAGAACTACAGCGCCCTTAACTACACAGGTAATGAACAATGAAATCTGAATCCTCCAGATAGCTCAACCCTGTGTTTCAATCGCCATTTTCGGGGGTTCTCATCGCGATGATCCATCGAAACAGGACTGGCAAAGATACTGAAGAAGTACGACAAGCGAACCGGGGCACTAATCCGGCTGCCATTCATCCAGAAGGTCCTGCAGGAGCCCTTCTTCACCACTGACTTGCTGAACAAGCTAGTGAAGGAGTGCGAGACGATGCTCGATCGCTTCTTCCCCGTCAAATTGGCAGCATTGGGAGCATCAAGCCGGGGTAATTCGAGCGATGAAGATGGCGACGATGCAGGTCCTTCGACCTCAGCAGCTGCTGCTGCAAGCAATGTTGAGGACGGGGTGCTTAACGTGCTCCCCAAGGAACTGGCGGAGATCGAGCAGATGCAGAGCCTGTACATGAAGAGCTCGATGTCGGCGCTGAGGATCCTGAAGGAGATTCGCAGCAGGAGCTCCACGGTGAGCGTGTTTTCGCTGCCGCCGATTCAGGTGAGTGGTGGGTTGGAGGAGCCTTGGAACAAAGTTGCCATCTTGGAGCAAGTGGCCAAGTAGTAGTAAGTGGAACAAGAAGATGCAGAACAGTTTACAGGATATGTCTTGTAAAATTTGCTTTGTTCTAAGTTTTTGATTGTTTGAGTAGCTACCCACCTGTTTCATGCAGAGCTTTTGTGCATGGAGTTAGAGAATGATGGAAATTATATGATACTAACACAGAAGAGAGATGGTGTAAAGTACTAGAAAGTGAAGGAATCAAAACCAATTATGTCAGTTTAGTATAACCAATATATACTATTTCTTTTGTATGCATCAAATTTGTGCTAAGTTTTGATTTGACTGTTTATAGTTGATTCTGGTATTGTACTGAGGGTGTCTGCAGAATGTCTTTTTCCCAGAGTCTAGTTTATTGGGAGATGGGTTTGGGAATGCAATTTGGAGATGATTTCCTTTCTACTTTTAGGTTATAAGAACATGATGTTAGATTCCCCACCATTGATAAAGCTTTGGCTGGAAGGCTTTCAGGGTGTGTGAGAATTCACTCTTGAAGGTTGCTTTTGCTTGAAGGTTCCGTGGAGCAAAAGCAATCCCATGATAGTTGATTCGCAGTCAAGCAAAGGATTTTAGGTTTAGGATATGATTTGCAGGAGAAGGTCGTTGGAATTGGCTGTGGGTAGTTGCTGCTGTCCCTTGACATGGCGACTCTTCTTTGTCAAGATAGGCAAGTGGGTCATAAACCAACCGGTATGAATAATTCGAGTTATTAGAAGAAGTCTATGTATAGATCTTACCTTACCCATGTCGTCAATTGACCTGGAAATTGGAATGACTCTGATCTCAGGCTCTTTCAATCCTAAAATGGATTGGGGGTAAGTGTGACATGTTGGAAAGGAAAAATGAGAACATACATATCCACTCGATCATGCTTGCTTATCTTTTTTGGATGAAAATCATGCTTGCCTAACTTGAGAACTAAATCGACTCCATCCGCCAGCTCCTTTTGCCGTTTGATTTAAGATTCTGGAAATGCTTGTGGAATCTTCCCTTATCTTACAAATTGAAGGGTTTTTTTTGTTGGCAAATGGGGCAGAGTTTCCTCTCGATTCGAGCGATGCTATTGACTAAAACATTGGTCACTGACAGTACGTATTCATTTGTCATGACGATACAGAATTCATTACTCATTCTCGTCATAAATTGTCGTGTAGCTACGGAATTATGGGAGCTGGTTGGTTTAGGATTAGGGTTAGGCTCTCTCCTCTTGGTCATATTGACGGTTGACATAATTTGTTCTTTGATGGTCTCCAATGTTAGTCTTGTTGGCGTTTATGGCATCCCGTTGTTGGCAGTCCGTAATAAGCTTTCTAAATTTCTCGTTCACTTTTACTCCTTGCTGGTTTAACATGGTTGTACATTTAGTGACTAACAACGCCCTTTCATCGACAATTCGACTATTTATCGACTGTCACGTTTAATTGCTTATTATTCTTGGACATTTTATCTATCATCTATTACCACAAAAAATAAACTTATCATGAGAAGGAGCAGAAGCTTCATATATATGGAGTTTGAAAATTTCTCTTAGCATCATTAGAAACACATTCGAAAATTGGTGAGCGCTTATACTATATGAGAATACCCACGATGTTAGGTCTTCAGCCAATTATAAAATGGGTCAGACATGTCTGTCCATTTGGCTTTGTCACAGTCCACTAATATGCAATACATTTCTGTATTTTTCAATGTGTGGATAAAATTTCTAGCTTCTTCCACCTAATAGATGTATAAATAATGCATCTCATTAATTACTGCATCTTTTAACAATATTACAACTATAAAATGCTTTTAATTGATATATTATGCATACCCCTTAGCATTTCGCACATCTGGTGTGATTATCAAGAGTCATTTTTCGAGATTCAAACACCTGAAATACTTCTTACGAACATTTCACATCTTCTTGTTGAAGGTGAGGCTCAAACACCTCCTTCACGAAAAGTTTGACTCAAACTTTATTCGAGTTATCAAGTGTATACAATAACCATAAATTAATTCCTTCCTTCCTTCCTAGTTTCTTCACATTCTATTGTTCAAGTTAAGATAGAAAAAAAAGTTGAAGCACCATTAACACTAGAGTATATATTAATTCATTATCCTTTGCATGCATGTAAATGATAATCATTAACCAACTTTCCCCTGTGCATCCGAATATTGACATAGTCAATTGTTTCATATAAATATAGATATGAATATGCTGATAGCCACAACCAATAATGGAGGAGGCAATAGCAAAGTTAGTAAACTCATAAAAGCTCATGTGAACGTGAAGAAACTTTCGATCGTTGGTGGGAAGCTTACAAGGAAGAATCGACAAAGAAAGAAAGGCCAGAAACAAAGGAGAAAGTGAATAAACGCGTGAAGGAATAAAGTGAATCCCGACATATATAATATATATGATCTGGTCGAGTAAGAAAGCGTTATTTAGATTTTGAATTGAATCGGACTTTGAATGATGATATAAGATAGATCATTATTTATTAAACTCTATGCCTTAATATTAATTTAATTATAAATTATGATTGGCGATTGTGATTCGAGGACATTTATCCAGCATACTAGATGCAGTATCTTAGGATTTAATGTTTTAGAGAACTATGAACTAGCTAGTGCTTACTCCTTCAGGGTTAGTAAAGATATAATATCATGCTCTAAAATTCGGCTACTTCAAGGTATATATAACGTTTTCTCACTATTGGTATGCGGTACCCTAAACCTACTATGGATATGATAGAAGGACGATGTAATAACATGCTAACCTATATATGTTTTTGCAAGACAGATAGACGATATGTACATCGATCATGGATGTAGTTTTAGTCCGACAGCAGGACGATAGAGGTGTAATCTACTGTGTATGAATGTTCGTGTTCGAAAGAATCTTAATAAAATGGAAGGTTGAAAACTTATGAGACTGATCTAACCGATCTAGTATCTGTTGCTAATACCTCTGGATCAATCAACTTGTTCAATGGGCTCGTGCATATACCTTAAACATAGCACATTTACCATAGATGATCAACATCTAAGCATATCAAACATCAAAATGATGATGATCAAACATTACACTAGTCCAAGGCGGTGCATGCCAATTGCACCACCAATGCAATTGAGATAGCCACACCACCACCACTTTGGATGATTGGCCTCTCCACTCTCCCACTCCACTAAAAGAGAAAAAAGAAGCCAACCCAATTGCCCCCCAAATTTCAAAGTGGGTCACTCAATAAACAAAAGATGTCGACTCATCATATGTCCCTCCTTTCTCTACCCTATAAATATGTGGAGAGATCACTCTGCCCAAAATGTGACAGAAACAGGGGAAGCAAGCAAGCAACAAATTCTACTCTGTTCTACTTCTATGAAAATGGAGTCCTCCCTCTGGCTTGTTCCATTGATGATCGCATTAGCTGCTAGTTGGAGCTCTACATTAGTACAAGGCCAGCTGAAAAATGGGTTCTACTCTTCATCTTGCCCCAAGGCAGAGGCCATTGTCAGGTCGGCGGTCGAATCGGCCTTCAAGGACGATCCTTCCATTGCTCCTGGTCTGCTCAGACTTCACTTCCATGATTGCTTTGTTCAGGTAACGAATCGAATATCCTTCTGTTGGGTTTTCTTTCCACAATTTCATAACTGATCGTGTGTTGCGTACGTAAAGCAGTTGTTTCCAATAACTTCGGAAGAAGTTCAATTATGGATCTTATACCATTTACTTTCCAGGGCTGCGACGGTTCGGTGCTGATTTCGGGCCCTAACGCGGAGAGGAGCGCGCCACAGAACCTTGGAATACGAGGCTTCGAAGTGATCGACGCGGCGAAAACCCAACTGGAAGCGTCCTGCCCCGGCGTCGTCTCCTGTGCTGATATTCTTGCTCTGGCTGCTCGGGATTCCGTAGATTTGGTAACGAAGATGTAGCTTTAGTGACGCCAGTAGCTTATTTTGTCATGAAACTCATCCGTCGCTAAAGGTCACTTGACAATTTCTTTTTCTTGTTTGTTTGGAATTTGTTGAAACAGAGTAATGGTCCAAGCTGGGCAGTCCCTACGGGAAGAAGAGATGGGAGAGTCTCTTCTTCTTCCCAGGCAGCGGTTTTACCGTCGCCCCTCGATTCCATTGCTGCCCAGAGGCAGAAATTCGCCGCTAAAGGGCTCGACGATCACGATCTCGTCACCTTAGCTGGTAACTTTTCAAGCACTAAAATTTCCTCTGTTTTTTGGACTTCCGTGACATTATTTGTTCAATTGGCCGCTACATTTACAAAATTAGTGGATAAAAACGAAGGGATTTCATCAACTTTATATATAATCATGTCAGCGAAGTAATAAATTTTTGTAATTGTTTGTTATGCAGGAGCACATACAATCGGACAAACAGAGTGCAGATTCATGAGCTACCGTCTCTACAACTTCACGGCGACGGGGAACGCCGATCCGACGATCAGCCAGTCTTTCCTCGCGCAGCTTCAGACGCTCTGCCCCAGAAACGGAAACGGTCTGAAGAAGATTCCGTTGGACAGGGACAGCCACGGGAACTTCGACACCAGCTTCTTCAAGAACGTGAAGGCAGGGAACGGGGTGCTGGAGTCGGACCAGAGGCTGTGGGACGACGCGAACACGCGGCGGATCGTGGAGAATTACGCGGGGACGATTCGGGGGCTTTTCGGGTTTCGATTCGATTTCGAGTTCTCGAAGGCGATGATCAAGATGAGTGGCGTTGAGGTGAAGACTGGGAAAGATGGAGAGATTAGGAAAGTCTGTTCTAGGGTTAATTGAGGTTTGAAATGGGTGGTGGTACTACTGTAGCAACGGTTTCAAACAATGTCGTGATTAAATGTGTGAAATGGTATTAGGGTAGGAAGTGTGATATGGATAGTAGACATGTAGTAAACGAAGCCACGTTTATAGTGATTGTTGCAATAATTTGACGGTATATCTTTAGTTTGGGGTAAATTACAAGTTTGGTCATTGTGTTTGTTAAAAAGTTCACGTTTGATCACTGAAAATATTTAATTCCATTCGCGGAGTTCAACGGATGGACTATACATTCAAGTAAATCCGAACACAACACAAAGAATACAACTATTTTGCATTATAAAAGAAAGATTATACAACTAATTAAATTTCAAGCAAATATGATCCTATGAAAAATCATCAAAACCCATTGTTATTTGGATATCGATGAAGTGCGATTTTCTTGAACATATTTTTAGTATTTTTCATAAACATTTATCGAAATAAAATTTGAATATAACGCAAATACATTTTTGACATGAACATTTGGACAAATTTGTAACATGGATTGGGTCGGATATAGGGCTGGCAATTTGGTCCAGGACTGTTTGGTTTTACTCGAAACCGGACCGTATAACCCGGACCGGGACCGGACTGGGACCGGATAGCAAACAATTCAAATATCCAATCTCATATTCGGGCTTAGATTTGAGGTAAAAAAACCAGGATAAGAGACCCCAACACTCAAATCCCCACAAGCTCAATCTAAAATCAAAATCAAATTGGGACCGGACCGGGTCAAGATCGGACCGGATCAAGACCGAAGTGTGTCCAATTCAATCTTTGGTCTTTATATTCCCGAAAAGATCGGACTGGAACCGAATCAATTTGGTCCAATTTAATCGGACGGACCGTATAGCCACCCTTACGAATATCTATGGATTGTGTAACTCAAAATTTGAACTCAATCACATAGAGACCGATTTAAAAAAATACCTTCATCCAACCTTAAATGATAATTTTAACGATAAATACGAGTAGACCAAACTGGATTGGATTGGATTGCATGAGTACTATGGGCGTTTTACAGACTTGGCCATGTTTCATACTAGCATAGGGCCCCGCCCGTTGGCGGGAGAGGTTGACTCGTTTGATCAAAGAGCTTAATATTTAAATAGAGGTTGTACTTAATTTAGAAGTATTTGTGCAATAAGCAAGCAGCTCATTTTTCCTGTACTTATATTGTAAATGCTTGGGTGAATGTTTTCTTCTGGTAGTTACCAATGTATAATTAATTAAATACCAAAAACATATAAAAACATGTCTAAAATAGAATACATGTACCTAATATATACATTATCTAATTCAACTACATATTTGTAAATAAAGTCTTATTGATATAAAAAGTTGGTAAGTAACAAAGTTTCTTTTAATGAGATTTTCGTAATAAAAAAAGGTTTGTCCTTTGATGAAGTTTAGAGCATCCGTGAAATACTTTTCTCAATAGTAATCTTTGTGGTTGATTATTGCACAGAGTATAAATTTGGAATTACATTTATTAATGAGATAGAACTATTTGCAAATTGGTTACCAATTAGTTGAACAATGTACTCAAACTATAATTATATCTTCTATATGTCAAGCTGCCATGTATCAGTTTCATTGAACGAAGTCATGTAATATTAGGAGTTCAAAAAATAATATTGGTGGATTGATTGATACAGAATTTTAACTATTCAACAAATTAAGTACATCATCTATGGACCATCACAACCGGTTAGAAAGCAACTTGTTCGCATTTATACCAAGGAGATCCGATATTTTGTTTAAGTTGTAGTGAAGTTGATGGAGTCCCATCAATGTGTTAGTAAGCAAAATGTTGCCACTTAGTTCGTAGAGGAGAAATTTAAATATGTTTCCATTCAATAGTGATCACTCATGTTAGTCTCTTACCAATCAACCTAGTGTGAATCCCACTTCATTAAAGTTTCATAACGGTAACGACTTGTGTGAATTTTTTTAGGATAGATGACCCAAATTCATTACTACATACATCGCAGCCATAAATCAAATTCATAATTCACAAATTACACAAATAAATTACCATTTGAGTTTATAACCCAAAATTTAGGTTTAGAAAAGTAGCACACAGTTATTACTCATTAGGGTATAGAGAACAATACAATGCTCCAAAATTTATTGAATTCAAGATTTAGATAGTATTTTTTATGCACCTACCTCATTATGAACCGTAATTTTGATTTGGCGATTCAAATTCTTTAATCATAATACAATGAACAAATAATTAAATTAGTTGAATATATAAGAGGATGAATTGAATTGGATTGATCGTTTGGATTGTAAATTGCAAACTCTAAACATGGGTTAATCTTAATAGTTGATATTCGTTTATAGACCATTTATGATGTATTGATTGACGGATTTCTTTTTAATGGGCTTGAATGAAAAGTGGCCCAAGTAGCAAATTAAGAAGGCCATGCCCATACTCTGTATAGCAATAAGTAGAGGAAGCACCGGATCGGAATGGAATGGCAGAAAAATTATTGGTCCAAAAAGACCAGAACGGCCTTCCATGGATTGCGCAGGGAGCTCCATTTTTTCAATTATGTATTTTCTCGCGTGGAACATGCATATAGTGTTGGGAGGATGCAGAACCCCAAGATGCAACTTTTTTCAAGCAGTCGCTCCACTCATAATATAATAATACAATCTTTCTTTACCTGATGGATGACAATAATACAATCTTCCAATACAAACCTTGTTCTTCCTCATCTGCCATCTTTTCAACTTTCGATTCCGAAAGAAATATTGAGAAAAATCCACAAAGTTATATTTGAGCATTAATTTTCATCCATGCCAATAGCATTGATGTTTCATTATTTTCAATAGCTTTTTCAATTTGTTCGTTCTCCCTTGTCACCACTTTGTTCTCCTCAGCCAAATGACATGACATAAGCAACACAGAATGTGAATTACAACTAACCAGCATACCTCATTCGATGCGGTTTACTAACAGTTTAGAAATATCATTTTCCTCATTTGGTGTTATCCATTGCCACTTTGTTTAGATGCCAAAGTCTTCATTGCTCTGTCATCTGATTTGTTGATATATTTGAAACATTGCCACTTTGTTTCGCTACTTGAAACATTCAATAATAAATTAATATAAATTTACTGAAATAACAAAGTAATTAAAAATTAAAATTCTTCTAATTTTATTTTAGTTTCATTAATTTAAGTTTCCAAATTCCATTTTCCGTTTTTTACTCTTTTCGTTTCATTCCAATTTAATCTTTCATGTTTACGTGAATTAACATTAATGTAAAGGATATTTGTAGTTATAAAACATTCGTGTACTATTTTTATTTTCATAAATATTTTTAAATCTAAATATTTTATTATTTTTATACCAGGTAGCATCCACGTCATCAATATTGGGTAACTGAGCAGTGACATGGCGGGTTGATCGTTTTAGTTAACGGTTTTGACCGTCGAACGTAACAATCAGTTTTGACCATCCAACTTGACGATCGGTTTTTGACCGTCCAACTTGACAATCAGCTCTCAGAATTGGCCAATTTGATAAAATTTAAAGATAATGTTATTGATTGAAAATATTGTACACTTAAATTTCACATCCGGTAGAAAACAATAAAGTAAATAACAACGTTTGTAGTCTTGCTTAATTTTATAACAATAAGCCCACATAAATTAAGGCCCTTTTCATTCCCTCATTCTGTCCCTACTTTATTGCTACGTAAGGCCCATGTGTGAGTTAAAATGATGTTTACCTAAATGACCCTCCGTTCTCTGCGCAGAATGCAGGAAATTTTGATTTAATAGGATTATGGAGGAGAACCTCCATATAAGTATGGTTTAGATAGATTAGATTCGGAGACTAAAGGTCTCATCCGAAAAGCATTAAGTAGTAAGCTTTCCAAATCCATACTAGATTCGGCTGTCACTTATGTATATATTAGTACGAGTTTCAAATCGCTTTCTCCTTCACCGGCAGCGTGCTAATCTTCGTATCAATCCTGTAGTTCAACCGCCGTCATGGCGACCGAGAACTGCACATCTTACCCAGATTTGGATACGGAGCTAAGATTAGGTCTTCTCCCTTGCGTGTCAAGGAAACGGCGGATCGACGACTGGAGTTCTACCGCCGCCATGGCGGTCGAGAACTGCACATCCGACCCAGATTTGGATCTGGAGCTAAGATTAGGTCTTCTCCCTTGCGCGCCCAGTAAACGACGGCGGGTCGATGACTCGGAAGAAGTAAACCCTCCTTCTCCGATCGGCAATCTCGGTGACGATCTCCTAGCAGAAGTTCTGATTCGCCTTCCGGAACCCAGATCCGCCTGGCAATGCAAAGCAGTCTGCAAGCGATGGAATTCTCTGATTTTCAATCCCCACTTCGCTCGCCGTTTCATTTCTCACCACCAGAGCAGATGGAATCGATACGGCGGCGACGGTGGCGAATGCGAAGAACCAGCTTTGATGACCTCATGCTTCGGCGAATCCATCTTGAGCTTCCTCCCCCTGCCCGATGAATTAGGATGTTACGGAAGATTTAATTTCCTAGTTTTTTATTCTTACAAGGACTTGGTTTTGTGCGGATTTCGTACCGAATTTCAGAGATCTCTCTTCATCTGCAACCCGTTCACGGAGCAGTGGATCGCTCTTCCTCTAGCGCCAGAAACGCGGCGGTCTTCTACAATTGGATTAAGGGAGACAAGGTTAGTTTGTGAACCCAGCTCTAATGTTGAACTTGATATAGGAGAAGGCCAACCACCATTTGTTTATTCCTCTGCATACCGGTTCCGGGTGGTGTGTATTTACCATTTGCGCGATTCTATAAGGATAGACTTGTTTTGTTCCGAGTCTGGTGAGTGGACGAAGGAGGCTCTTGTTCTTAATGGGCATTTCAGTTTGGCTAATGTTAATGTAGTTTCTACATCCTGCAACGGTGGGTTGTTTTGGTTGTGTATGAATTCCGGAGTTTTGGGGTCTCATCCAATAATTGCTGGGTTTAATCCCTTTCGTCTTGATGTACCTCCCATCCGACTTGATACTTCTCGACTCGCCAAGGGAAGCTGGAATATTTCGGTCTCACAGGGTGCTCTACACCTAATATCACTTGCTCCACCTACACTTTTGAGTGTTTGGAGACTGGAAGAAGACCGTAAATCTTGGAGTATGCAACATAAAACTGTGTTGGGGAAGACAATCAAAATTTTCGACTATGAACTTGAGGACTGTGATGTAGCTTGTTTGCACCCAGAGAAGCCGCATATTGTCTTCTTCAAACATCCTGGTTTTGGTGATCGTCGGAGTGTTGCACTGTCCTACGATATGAAGACTGCAGAGCTAGGGTTGTTTGGTGAGTTTGTTCCCAGATTCCAGCCTAGGGTTTCTTGCTGGCCTACCCCGATTCCAAGGTACGAGGAACTGCGAGCTATATACGATGGGCGATATAGCTGTTGGGTTCAACAGAGCAGCAGCAAAGCAGCAACTCTCTCCCTGAACAATCAGTAATAATCTATCTTTTCTGCATTTGCTTGCATCTGTGTTCGGGTTTAGGAATTCGCTAATCGAGAGCCCGAAAGAAGCTTATCCTAGAAAACAACATGTCAGCAACCACATCAAGAACTCTATTCCCTCCTAAATCGGTAGGATGAAAAAGGAAGTTGTCTTTTGTTGAGTAGCACAAACACATACTTTGCATACCTGTCTCTGCTTCCTTTCTAATCGCTTGAGAAGTCTGATGTGTTTGCAAACCTCTGCTCTTCTTGTTGCTAATTTTACTTTTCATTCCATTTATGCAGTGTCTGGATTGTCAAAGAGAGAATTATGCAGTGGCTGGATTGTCAGAAGAAGAATCTATGCAGTGGCTGGTTTAATTACTAGACCCCTCCCTCCCTAGCGTGTCTTGTTAGGAAGCAGAAGGCGGTGAAGCTTGAAAGGCTAGCTCGTGTTGTTCAGAAGGATGGCGCCATTGGATGAAAATTCATCTGCAATTAGTCTTGCCTTGTTGGAATGCATGTGATCAATCTTATTCAAGATGACCAGAAAGCAAGAGTGTCCAGTGTTCTTAACTTTCCCTGTACTATTATTGCCTGCGCCATGGTTTTAGGCGCTGCAACTTGTTTATGTATCCAAAGTTTCTCTGTAAGATAGTTTATTTATTCAGCTGTCATGGAATGTAACAAGATCTATGTAGTTGTCATGGAATGTAACAAGATCTATGTAGTTGGCAATAGATACCCCAAACGGCAATTGGAATTGACCAAGTGGCAAGTGCAACTTCAGCCAAAGTGGTCACAGATTTCATGGGCACATCTTTCCTCTTGTGCTGGCTTTGTGGCTTCCTTGCTGACTCTTTCCTAGGCAGATTCAAGACCATTGCCATCTTCCCTGTTGTCCAAGCCCTTGTACAGTTACAAGAAATCCATGTGGAGCCCTATTCTCCACATCCTCCAGGTCATCGCAGCAGCCATTGGGAAGAGGAAAATGGACTTCTTCAGCAACCTCCAGAGGATAGCAATCGGCCTAGTTCTCTCGACAATCCCTGGCCGAAAGCAGCGCTTATCCGCCGCCACGAAAACCCTCCCGATATCGGTCTTCCTGCTGATCCCACAGTTCAGGGGGAGGCATTCATCTACCCAGGGAAGCTGGACTTCTTCATAAAGCAGTCCCCTAAAGTGATGAAGGCCATGAGCACGGGGCTCTTCCTCACCACGCTCACCTTCGGCTTCTTCGTCATCAGCTTCCTGGTCATGGTGGTGAAGAAAGTGACTCAGAGTGGGAAGCTCGATTGCTTCTACGGGCTATTGGCCGTTCTTGGAGTGGTGAACTTTGCTGTGTTCTTGGTGTGTGTTGTCCTAGTGGGAAAGAGGGTGATGGGAATAAGTTGAATGGTGGTGGGTCGGTGGAGTTGGAGATTATAGAGAATAAGACTAATGAGGTTGAGAAGTGTTAGTGAGTAGGATGGCAATGGGTCGAGTTAGGGGTTTTGTCAAATATAAACACAAATTCATGGGTTTATCCGTTAAATAGATTCGGGGTAAAATTCGTTGGGTTTGAAAAACTCAAACCCAACTCAACTCGCTGGGTATCCGCGGGTTTATGGGTACCCGTGGATTTTTGCGGTAAAAAATTTACAATAACAAATTTTTTCCAAACATCAATTTTCTTATAAAAATTATCCATACAAAAAACACTAATCTAGAGCATACAAGCAAACCGCAAATTATCAATACAAATTGTTCAAAATTAAAGATAAACATCTATAAACAACATGATTAATTGACAACTCCTTCCACCTTGTCAACTAAACTTCTTCACTCTCCACTCCATAATATCAACTTTTTTTTTTTTTTGACAAAGGGATACTTGCATTGCACTTTGAATGATCGATTACAAGAGAACCCACAAAGCAAACCAAAAATAGAACAAGGACAGAGAAACAAAAGCACATAGATGCTCAATCAAAGCTTCAGAGATACAACAAGAAGAGCACACAACCGAGAAAGAGTCATCCAACAAAGGATCTGAAACACTTGAACCAAAATCAGTATACACCGAAAGCTCTCTTGCAATCAAAACAAACGAAGTAGCACCAAGCGCAAACAGCTCGTCCGATCCGACTGAGTCCATGACGATTGATCACAATGTCATTAGCCGCCTCCTGGGAGTTGCTCGAAGACGCTCAACACAGTGAATCACGGGTGAGAGATTACATGGTGGTGGACAGAGATGAGGATCGAAATGCTCCGAGCTGAAGAGGCAGGGGAAGACGAGGCTCCAAGACTTGGACAAGGGAAGCAGAAGAACCCAGATCCCCCGATCAAAGAACTGAACCCACGAGCAGCAAGGCTAGACTCTGCAATCCATCCTCCGTCGGCCCCCTAGATGCAGAACAACCACCTGGGAAGAACGAAGGGGAAAACCAGAGAATCGATTCACCACAAAAGATGTTAAACCAACCATCATGAGAGAAGACCCAAGATGCAAAACCCAGCCCCAAAGGAGAGCAAATCCCAGCAAAAAACCCTAGAACAGGGGAGCGAAATGCCAAGAATGGCTTGAAAAGCTTGAAAGCAGAGTGAAAACATCAAAAACAAAGACAAGGAATTAAAGGGAGGTAGCAGGAAGAAAGAAAAAGGGGGTGGGCTACCGCCGGTCACCAAGAGATGCCGGCGGCAGCCCTGGGGAGCTTCAGAAGCGAGAGGAAAGGAAGAGCGGGATGAGAGCAATTTTTTGAATTAAAGTTCCATAATATCAACTTCATCGTACACAATTAGAAATAACAAATTAGACATGCCTCCACAAAAATAAAGAAAACTAGTTGTTTAAGGAAGATATATTGTTTAAAATATTAAATCTACCGAAAAAATTAATTATATGAGTGCGGGCGAGTTTGCCTAAACCCAAACCCAACCCAACCAGTGATGGTGTAGCGGGTTAAAACCCAAACCCGACCCAAAATCCAACCGGTAATGAGCTGGTTTTACCCGCGTTGACCGAGTTGGGTCGCGTAGGGTACCCGTGGGTTCGAGTTTTGTTGTCATCCCTAAGTGAGGAGAAGGAGAAAAAAAGGACTAAAAGAGGGATAACTGGGGATGGGGATGGTGGAAAAAAAAACTAATTTGGTTTTAGTTTATACTTTATAGTTTTTATGTACATTTGAAGCCATTCTTCAGCATTTCAAATTTACTCCAATGAAAACGAAATGAAATGAAAGCGAAAGTAGGAATGATAGATTTGTCTTTTTAATAGGAAAAATTACATCAATTATGAGATTTTAACTATAGTCTTTTTAAACAAGGACACTTGCAAACGAGTCGAGTCGAGTTTTTGCTTAGTTTGAGCTCGATTCGTTTATAAATTTTTCAGCTCGAACTCGAATTTTGACAATCCAGCTCGAGCTGGGTTTGAATAAATAATCTAGCTCAAGCTCGGCTCGGTAGAGCTCAGTAAATGCTCATTAACACAACTTATCAAGCTGAGTACAAGCTCAACTCAAGACGAGCTCGATTTGTAATCATTCTTGCTGAAAAATGTGCAAACATAAGACTTTATATGATAAAAAGAACACTAGAAACTAAAAATAACAGCTAACTTCCATACATATTCGTATTAAGAAGATAATGTTCATGTTCAGAAGAGTAATTAATCCTTACACAAGCTCTAAACAAACCAGTTCGCGAGCTTAGCTCAACAAGCCACCGATTCAAGCTAGCTCACAAAATTATAACGCCGAGCATGGTGTAGCTCAAGGTTTTTGTTTACTAATGAGTCGACTAGTTAAATAACGAGTCGAGTGTCGAATGAGTTTTTTCCGATTCGAACGTCGAGTTGCTCGCGAGAGGCTTGGCTCATTTACAGCTCTAGATTCGAGTCATTACCAATTACACTAAATGAACTTGATGTATATTTTAAAATAAAAACATACAAATGTCTAAAATCTTAAAAATATATGAATTTTTCACTACGACTAACTAGCCCACTAACTTATCCATAAGTATTTGTTTGGTGTTTGATATTTTTTTCATATTTTATTGTTTAATTCGATTTCAACAATTACTTTAAATACTGAGTAGAAATACACATTCCAAATATTTTGAAAACTTTAGAATGTTCATCTCATATATGTAATATTCAAATGAGGGATCGAATTTAAAGTTCTCTAAATATGTGTAGAATTATGATCTCGTATCCAGAGTGAGGGAGGGAAATTGAGAAATCGTTACGTAAATGTTGTGACCCGTTACTAATGACTTGTTAATGTTGAGATTCTCATTATTCAAGGGGTTGGGTTGAATTAGATATTTAGAAGGGAACCAGGGAAATTCAATCAATCAACACATCCTCCTCCAATAATATATGATAGAGTTTTGTGTAATTTTCTCTATTTCAAATTTCCTGCAACGAGAGTGAAAGTAGGAAGGGCATTTTTGTCTTTACAATTAGTTATTTATCTTATATAAAAAATATCAATATCAAGATTTGAACCCATGTCTATTCAAACAAATACAACAATCACAACCAATTACACTAAAGAAATTTGTTGTGTTTTTTTAATACAAAACATATACAAAGTGAAACACTTAAAATTGGAGGACTTTTCCATCATAATTAGCAAGCCCACTAAGTTTACCGTATGTATTTTATGATGCTTGATACTAGAATTTTCATAACAGAGTTTCATGTAGTTTTCTCAATTCTTAAATTACTGCTCTCTCCTTAATTTTCGCTAAAGGTAAATTGGTAATTGGCTAACATGGAAGAAACTAATCCTATTACTACGTGTTGTGTCCTTACATTTTTTCAATTTATATTCACTTTAGTACTTTTTATTCTCTTTCTAACTTCCTCTGAAATTTCCTCCATTGTGCAATAGTTTGCACCCCTTTCACTCACAGTACAAGGCCGTCTTTGAACCAATCTTCTAGTATCTCTTGGCACTACGATTCTATTGCTGGGCAAGTAGAAGATTTCAACTCTGATATCAATCCATGGCGAATAGAATGAAGTTCAATTAATGGAGTTGCAGAAGGAGGATTAGAAATTAAATTTTTGGTTGAAACATATGACTCTTGAGATTGAATATGGAATGGATAAAAAAAATGATTGTACAACGGAGAGTGGTGAGTATTGGATCTTTAGTTTTATGGTTTTTGCAGTTATCACAACCTATTTCTATCTTAAAACGAGGAATCATTGATTGATTTACTGAAGTAAGTCGGTTGATTCTTTGTTCAACCTACCGAAACTGATAGATAAGAAATGTCTAATTTTGTTCCTTATTATTTTGATCGAGTCAATTAGTTTAATGGTGGTAACCCCAATTTTGACATTTTCTCTCAAGCTTTGATGGTCCTCTCTTAGCTGAGTTGTTAGTATATAGTTCACTTGAATAAACAACTCTCTATTCCTTTTTGATTAGTGGCATATTGTTCCTAACAAGAAAGCATTCTTAAAAGAAAGCATTGAACCCTTTATGTAGGATTTTGAGGTTTAAGATTTACTTTCAAACTATCTATGGTAGTGAGCTTTTAAACTCTATCTTTCTTGACAATCAAATAACCAATAGCATTTTACCGGAGACTTAATTATCATTTTGAAAATTGAATCAATAATACATTTTATATTTTATATTCTTAAATGATTATGATATTGCTCGAAATGTTTGACCTATATATTATTTCTTTATGTATCATCTCGATCGAAATATTGTAAATAAAATTAAAAAAGTTGATAGATTTAAACGTAACATAAAAATATAAATAATCAACTATAAATATTCCGGCCAACGGGCCGGGTTATAAGCTAGTCCCTCTATAATATATAGCCGTTCTTCAGGAGATTTTGAGCATTTCAAATTTTTTGCACTCTCCTTAATTGTAGCTAGGGTAAATTTGTAAGTTCTTAGAGCTTAAATATCTTCTTACGAGAAAAAAAATGTCATTACCAAGAGTTGAACTCGAGTCTTTTAGATTGATAGTCAATATCCCTAACCAACTAGACTACAACAATGTTTATGTATTTTTCTGAATTAAAGAGAGAAAATACTGAAATATCTCAAAATCATAGGACTATCCACCGCAACAATCAATCATCGAATTAATTAATAACTGTAATTATTTACAAAGTGAATCATCATGATATACCTAGCTTTATAAATCAACTAAGTGAGTTCCTCTAATCACACAATTCTTCACCAAGAATCAAATAGTACATTTTGAATTTATGTATGTCTTACAACTTTTACATTTATTAGGTTACATGACTTTGCAGTTTGTAGGAATACAAGGATTGTTTGCAAAAGTGTTATACAAAATTTTATTTCAAAACATAAAATTTGACATTTGTGATCTATGGTTTTGTAACGAGACATTTTCAATGCTATAAGTGAATGACCAAAAATCATTGGCTAACAATTTCCCTAATGGTTGAGAATTATGAGCATAGAATTGAAAGACTAAATACCATTGACAAATGAGCCACTAGACCATAGATTAATCACGTAACTAAATTCTATATCATAATTCTCTAAATTCTAATATAGTGCATATGGTATGTTGTATACATCTTGGCGAATCAGAATCATTGCTTATGTTCTTAGTATATGTGATATTAGGGTTTAAGTTCTATAGGTTTAGGGTATATGACTTAATTTTTGGAAACTTAATCTCCCTTTTCAAATTCCCGACAATGAGAGGGAAATTATGAAAGACATTTTTGTCTTCACAATTATCTGTATTTTTTTATTTATTTACAGAAAAAGATAGACATATTGAGATTTGAACCATGGTCACTTCAAACAAAGTAAAGGTTTAAAATCAATTAGACTATGTAGATTTGTTGTATTTTTTTAAATTAAAAATATATACGAATCTAAAATATGAAATCACAAAACTTTTCAACAGTTAGCTAGCCCAATAATTATTTCGTAAGTACTTATTTGGTGTTTTGACACTTCAATTTTGATATTTTTATTTTAATTATAGTTTAATACTTAATTTAAAATTTTATCTATATTATAAATAGACGATAACCATAAATTTGCAACCAAAATATTGTTGGTTCGAATATTTCATATCGAATTATAGTATTGAATATGTAGAAGCGATATAGAATTCTTAAATTATCATTAATTTTCAGAACTATAGTGAAACAATCATATCTTTGTGCAAACTATAGGGGACTGGTTCTCTGAATATTTTTGTCCGGTTAAATACTAAGTTTGAAACTCTTCCTAGGGGTGTGCGTGGGTCGGTTCATTTGGGTTTAGATATTTTAATCACCTAAATCATATACCACGATTTTGAAAATACTAAATACAAACTCACCCAAATAATTTAGAATTTTAACGGTTTGTGTCCTCCATACCAAATGACCAATTTACATGTCACTTAACTAAGGACGATCTCATTGTCCAATCCCATCATTCTAATGTCAATCCATAAAAGTAACTCATATTCGCGTTTGTTAACACGTGTTTCACATTGTCATTACTGTGACCGGTAACTTCGCTGCAACTGATTCGGTATTGCTCATCATATGGCCTCCAAACTGATAAACATATGGAGCCAGCAGTTTTATTACAAAACTCAAAGTGAAGACAACTCATCATTAGGTGGAATTTTGGCGCTTGCTGGTGTCCATTAATCTAATTGCAAGCATAATTATTGCTAAAATTAAGCTTTCACGCAACACACTAGGAGTTGGGGGTGTGTACTTGGAGTAAAAGTTGATATTGGGTTTGGGAAGGGATTAAGGGAAGTGGTGAGGGGAAGAAATTGTGTTTGGATTTGGTAGCAGGTAAAGTTCATAGTTCGGTTTCTTTTCATAAAATGCTTTGATTTATTTTAGTTAGAGGTATAATATCATGGTTATGTGGGATCAAATGAAACAAAAATGAGCTTGGGGAATGGGAATTCCAACTTAGAAGGAGTGGATTAGATTTTGATAAACTCAAGTTCATGATTAACTGAAAGAATATTTATGTTTAGACTTTGTGGTATTGAGATGTTCATAGAGAGTCTAAAACTGATCCAAGGCCATGGATTGATATTGGTTAGTTGATTGTGATTTTGAGGAAGGTGTATAAAAAGTCATGGAAGTAGTTTGCAGCAAGTGAAGGCAGTGAAGAGGCAGTTGGTCAGGGTAGTGATTTAACCAATGAGGGTATATTGAAAGACATAGAAGCATAATAGGAGCAGTTGAAGAGAGAGAAGTGGTAGATGATCAGGCTATTAATAAAAATGGAGAGGGTATGGAAGTGAACTGGATCAAATGAAGGCAGAGAAGGAGGAGAAGAGCATATTGATGGAATTGAAGATGAGTGTTGGTTTTACGAGCTTATTAAAACTGCCCCAAGGAGGATGAGTTGGCCAAATACAAGAAAGAGGATTGAGGAGTTGGAGATCAAACTGACAAGAAACTCAATTGAAAGATAAATTCAGGTTCATGGAGAGAAGGTCCATCAAAGTAGCATAAATGGAGTTGCAGAAGGATGATTAGAAATTGAATTTTGGTTTAAAACATATACGTCGAGAGATTGAAGATGGAGGGGATAAAAAGTTGTTTGTACAACGGAGAGTGGAAACTATTGGATCTTTAGGTGTTATGGTTGTTGCAACTACCACAACCTATGTTTATGTTAAAACGAGGAATCATTGATTGATTTACTAAAGTTAATGTCGATTCACTATTGAAACTACTGGAACCTATAGATAAGGAGTGTCTAATTTTGTGCCTTATTACTTTGATCGAGTCTATTAGTATATTGGATGTAATTCTAATTTTGTCATTTGCTTTCAAGTTTTGATGGTTTCCTTTTAGTTGAGTTGTTAGCATATGATTTACTTGAATCAACAACTCTTCATTTTTTTTTATAAATCCATTTCCTTTTTATTAGTGGCATGTTATTCATAGAGGAGAGCTTTGAACCATTTATGTGGGATTGACATTGTGAGGTTTCATTTCAGTTTCAAACTATCTATGGATCGTGTGAGAATTCCAATGAGCTTTTATATTATATATTTCTGGACAATCTATTAACCAATATCATTTTAATGGGGGCTCAATTATCATTATGAAAATGGGATTAATGATACATTTTTATATTCTTAAATGAGGAGGGTATTTTCCTGAATATTCGACCTATATATTCATTATTTATGTAGAATCTCGATTGAATGATTTTCAATAAACTTAAACAAATTAATAGACTTATTAAAGGTGAAAGCCAAAACTCATTGCTCCATTTCAAATTTCATGCATCGAGAGTGAAAGTAGGAAGAACATTTTTGTCTTCACAACTACTTATTTCTTTATTCGTAAAAATATATACACATAGGAATTTGGACCATGACCACTTTTAAAAGAGGTAAGAACTGCAACCAATCACGCTACATATATGTATCTTTTAAAATTGACCAAGTGCAACTTCAGCCAATGTGATCACGATTGCTTTGTGGTGTTCTTTTGGTGATTGTTGGTGGGCCGAGCTTGGTTTTCCCTCGCTATCTTCCTTCTGAATCAATCTTTTGTCTGTTCTTGATAGTTTGAAATCCTGTTGACTCGGGTCAATTTGAGGTCTAATTGCTCTTTGTGTGACAGTCTACTTGTCTTGATAAGCTTCACTTTCTCTTTAGTTAGCAAGTCAAAGTTGCTGATACACAATTCCAAGCACAGCTTCAGAAAATTCAACTAGAGTTGCTCTAGGGATAATTGGGTCATCGATGAGCAAATTTCAGCGGTGGAATTGAGCTTAAATTCCATATAGTGAAGAAATTTTGACAATTCTGTACTCTTGGATTGCCATAAATGTAGTCCCAAACATGTGGAATTGTGGATTCTCCAAGGCCCCAATCGCTCCCTAGCTATTTATGGGATTTGCCTAACGTTTTCTGCTTCTGTTCATTATCATATTTGCCTCACTCTAGGTCACCATTCAGGGTCTTATGTGTTACTGCTGATGATTCTCTCTTTTCTTGTGCTGCAGCATCACTAGCAGACCCAGCATTCGTCGGAACTTACGGAATAAACTATGGAAGAATCGCTGACAACATTCCATCCCCCGACGAAGTGGTCACCCTTCTCCGGTCAGCAAAGATACGTAATGTTCGTATCTTTGACGCTGACCACAGCGTGCTCACCGCATTCAGTGGAGCAGGGTTCAAGCTCGTGATCGGGCTTCCCAACGGGTTTCTCAAAGACATGAGCAGCAATGCAAGCAACGCTATGAGCTGGGTCAAAGACAACGTCCAGAAATTCATGCCAGGGATATGTGGGGTGGCAATAGGAAATGAAGTTTTAGGAGGAAGCGATGTCGAGCTCTATGGTGCTCTTTTAGGTGCAGCGAAGAACATCCACAGCGCTCTAAGTCAGCTCGGCCTGTCCGATGCAGTTCAGGTGTCCACAGCTCACTCCCAGAATGTCTTCTCCAACTCCTACCCACCGTCATCGTGCGTATTCCGCGAGAACATCGCTCAGTACATGAAGCCTTTGTTACAATTTTTCTGGGAAGCAGGGTCCCCATTCTGCTTGAACGCATACCCATTCCTCGACTACATGAACGATCCGGCAAGCATCGACATTAACTATGCACTTTTCCAGAAGACGAAAGGGATCTTCGATCCGAAGACTGAGCTGCACTATGATAACATGCTTGATGCCCAGATAGATGCTGCGTATGCAGCTCTGGAAGATGCAGGGTTCAACAAGATGGAAGTTATAGTGACGGAGACAGGGTGGGCTTCTAAGGGTGACGGTAATGAAGCTGCTGCAACGCCAGAGAACGCAAGGACTTACAACTTCAACCTGCGTAAGAGGCTGGCAAAGAAGAAAGGCACTCCAAGGAGGCCGAAGAACGTGGTGAAGGCTTATGTTTTTGCTACTTTTAACGAGAATCTGAAGCCTGGTCCGACTTCTGAGAGGAATTTCGGGCTCTTCAAGCCGGATGGGAGCATTGCCTATGATGTTGGGTACAAAGGGCTTAAAACTTCTTCTGCTGATTCAATAGTTCTTTCATTGAAGGTAAACACTTATCTTCCCTTTTCTCGGTTTGCTTCTCTTCATTCCCCATACTGACAATACCGAGAACTCCTAGTTCTGAATGCAGTCCTTGTATGTCTTCATTAGCTCATCGTCTCCACCCTCCTGGGTTATATTCATTGATGCAGGGTTTTCCAGCTCGAGGTTTGTTGAGGTCGTATCAGTTGGTTTGGACAATCTGTGCCCTGGTATTGCTTCTGTTGTTAAGACAATGATGTTCAGGAAACAATTCATCTTTGTAAATCAGGCACTCGGGGACCAACAAGGGAAGAGAGTTCAGATAGTTATACAGATGCAATACGAATTCATGTCAAACTTCAACAGTACGTACCACAATAATATTGGATTTTCCTGCTATGATAACATATTTCTTAGAGATATGGCTGATTGTTTTTAGCTCTCTGGCAAGAGTGTACACTTGGGTGAATCATAGAATCACTGCTTACCAGTTTTCTATCACACCTTGCTGTACGAAAGGTTAATGCCGTGGTTGATGAGGAACTTGAGCTGTAACAGGCGACATAAATCGTATCATACAGACTAGTTGCTTTGCTGCAGGTGAATTCCATAACGATTCAGGACAGTTGACCTGGGAATTTGTTTGATGGATGTCTCTGGTATTTTCTGTGCCTAACTTAATGTGATAAGAGGCTCATCATTCTGTATGATATAAGAACGCAAGGAAGCCTATTTATTTGACTTCATATGCAGAAGGATTGACAGTCCAATCTTGTTCAGAGAGGTTATTAGTATTTTGCGCTATTTGTTTTTATGGTGATAAACTCAGAATGCCCGGTTTCTTGCATTGATTTCCAGGAGTCCCTGATGGCATCCATGAAATAGTCCTGTTCCTGCCTTGGATTGTTGGATGTTTTTAGTCTTTCTATTTGACCAGATCAGAGAAGATCCAATTTCCTGGTTTTTCTTCTTCTCGTTAGAATAATGTTTCTCTAGCTTTTTAATTGCTTGATGCATCATGAGGGACGAATGGAAAAAAGCGTAGATTGAAGTTAACCTAGCAAAAGCTTAGTGAAGTTAGGTTACAGGGAAGAATCGACTAAGGAAAAAAGCTAGAGACAAAGGAGAAAGTGAATAAACGCGTCGAGGAATAAAGGGAATCCGATCCAGACATATAAGGGTAAGAAAGCGCTATATACTTTGAAATATATGATATAAGATAGATCATAATTTACTAAACTATATACCCTAATGTCAATTTAATTAGAAATTATGATTGGCGATTGTAATTCATGGACATTTATCCAGCATACTAGATGCAGTATGCCAGTATCTTATGGATTTAATGTTTTAGAGAACTATGACCTAGCTAGTGTTTACTCCTTAAGAGTTAGTAGATATTGTCAAGAACCAGTTGGTCCAATAACTCTAGTTGTTAGGAGAGATTCAATCGTGAATCATATACCACAACTAGGGCTGGAAGTTTGGTACCGGTATTTGGGATATACCGAATACCGTACCAAATTTGTCTATATTTGGCATTACCGAATACACGTAGTATTTTTTGGGATTGGGATTGGGATTGAATTTCAATTGTTATTCGGTATTAGGGAGTACGGGATTGGGATCGGTATATACCGAAATACCGATCAATACCGAAATATAAGCTAGTATTTATTTTCTCCTCTCAAGTAGACTCTCTCATTCACTACCACACGACCCTCAACCACCAAGAGTGTCATTTAATTATACATAGATCATTTCATCACTATTAATAGTCGTCTCTCAACCTCCAATTCGTCAAATTAACGATAACCAACGACAAGAACTTGAGATGTCTCCTCTCTTCCATTCTCCTCAATAATATTCTAATTCAAAACTCTTTGCTTAGTCTTCCCCCCCCCCCCTAAATTAAACAATAAAATATAATTTATATATTTAATTATTAATTGCAAAAGTAATTAATTTTGTATTCGATAATATCGATTGGGATACCGAAGTACCGATTGGGATACCAAAATATTTAGGGGATAGGGATACCGAAATTATTTAGGGATTGGGATTGACTTTAGAGGATAATTCGGTATTCGAGATTTCGGTATTTGGTATTGGGATACCGATACCGTACCGATTTCCACCCCTAACCACAACACTAACACGCCCCCTCAAACGAAAGTCACTCACAAGGGCTTGAAGTTTGCACTGGTGTGAAGACATGAATACCATGTGCTTAACAAATAGGGGTCACGGAGAATCGAACACAAGACCTCTCAGTCACTGAAGGCTCTGATACCATGTCAAGAACTAGTTGGTCCCAATAACTCGAGTTGTTAGGAGAGATTCAATCGTGGATCATATACCACAACACTAACAGATATAATATATATCATGTCCTAAAATTCGGCTACTTCAAGGTCTATATAACGTTTTCTCACTTCTGGTATGAGGTACTGACTCGCCTCTACCGTCACACTAGAAAATGGCCAAGTGTAACCACCTACTAGAGCGTAGTATAGCGGGTTTGGGTTTTCATGTCAACTCGGGTCCTGAGTGTGATGACTACTCGGTGAATTCTTATTATTTATAAGTGAAAGTGTAGTGAAGGTCCAAGCAAACAAACAAGCAAAGCAGTAAAAGGTTGTTTTCAAGTTGAGAGAGGTCACCTGGATATGGTCCCCCCTAGACTGTAGTTAAACCGAGTTGTAATTTACCAAGTTCAAGTTCAAAGATAGTTATACTGCGGGAGGTTCTTAAACAGTCTGCAGTCTCGACTAAAGGTCTCCAGACCCTCTCAATCTGAGTCCCCAGCGGGCGACTAACCTCCACCGGAGTAGACAGATCGAGGCCCTAACGAACCAAACCTCCTCTACCGAAGTAGATCCGGTACAGAATAGTGAATTGACTCCTCGACTAAAGTCGTCAATTCACTAAGTTAAGCAAGTTATTAAGTTGGATCTTCCCATAATGTGGGAGATCACTAAGTTCCTCAAGTATGTAAGGAAGTACGAGTTAATTATATTTCTCCTTGGGTGAGAGGTTAATTAAGGCAAGCATGTGTAAGTCAACAAGTTAATAAGTAAGAACAAGTTAATATCGCTTAGCTAGCCACTTTCACGATGGATCACTACTGGACGGCGATACGTAACACAATAGTTGATAAGGCATGGAACTGGACTGCGATACATAACGCAGTTTTCATTGCCCATGTTTAGGTATGCAATCGGACGACGATACGTAACGCGGTTGGCATACCTCAGTTTTGACACCGGACGGCGATACATAACGCGGTGGTCATAACTCGTGTTAAGCAGGCAGTGACGCTAGTTAAGCAGAGAGGTAGGGGCCCCGTCATAAGATAAAATATGCAAGATACCTAGAAAGTGAAGAAGAATTACAAGTTCAAGAACTCCTAATAATGTACTCCTAATACTGTACTAAGTCATTGCATCACATTTGCACCCATATGCATGTTGCTTGATTTTATATATTATATATATGTAAAGAATGGAATATAGGATTAGGACTGACCCCAACGCCCGCATTCAGGAGTTGCAAGCAAGCATGAGTATTCGGACCATCGACTAAGATAAAGTTGTTGCTCGAGATGTCATCGTTCGTCGCAAGGGTTAGTGATTTCAGAAGTTTCCAATTGAACCACTTTCACTTATGTAATCTTATTATTAGTAAGCTTGAGACTGATACTGATTTATGATTTTGTAACGAGATGTTCCTATGGTGATTTGAAATTATTTTATGATATTTTAAATCATTCCTTTTGCCTTGAATAAATTTTGATTTCTCGATGGCAATTTGGTAAAAGTAGTGCTCGGCCAGGCTACGGTGTTACAGGCTGATCGGCTTGTAACAGTGGCATTTGCCTCCCTTTAATAATAAAAAAAAAAAAATTAAATGGTAATTGTTAACTGTCTCCGAGACCGGAAGGGAAGGGTTATGATCTGAATTGATTTGACCGGACGGTGGACTGTTTTTCCAGCCGTTGAGATGTGACCTGACTCAGTGCTTGAGGGAAAGCAACAAGGAAATGCAGCTCCTATTATCAATAGTTCACTGCCCAAAGCCAATTTTGACTGTTTGGGAATCCTTTCATTGGAAACTTCATCTAGGATTCCCTTTGGACAAGACAATCTTTATTTGAGATTTGGAATTCAAAATTTGGATTATTTTTGTTTACATAGTAATAGTATTACTATTGGCTGTGTATTTTATTCAAAATGAAAAAAATACAAGCTATAAATATATAATTTTTCGTAAAGATGTTTGGGCTTGAAGTCGATGGTCGTTTGTCCCCGCACCGGTGGCGACAGGGGAGAATTAGGGATTTCATTTTGGTGGGTAGTTGGGTTGGTGTGTCGGGTTGGATCTGGTTAGAGGTTTTGGTAGGTTTAGATGAGCTGGCGGGTTTCAATGACTTGGCAGGTCGGGTCGGATTATTTTCGAATTTAATAGTGTCGATTAGACGATTCCATACGCGACGTCATCACTTAACAGACTCCTTTAATGGAGATGGTTGGCAGCTAATTGAGAGTGACCAAACGTGAACATGTGTTTTGTAAAGTGAAGTACCACCTATGAATTTAAATATTTCGAGTGACTAAACTTGAACATTTTTTGTAATCTCAATGACCAACTATACTAACCCTTTTATTTTTGGAGTAGGAAAATGCTTTATTTTTAGAGGATGTGCTTTACAATAAAAGCTTAATCGATAAATTATAAACTCTCATGATGATGTAGTAGGGATATGATTTGATAAGGGCTAAGATCAGGTGACTAAGGGGGGGTCCCTTAGTCACATGACTAAGTCAATCTCAACCATTAAGGTTCATTAAAATCTGATGGTTCAAATTAATCTACTTTAATGAGGGATAAGTTGGTAATTACATAGTTTATTTATTTAAAAATTAAAATAAAAAATAAACAACCGCCCAGGCCCAGCTACCTCCCGCCGGTCTGCATCTTGCCCCCGCCCGCCGTCTGTTTCTGTTTCCCGCCGCCGGCGGTATTTTCTTTTTTCCGCCTGGGTTTCCACCGTCCGGGCATCATCGGCGGCTTGTGATTTTCGTTCCTCCTGGGTTCCCGGCGTCCCAGTCAGCACCGACGGCCAGGGATGGGGATGCGCCGCCGACCAGGAATTTTGTTCCTGCGGGATATGGGATTTATATCTCCCCATTTGTTTGTGGCTTCCCACACGGAGAGAGAGAGAGAGAGAGAGAGAGAGAGAGAGAGAGAGAGAGAGAGAGAGAGAGAGAGAGAGAGAGAGAGAGAGAGAGAGAGAGAGAGAGAGAGAGAGAGAGAGAGAGAGAGAGAGAGAGAGAGAGAGAGAGAGAGAGAGAACTTTTCCGGCGACGGCGGAGCAGTTTCCCGGCGACCAGAGACGGTGGTGGATGATTTTCCGGCAACAGTATTGAGTTCGTGATGTTTGTAATGTTTATATTACTATTTTGTATACATTGTAATGTTTGTAATGTTTGTTTGTCTAGTTTGTATACTTTATGTTATGATTTATACACTTTCTATTCATTGATTTGTATTTGTAACTTTTGTTATTCAAGTTTGTATACTTTTATGTTATGATTTGTATACTTTGTATTCATTTGTTTGTAATACAAGTTTACCAATCTGTATTGTAAGTAGTGATATTCTGTACGTGTAGTATGCTTTGTACTGTTTGTAATGTTTGTTTGTAATGTTTGTAATGTTTGTTTGCAATGTTTGTAATGTTTTTTATTTTGTAATGTTTGTAATGTTTGTTGGTTTCTTTTGTATTGTTTGTAATGTTTGTTATTTTTGTCCACATGTTTGTCATTTTTGTCAACCATGTTTGTAATGTTTTTTGCATCACAAATCAATACATATAAAGTATACAAATTATTAGTACTTACAATACAAAGCGAAACATACTAAGAATACAAGCAAAACATACTAAGAATACAAACTGTCAAAGAAAAACATACTAAGAATACAAACTGTCAAAGAAAAACATACTAAGAGTACAAACTGTCAAAGAAAAACATACAAACCATACTGACATTTTGTACAAAAATACTAACAATACAAACTAATGTTACAAAACATACAAACTATACAAATCACTGTTCTTCCTTCAGATGACGATACGATGTCTCTCCACGTCGCCGCCGCTGCCGCCGTCGACGTCGACTCTCTCTACAGCCGTCGTTACCTCTCTCTCTCCATCACCGCGCCGCTTCTATCTCCTCCATCGTCGTCGAAGCTCTCTCCGCCGCCTCTCTCTCCTCACCATCGTCTCTCTCTCCTCTGTTTTCCGACGAGTAGATCTACTTTCTCTCTCCAAGGCTGCCGCCTCTCTCTCCTCCAGCGTAGCGGCGTTCGCTAGAGAATCGCCTCGCAGATCGCCGAGAGAAAATCGCTTGGCCTTCGTCGGGAAGAAATCGGCTCGTCGTTGCTGGAGAATCGCCTCGCCGTTCGCCGGAGAAAATTGCCTCGCCCTTCGTTGGAGAATCGCCTCGTCTCTCTCTCTGGACAATACAACGGGAAAGGAAGAGAGAATTGGAGAGGGGAAAAAGGAAAAAATAAATAAAATGGAAAACAGGATTTAATTATTTTTTTTAAATGCCAAAACTACCCCTCTGATTAATTATTAACCCTTCCTTCATCTGGACCATTAGATCTACCCATTCTAATCTAAGGGCTGAGGGGAGCTTAGCCATGTGACTAAGCACCCCCCCTTAGTCACCAGATCCGGACTCGATTTGATAATGACCGGACGAAAATTCCTAACTGTTTCCAAGTTAGTATCAGTGTCATGTTTTCAATACAATATTACTAACAGAATTTCTAACCGAAAGTTAACATTTGACTAATTAATAACATTTTAATATTCATGGACCACCGGTCGAACCATTCCACTTGCTAAACCGGCACAAACCGGTTTGACAACCTTGCAATGGATTAAACCTTCCTGTGAAAAAAAAAAAAAAAGTCTTTACCTTTCTTTTCCCCTATATATAAACCTTGGCGCAGTCTTCAACTAAACCTAATGTGCTAGGGATATTTTCTTCACCCCCTCTCAATTGCTTTCTTCTTCATCTTCTCTCTTGTTCTTTATGTCATAGCTCTATGCTTTGATCCCTTTATTATTTATGCCATGAAATATGATCGATCGTCATGTTAATGATAGCTGGCTAAGCATCTGTTTAAGTTTATGCACTAAAAAAGTTTTGTTCAAAGAATTTCTCAAGTTTGTTCTTGTTGTATACATGCTTTTCAGAAATGAGTTTCACTGTTGGAATCCGAAATTGCTTCACTGCAAAGTTCAGGGTTGGCTTTGTCCCATTCATCCTCCGTTTCCCTTCATTTGAAAGAAATTCCAAGCAGTGATTTCCCGCTTTCGTCTCTGGCTTCGCCTCTGGCTTCGCTCTTTCTTGTTGCCCTTCGTCGGAGGCCGTCGAGTTCAGGGGCCTCACGGTGAGACCATCCATTGCTATTCCGTTCTTTTCTCGTCGGGAATTTAGAATCCCTTTTCTGTTTGCTTAACTGGCGATCGAAGTGTTTTTGCTCAACTCCAATCTTGTCTTGTTTGGGTCTCTTCTTGTAGAGTTCCTCTGTTCGTCCGTGTTTCTTTGAGTCTGCTACTGAGTTCTTGACGATCAATTGATCAATGTGGTGAGTTTTTCGTCTTTCCCGTCTCCTTGGATTGGTATCTGCTATTGAATTTTTGGCTCCCGTCTGTATCGTTTCTGCGAACCCTAAGTTTGATGTCAAACTGATTTCGAGTTTCTTTCCTTTTTCTTTAGAATTACCTTGCTTTAATCGGTATGGAGGATACCCTTTAGTTTGTTAGCTTGGAATTTTGATCTCATTGGTGTCTGCGACTGGAGCTTAAACTCCCCACAGCTTAGTTTTCGTCGAACCCTTATTTTACTTTCAGATCGATTTTGAACAACCTTTCTTTTTCTTTAGAATCGCCTAACATCAATGAGGGTGGAGGAGACCCTTTAGTTTGGTTGCTTGGAATCTTAGCTTATTCTTATCAACTGTTCAACTTAAGTCTTTTTTTCTTTCTGTATCCTTGAAATTTGGCTAACTGTTATCTGGAGACCTTGAGTTAGTTTGTTTAGAATATTAGTCTAATTCGTAGATACAGTAGAATCTTTTTTTTGTTTCTTCAAAATCGGGTTCATGGTTCTTCACAAGTTTGTTTAACTTTCATGAATCTTTCACTGCCAGATTGCTCTTTTGCTTCTTTGAATCTTTCGAAAGTCTCTATTAATCTAGTCTCTGTCGTAGCTCCTAAATCTTTCAAAAGTTCCTTGTATTGATCCCTACTGTAGTATATTTTTGATTTACTGTAATTCTTCTGTCAAGTTCGATGAAACTGGTGTTTTCAAGACTTACTATTCATTTTCAGCTTTTCTATGGAGATTTATTACCTAGGCTGCCTATACTATGTCTCTAACTGTGATTATATTACCTAGGCTGAATACTGTTTTCCGCAAGGCTGGTAGCTTTATCAGCGGGGTGTTCACTGGGACGTTTAACAAAAGGTGAGAATATGTTCTGTATTTAATATTTTTTATTTCTTTCTGTTTCTGGTAGTTTGCTGATAGATTCCATCTGTCTTTATTCTAGGAAGTTTGATGCCATAGAGAGGGCCGCGAGAGACAGCCAAGATTTGCTCCACCAACTTGATCAATTGGAAAAGGCTGTTATAGCCAATGCCAACCAACTGACAGACTTAGAGAGTAGTATTAAAAGTGCCATTCGTGATCAGCAGAGTCATGTGTTAATCTTCGTATTGCTGTCTCGTATTCAAAAGATTCAAGATGAAAACCGTAATCTTTCTCTGAGAATGCAAGCTGTTATCACACAGCAGAAAGGTTGCGAAACTGTGATAAAGAGGATAAAGGCGGGAGATGTAAGTGTTTTTTGCTGATCCATAGATTCTGTGTTCATTTATCAAAGTAGCTGTACAAAGTTATTCTCATCTTGCATAATGTTGGTCTTTTTTTTTTTTTTAATTTTGTGCTTGTTCAACTTGGTTTGTGAACATTATTTTGCAGGGCAATCCTTCTTTGCTACTGCCAAATCTCAACACTGCTGTTAATGAGGAAGATGCAGTAGATCTCCAAACTGAAAATAATGCAATTGATTTTGTCCATGTCGGTAACTTCATAAACATTTTATTTCTTTTCTTGTTGATATATTATCTTAACAATTTCAATTCTTTTGCAGGAGGCTGTCTTTCTTGATATCAATGTCCATCCTCCTTTGGAAAATGTTGCTAACAATGGAAATCAGGTACATGAGGTGTTTTATGTTATGCATTTTTTTGCTTTTTCAAAGTATATAAGTGTACTATGGCTCACATTGTCTTTTTTTTTTTTTTTACAATTTTAGAAGAATAACATATTATGGATACGTTAACTTATAATTAATAATGTCTTTAACTTATTCTGCAAATTTTTATGAAAAATACTAGATATACGTTAAATCATACAGAACCAAAACAACCCTCCGTTGTTCGATGTAGAAACTACATTAATATCAACCAATATGAAATGCTCATTAAGAACAAGAGCATCCTTCGTCCACTCTCCAGACTCGGAACAAAACACGTCTATCTTTATAGAATCGGGAAAGTGATATATACAGACCATCCGAAACCGATATGCAGAGGAATAAACAAATGGTTTTTGGCCATCTCCTAGATCAAGTTTAACATTAGAGCGGGGTTCACAAACTAACCTTGCCTCTTTTAATCCAATCGTAGAAAACAGCCGCGTTTCAGGCGCTAGAGGAAGAGCGATCCACTGCACCGTAAACGGGTTGCAGAGGAAGAGAGATCTCGGATATTCGGCATGAAAAAACCCTGCCTCGTTAAATCCGCACAAAACCAAGTCCTTGTAGGAATCATAAACTCGGAAATCCCATCGTTGTACGAAACAAAATTTATCAGGCAGGAGGAGGAAGCTCAAAATGGATTTGCCGAAGCATGAGGCCATCAAAGGTGGTTCTTCGAATTCGCCCCGCCGTATCGTTCCCATCTGCTCTGCTGGTGAGAAATGAAACGGCCAACGAAGTGGGGATCGGAAATCAGAGACTTCCATCGCTTGCAGAATGCTTTGAATTGCCAGGCGAATCTGGGTTCCGGAAGGCGAATGAGAACTTCTGCTAGGAGATCGTCACCGAAATTGCTGATCGGAGAACGAGTGTTTACTACTTCCGAGTCATCGACCCGCCGTCATTTCCTGGACGCGCAAGGGAGAAGACCAAATCTTAGCTCCAGTGGGTTGGATGTGCAGTTCTCGGTGGCCATGGCAGCGGTACAACTACAGGATGAACACGAAGATTAGCACGCCGCCGATAAAGGAGAAAGGATGCGGTGGTAGATGAGAGGCAGAGATTTGAACTCCTATTAATAGACGCAATGATACATGAATGCCGAATCTACTATGGATTAGGAACGCCCATATGAAACATGGCCAATTCATGGGTCGGGTCTCTCTTTATAGTTGCACTTCTAATTTTGGGCAAATAACCCTAAAAAATCGTAACTATTAAAAAATATTATTTGTGTTCCAAAATATTCAATATTTTATTTTTGAATTATGTTTTTTTAGAGTTAACCGACATTGACCGTTAGTATTAAACAGAAAATACAGTCAGCGCTGATGTAAGTCATGTAATATCTAACGTGGGATTTTTAATATTAATTTTATCTTTCCATCTAAAATTAATAAAATAAGAAAAATAAAAATCATTACAATAAAAAATGGCAACCCTGACCTAGGGATGGCAATGGGTCGGATCGAAAATGAATAGTGCATATCAATTACCATACCCAAAGTAGTTCGGGTTTTACCCATACTCATATCCACATAAAAAACAGGTATAAAATGGAAACCATGCTCATACCCAAACCATGCTCCTGTCTTGTTGAGGATAGGAATTGGAGTAGTAGACATGCTGGTGAGGATTGTTCCACTCAGGGCATTCATGATTGAAGTGCCCCGGTCGATGGCATTTAAAGCATTCAACATTCTCCTTGCTCCAGCCTGGTCCTCCTCTTCCTCTTCCCCTACCAGCAAAACCTCTTCCACCTCTTCCTCCCCTTCCACCATACTGATGAGCAGTCCTCAGAGCCTAATCTTCACCTGTTGAATTCTTCTTATGAAACTTCTGCTCATGAACAATGAGTGAGCTTTGAAGGACATCAACAGATAATGACGCAATATCCTTAGACTCTTCAATAGAACATACCATAAAATTGAACTTTTCTGTTAAAGTTCTAAGAATTTTCTCAACGATATGAACATCAGTCAAATTCTCTTCATAATTTCTCATGGAATTAGCTACCACCATTACCCTGCTGAAATATTCAGTAACAGTCGCACTGTCTTTCATTTTCAGAAGCTCAAACTTTCTTCTCAAAGCTTGCAATTGAGCTTTCTGGACCCTAGGACTGCCCTGGTATTTCTCTTTCATTGAATCCTATAGTTCTTTTCAAGGGGGAGAGCGTCCACCCTAGCTTCCATGTTGACGATATGGTTTTTAGAAGTAAAAAGGGGTTGGTAGAAGTTAGTGGCAATATCTGCCTTCCCCCTTTCCTCCGTTATCCAATCCCCCTCATCATTCCTAAGCCCTGCCATAAAATTACGTTTGCGTCTGGCTCTCGTGACGGTATGGAAATACGAAGTGTTCGGAGCCCCCTTCTTCAACCAGTGAACCCTAGACTTCTGTTGCCAGTAACTTTCTTCTACCACCCATTGGCGACTCAGCTCCCCTTCCAGAGTTTTGACAGTATCCTATTCAATTGGAACCTGTTGCTTAACACTTTTAATTTCACTCTGGAGGGTATTAATATTCCGCAGGGAATTAGTGGTCCCTGCTCGGCTCCAATCATACAGCAAATGACGGAGCTTCTTCAATATCGTCCAAAGCCTGTACATAGGGGATCCATGCACGTCCTCCTGCCAAACGTAGCTCACCATCGCTCTTACCTCGGGATTCTCCGCCCAGCGGGCGTCAAACTGAAAGAGAGGCCAACAATGGCGAGGATAAGATTTGTCAGAGAGGAGGGGCACGATGATCCGATCCTTGATCCGTAAAGTGTTTGACCATAGTCTCAGAATAGGTATCAATCCAATTTTGGGAGCAGAGTGCATGATATCATCATCAACATAAATAAGAGCCACAACGAACACGGAACCACGACTGTAGATGAAGAGAGAATGGTCAGCAGGAGATGCACGGAAACCAAGCTCACACAAGGCTGAAGTGAACTTCTGGTACCAGTTCCGAGAAGCTTGCTTCAGGCCGTAGATAGACTTCTGAAGACGACAGACACGACGGTCACCGGGAGCAGCAAAACCGGGCGGGAGCCTCATATATACTTCTTCCTGCAAATCGTCGTGAAGAAAGGCATTATTGACATCAAGTTGGTGAAGATGCCACCCTCGAATAGCAGCTATAGCAATGAGACAGCGAACTGAGACCAACTTCGCGACAGGGGCAAAAGTGTCATGACAATCGACACCCTCGATCTGAGTAAACCCCTTGGCGACTAATCGAGCCTTGTACCGCTCGATACTGCCATCTGGACGATACTTGATCTGCACTCGATGATGTGAACCCCTGGGGGTGGCTGAACCAAGTCCCAAGTATGATTAGCAATGAGTGCCTCAATCTCCTATGTCATCGCGAGACGCCAATGAGCATGACGAACAGCTTGCGCAAAAGTACGAGGTTCAACTTCACTCGTAATTTTGGTAAGGAAAGCCCGATGTTGTGAACTGAAACGAGTATAAGAAACATAGTGAGAAAGAGGATATCGGACGTGAGCTGAAAAATCCAAGTCGGTCTCATATATGTCAAGAGCCTTGGGTGGACGACGATCACGCAAACTACGGCGCGGAGCGGGAGGATCGACTGTCGCGTCAACTGCTTGGACAGGAGAGGAATTCTCTTCAGGTGGAGTAGAAGGACCCGAAGGAGACACAGGGTCGGTCGTTGATCGACCAGGCGGGACGGTTGGTGAATCTGACGAGGGAGACGTGGGCATGGATGCATGTGGACGTGGAGAGTGCATGGGAGAGGGCGGACGTGAATCCCTTGTTGCATTAGGTGGGGAATCCATGTCCTCCATGTGTAGGGGATGGGACGAGGGATTATCACCACTAGCCTCAATGGCCTCGTCCACCAGCAACGGAGGAATCCAGTGAAGCTCTTGTGGGTCTTGAGCACGAAAAAAGTCTCGTGAAAAACATCACGTGACACATGGATTTTTTGACTTGATAAATCATAAACTTTATAGCCCTTCTGCGACGATGCATAACCCAAGAAGACACCTGACGCCCCCGGTCGACAAATTTGTGCAAACCCCCACGATTATCCTTGGAATAAACGAGGCATCCAAAGACCCGAAGATGGGAATATGAAGTTTCTTTGGATAACAGAACCTCGTAAGGAGTCTTACCCGTAGCCTCAGTAGGCAACCTGTTGATCAAATAGACTGCGGTCAGAATACATTCTCCCCAAAACCTGACAGAAAGACCAGCATGAAACCGAAGAGCTCTGGCGGTCTCTAGAATATGCATGTGCTTTCGTTCAACTACACCATTTTGTTGTGGTGTGTCCGTAAAACTTGTCTGCAGAAGAATACCCGAATTTTCATAATAATCCCGGAGAGATGAAGTACGAAACTCCAAGCCATTACCAGCTTGAATTGTGTTTTACCCTTTTTCCGAACTGCTTGTCCACCATTTCGCAGAACATGATAAGATAACGAGGGACCTCGGACTTGAACTTCAAAAGATACACCTAAACACCACGACTATAGTCATCGACGATAGTTAAAAAATAGTGTGCACCACTAACGGAAGCAGTTTGATAACCACACCAAATATCAACGTGCAGTAACTCAAAACAATCTGTTGTCCGAATTGCACTAAGTGGAAAAGACAACCGACTTGGTTTTGCTTGAAGACATGAATGACATGGTCCATGTTTCTTGGAATCTGAAACATTTACAAAAGACTGTAACTGAGAAAACTTAGCGGAGGATGGATGACCCAAGCGATAGTGCCAAACTTCCTTGGAGACCAAACGACTGCCGCTGCCAGCAAAAATAAACTGATCCTGGCTGCTTAACAACTTCAAATAATAGAGCCCATCACGGAGAATCCCCCTCCCAATCACGTTCTTGGAGCGTAAGTCCTAAAGAATACACAAATCACGCAGAAAGATCAAGGCAACATTATTGTCTCTGGTCAGCCTGCTAACTGATAGAAGATTACACTGAAAACATGGCACATGTAGTACACGATCTAGCCGCAATCCAGAGTTGAAAACGACAGACCCAACTTGCTTAACAGGAATACTCGCACCATTAGGAATTCTTACAAGCTGACTATCTTCATTAACTAAGAACCGGAGTCTATTAGCCATTCGGAGTTATCAAGAACCATACCTGCCATGTTCGCGGA